TCCCTCTAGTTTCCTAGTCTCTAGCAACCGCCCTTAGGTAGCAACGATAATAAGATACTCCGCTAGAGAAGATTGTTCCTGCCCTAATTAGTATTAGTTACGTAGGACACTAAGAAAGGGAGGATCCCTCTCCCTTCCTAGCTCTTAGATAGACGTAGTAACCTAGGCCTATAGCCTCTAAGAATAGGGACCTTAGGCCGCTAAGCTTAGTGTCTAGAAGAAAGAAGAACGTACGGGCTACGTTTATATGCCTGCTGCTATAAAAGGTAATACTGCATCTATAACGATAGTGCTATAGGCTAATATAAGCTACGCTAGGCCTAGGCGATTTGCTCCTAATTGCCGAGCATCTCTAGAGAAAAGCCAATGCTACCCCGGGGGTATTATTAGTCCCGCTAGCCTTACTACTATAGATTACTACTAGGTACTCGAACTAACTAGTTACATTTCGAGTGCGCGGGAATCTACGAAAGCTAGAGGTTAATAAAGGCGCGTAGTCGCTACTAGCAATTAGCTAGATCGATTGTTAAACTTTAGCCTACCCTACTAATAAAGGAGTCTCGTATATAGCTTCACTTTTTAGGGTCTATATATAGTCGTTATCCGTTTGCTTTACCGGAATATACGGACTACGCTACCTTCGTACCCTATTTAAGGCGAGCTTTCTAAGCTCTTTCTTCTACTCGAATACTAACTAACTTACTACCGCCTACCCCCTCCCCCTCCTTCTATCTAAACCCTTTAATTATTATTAACAAGCTACGAACGTTTTTGTAAACTCGTTACTAACTCCTTTCCGCTCTAGTCGACTAAGATGTCTTCCGGCGCCCTAAATCCGCTAGGCGCTAGTAGTAGTAGCAACCTACTAGCTCTAAACCTAGGCGTACTAGTCCCGATCGAAGCCCCCTCCGATAGCGCCTTAGCTACTATAACTAGCCTCGAGCACTACTTCTAGATCGTTACCGCCTTTAAAGACCCTTAAGAGAAGATCTAGAACGCTCGCACCCTGCTACGCGTTATTAATAGGAACATTAAGAAGGCTACTATCTTAGTTGCGTATAGTATAAACAACTTGCGTTAGTCTATCGGTAAGCGTATCTTTAAGCGCGAGGTCCTTAACGATATAGATATCGAACAAGCCTTTCCTATCGTCTATAGCCTCGAGACGGCCGGTACCTAGATTCGTTTACGCTTTAAGACCCTCGACTAGGCCTTCGAATATTAGGGAGGACTAAGTAGTCTTCCTAAGAGCCTTATTAACTTCGCCTATAGTAGACAAGAGCGTACTAAGTAGGTCTCTTCGTTCGTTAATAAGTATAAGGTCTGTCGTTAAGGCGCCGAGTATCTTTCCTATACTATAATCTATCGTATGTCTACCGCTAGTAAGAAGGTAGGCAAGCAGTTACTTAACTTGTCCTTTACGCTTAACGACTTTACGACAGCCTACTAGAAGAAGCACTACGATGCGATTATCTAGGTCGATCTTAACGTATAGACAACTAAGGATCTACTAAAAGAGAAGGGCTATCGTATTAATAGTATAGGCTTTATTATTAAAGGTTAAGAGGCTCCTATCGTTAATATCCTTAAACGTAAGGCTCTTCGCCTAGAAACCGAGGCCGATATGGCTACTAGTCTTACGCTCGCTATAGAAATGTAGGCTAAAGATCGTCGCTCGACCCGCAACCGTAAGGTCCCTTAAGAAGTTTAAGACGAGCGCGCTAAGGCCGAAGTAGCGCGTAAGAAGGCATTGTATGCTCGCTAGGCCCTCCGCAAGGCTAGCAAGAAGTATAGCACTCCTTCTAGTACCGACTATAGTACTAACTATAGTACTAACTATAGTAACTCGGATATTAATATGCTAGATATACTACTAGAAGATGTCTCCTCTAAAGGCTCCTTTAGCGAGCGTAGAGATAGAGGCCTCTCGCTAATCCTATTAACTAAGAATATCTATAGTTCTTATAAGGGCGACTCTATTGCGCACCTTATCACTAAGATCGATATAGTTCCTAAAGCCGATATAGGCAAAGCTCCTGCCGCCCTATCTATCTATTAATAGCTCGACGACCTTAGTAAGCTAGGTAAAGAGCGGTTTACTATATATGCTAACTATATTAAGAAGGCTACTAAGGTCTATAGTCTTTATACTAGTGCTAAGACGAGTGTCCTTATTAGCCGCCTATTAAAGATTAGACGTAATATCGCTAATTAAGATACCTTCGCTGCCCTTAAGGCTAATTAGGCCTATACGGACTAGTTTCCTAGACGCCCTATTACTGCCCCGACATCTCTAGGACTCTACGCGTTCAACCTTACTAGTACTATTACTCGCGCCCTTACGCTGACGGATCGCTAGAGCAAGTTCGTTACTAGTATCCTTAGCTAAGGCACTTTCTTCGACCGCTTTCGCTAAACTAGCAACGCTATCTTCCCTTAAGTCTTTAGTTAGTTATAAGAACCTCGCGGAGTACATCTTCCTTTCCTTATCGATCTAATATAGGAGGAGTTTGAAATGTACCTCTAGTATATACGTACAATGCCTAAGTCTAAGCAAGAAGGCCGTAATACCCTTTAAACTTATAGTATAAGCAACTAAATCGTCCGCTAGCACCCTACCCTATAGCTCTTAGCTATCGCCCTTCGACCTAATTACATATACGAGCTTATCTCTATCCCTAAGCCTACTAAGTTCTTTAAGGTTGGCGGTACTTATAAAAACTGTCCTTTTAAGGAGTCTACTCGTCTCGGACAAGATATAGTTAAGCTCGTAGCTAGCGAAGGTACTAGTTACCTACGTATTAAGGTCTGCCTTATATCTAAGGATAAGACTAGCTACTCTACTATTATCGAAGGTATATATTAGCCTGAGGTCTTTGCGAACTAGGTTAAGAAGCTTAAGGCTCGTAGCCTAGTCCTACTAAGCAAGATCGGTAAGCTTACTAATAAGCACCTTACCGACGACGACCTCGACTATATATTCGATAGTTAGCCTAATAGTAAGGGGCGTAAAGCGGAGTAGATCCTCAACCCTCTAAAGGAGTGCGAGGTCTCTATTTAGATGCTATACCTACTATATAGTAATCTAAAGACTAAGAGCAACCGTATATTAATTAACCTAGGCTACTCTCGCATTATTAACGGTACTAAGGTTAAGGGCTACGAGAACTTAATAGTCTCTTAGGTTGCTAAAGCGCATCGCAATCTAACCGCCCTCCTAGCCTCTAACTCCTTCGTACTATTCGCTTTCCCTACGGCGATCTTAGTCGAAGGCCTCGGCTATATCTCCGACGCTCTAGTTAGTAGGATTCCTTAGTTAAGTTACGTTATTTAGAACGAAGTTAAACAGATCCTCTAGCTTAATAACGAAGGACTTAAGGAATATCTATACGATTAGGAGAAAGCTGCAACGGAAAAGGCTATTAATCTCCTCGTTAATTAAGCTTTCTACGAGGGACAGTACTTCGGTGCTAATAGCTTTAACGTATACAGAGGAGATTTCGAGAGCCGACTAGCAGATAAGGTTATTGCTAGTAAGGATTACGGCGCGTTAAAGCAACAGTAGGTCTATATAGTGTTACTTAGGAAGTCGTTTTTACATAATTATAGTATCTAGGATTAATACTACCCTAGGGGTATTATTACGGAGTTCTGAAAATAGCCTTAGCTAAGAACGCTAAGGATGTATATATGTTTGTTTTAAGCGCGTAATGTGAAGCGTGTCTAGTTAGATACGAAGAAAGGGAGGGATATTAGCTAGTAACCGGCCCTATACCTATAGGCTAGTTTTAAGCCTATATAAGAGGCCTCCTTCTATAGAGTAGATAGATTATTAACCTCGTATAGTACATTGTTTATGTTACACTTCTACAATGCCTATATTGTAGGGCTCTAGTTATTAGCCTAAGCGACAGTCTCGTTATCCTATCTTGCTAAACATAGCTGCCTATATTGCTATAGGTTATGTTACCCTCGGTAGCTTATACTATTGCTATAAGTAGTAGTAGTAGTGTTAGTTTCCGTCCTTTACTATACTAGACACTCTCTAACTAGTTTAACGTTCTATAGTCTAATAAATGCGCTATCCGCAATAGCTCTTATAAACGGCTATTTGTTACTCGTAGGGTCGCTAAACGCAATCTAGACGTTTATTCGAGGCCTCGCTTCTAACGCCTACCTTACTAGATAGTTTAGGCCTATATTAGTAGCATTAGTAGCAAAGGACCTATAGTCTTATAGAATATAAGCGATTAGGGCACTATAACTGTAGCCTTATATATAAGACGCATTATTCTAGTCGTTGCTAAGGAAATAGGCCGTATAAACAGCCTTATTGCCGGACAATAGTATAACTATATACTAGCGCTTTATTAACGTACTGCTATCTTCTAGTAAGACGGCGCTACCTCGTATAGAGCGGCCTCGACTATTGCCGCTATATAATAGCGCAATATTGCCTTAATAGACTAGCTACCTTCTTTACCTAATTTAAACCCGATTAAGAATATATAGCGCGCGATTAAGGCAGGCATTAAACAGCGTAGAGACAGGCTAATAGGCCGTAAACTAGTACTAGTAATCCTTCGAGAATACGACAATATTACTAACTAATAGCTTAACTTCTAGATTAGCAGTATGCTATAGCGTTGTTAAGAGGTTATTAATACTAATAGCGGCCAAACTCGTTAGTAGATAGTGTCTTAATTATTGTCTTTGTTTGCCTTCTATACGGCTCTTAATTATTGTCTATAGTAGCCTTCTATATAGCTTAAAAATAGCTCCTTCTTAACCCTAATCGATACCTTCGAGAACTGAGGTTTTAGCAATGTACGGCGATTGGTTATTGCCCCGGTCCACTCACTATAACTACTAGGGGATAGCGGGACTAACTAGCAGGGAGGTAATTACAAGCGCCAGTTTAGCGCATTAGCACTCCGATGCGCCCAGAGCCTGTAGAGCCGAGCTGTGTTTTCGTCCTCGGCTTTAGTTCGTGGAACAACAAGTGCATGAGCTGAGAACACCTCCCAAGGAGCGATTTTGAGCACGCAGTTTCCACCTTTGTTGACACCTCAGACGGCCTGCCAAACAACGATGAAGCTAATTAGAGCTCAGACTGTCGAGATTCTTGAAGGTGCCCGCATCGAGCACTGCAGATATGCAATCGTATCGCATCGCTGGGGCGATGAGGAGATTGAATTCCAAGAGTTTGGGACCGTTTCTTGCCGAAAGAAAGCAGGATGGAAGAAAGTGGAACATGCCTGCAGATTGGCCCGAGAACAGGGGTATGAATATGTGTGGATCGACACTTGCTGCATCGACAAGAAGAGCAGCGCAGAGCTATCGCAGGCCATCAACTCGATGTTTGAGTGGTATCAGCGCGCCGAGGAATGCTTTGTCTTCTTGACAGATGTTGTCAGCACTGAGCCTGATCAGAATTTCAAACGAAGCGATTGGTTTAATCGCGGATGGACTCTCCAAGAGCTGCTGGCGTGTAAGCGCGCCACCTTCTACAACAAGCGGTATGAAGCCATCGGCACCAAGGCCAAATTAGCGGGTCACATTTCCGATGTCACGAGCATCGATGCCGTTTACCTTCAGCGGGGGAGGGATGTGAAGAACATCCACGATGCGAGCCTTGCTGAGCGTATGAGCTGGGCTGCCAAGCGAAAGACGGAGCGGCCTGAAGATATCGCGTACTGCCTCCTGGGCATCTTCGAAGTCAACATGCCCTTACTGTATGGCGAAGGAGGCACACGCGCCTTTCTCCGCCTTCAACTCCAAATCATCGAGCACTCGGATGACGAGTCTATCCTTGCATGGCCAGAAGAGTCGTGCAGGAATGAAGATTACCCCAACCCCGGCCTTCTCGCACAACACCCGAGAGCCTTTGAGTACTGTGCTTCAATCAAGCCTCTTCATACGAGACGCCACCCGCCTCACACCTTCACGAGTCGTGGATTGGAGCTTCATTGTGCATCGTCCTGGTTCGACGCTTCACATGCCCCCGACAAAGCAGACCAGAACACATTCGAGATGATCTTTCCCTTGGACTGCGAGATCCACGAGCCGGAGCGCGCCAAGCTTGCTCTCATTTTACGCAAGTCTCCTGCCACAGGCAGCTTGTATCGGGACCGATGTCAGAAACTTGAGAGTCAGAGCGTGTTCTTCCATTACTTCACGCAGCCAATCACGGTCCACGTGCCTCAGCCAGAACTTGGGCAGTCGGGCTCGAGGTCCTCTGGCGGTGAGACTGCAACGGGACCCCTGATCTGGATTTTTAGCAATAGGCTTGCCAGATGGACACTGGAGATTGCTGTGATTCTTGCAACACTATTGATGTTAACGCGGCTCCAAGTTCTTGTAGCATCTTCTAGTTCCCTGGCGCTATCAGCCACGCAGCTGATTGCGTGGGTTTCTTGGTCAATCTTGTGGTCTATCACCGGACAGGATAAAAGCTTCCTCGCAAAGGCGCTCAGTATAGGACTCATTGTCGCCTTGGCTTGTGGGTTGCGTTCTCGTAACTTGGATGATGTCTCGAGGATGCCATGAGAGCTTGAGTAGTTTGTTCACGGACGTTGATCGAGGGAGCATCTTCCGCTTCGCGATTCCAGAGTGCATAATTTGATTATTGTCCAAGTAATCACAGGTTCAGGCTGTTCGAGCAATAACGACTGCTGGATGTTCTGGTTTCTTCCCGCAAAGGATCTTCTTCTTCTTCTTCGGCGGGTAATTCGGGGCCTCGAGCAGACAATCGAATCCTTCATTCTTCTCCGTAGCATTCTCTCCCTGGAGTCTAGAACAGCGGAACCAGCCACCCTCTGCTCTGGCCACGTAAATGGTGGGAATATTGCCTTCAATCCCTTGCTTGTGGATTCGTATATTGGACACCGACACCGAGGGAACCGTGTAGAGCTGATCTGGGAATCAACACCAGGGTAGGTCTCTCTTCAAGAACGAGAGCCGCCAGATTTTCATCACTGAGCCACCGCTCTCCTTCGGAAACTCGCTCGTGTCAGTCAGCGCATGAAAAGACACTTTATTGGGCTCTGGACGAAGTCGATAGCGGATGGGCACTCATAGACTATGCTTGATAGATGAGGACAACGGAGGAGAGGCACAGAACGATTCTGCGATGGCCTTCTCTCGATCAGAGAGGTCCTCTACTGAGACATGTTCAATCAGAGCTCTTGGGTAGGCAATTCGAATCCGTTGTGTCCTGGCAGAGGACGGAGTGATCAGAATGATTGAAGGAATTGCTGTGAGCTCGAAGCGCGACTTTCGGCTGACACACAGTCTTTGCAAGAAGCTTGCTTCATCTTTCACTTTCCCGCTCACTTGCTTGCCAAGATATCTGTGCTTCACATGCGCCGGATCAAATTCAAGCTTTTCTTCCGAAACATTCTCCACCCATTACCATACCATCCAAAGACAAGACACAATCCTCGGTGAGCAGTCATCGGACCCGAAACCAACCTCTTCTCTAACCTCATGCAGTTGCCAATATGGCCGCGACCAAAGTCTTCAACATCGGCGAGCTCGCAGAGGCAATTCTCATCCAGCTGCCGACCCAAGACCTCTTACTCGCTCAAAGAGTCTCAAAGGCCTTCAAGCACACAATCGACTCTTCCACACGAATCCAGAAAGCACTCTTCTTCCTGCCAGGGGATCGCACCGACCCAAATGTACCCGAAAAATTCACAACAAGTGGCGAAAGCGCGTCCTCGATAATCCACGGTGTCGCTCATCTCCAGCCCTCGATGGAAAATACTGGTATCACCATCAACCCACTCCTTGTCAGATCCATCATGCGCATGCAGGACCTCGCTTGCTGGCCTCACACAGAAGGTTGCGGCCAATTCCCCAACATGCTCAAGACTCGACTCACCAAGTCCGCGCCCGAAGCTTCGTGTCGACGCATGTTTGTGAGCCAGCCACCGATGGAGTTCCAAACCACTTCTATAGATCTGCGCTGGCCCGGCGAGATTTCTTTCTACGAGTACCGAGGTCCTCCCGACAGGAATAAAGATCCTATGGGGTTTGGAGGGGGTCGGACGTTTGGTCAGTTATTGCAGGCTATGCAGGCTTGTGTCAATAAGAGGTATCCGACGAAGGAGATTGTGCTGTCGATGGCGAGGTGGCCGTTCTGTCTCGCTCCTGCTGAGAGGTTCGAAGATCCGTGGTGGTGATGGCTGCGGACTGAATAGGAATGTTACAAGTGGACCGGGGTAGAGGATATCATGAAAAGAGTAGATTTTGGTTATCAGGATCTCGATACATCGGGGTCAGGAACGAACAATTCTGGTGGGAGACTAGACTGGGAGTCACTACATACATACCATGAAGCGTGACAGGGACGTCTTATGGAGCGTCAAGCAGGAAATGGTATCGATACTCGATCTGAGGGAACACCTATGAGACTGCATATGACTACACAGAGTAAATGCAATTCACAACTATAAACACATCTGTCTGGGTTTCACCACACCCAGCTTGAGGCTTCTTCATCGTAAGGACCGTCATGAAGCATATGATGATATCTCTTCCACCCAAAAACCAAACGCAACATCCATGGTATTCCAGCCGACCTTAGTTATCACCAGCCCGTAGTATTTGATCGGAATGCAAAGTTTTTCTGAATCCTTCCGTTTCAAGTCATTATTAATCCATTACGTGTCTGTACATTCGCGAAAAGCATTTCAAGCCAGGAGAGCGGCGATGATAGCAATAGCACCAACTCCGCTGATCGAGTTCTTAGTGCCAGTGCCAGTGTAAGGCACAACTGAGTTTGTGGGCTGAGCAGGAACATATGTAGTTCCAAAGCCCGAGGGGCTGCCGCCGACAGCTCCAACGGGGCCGGGTGCTGAGCTCGTGGTTGGATATGGCGCCGGCGCGGAGGCAGTGGCTGGCGTGGTTGGGCCAGCTACACTGCTTCCAGCCGAATCTGGTGTGCCGTATCCCAGGCCGGGAACCGCCTGTGCGGTGCCGCTTTGAGTGATCGTATAAGTCGTGATCTGCACTTGAGGCACAGTGACTGTGGTTACGAGTGAAGCCGAAGAGTATGTGATGGTAGTGCAGGGAACTGCTGGCGGCGATGTCACTGCTGCTGAGGAGATCGGCGAGCCTTCAGTACTGCTCGGCGCTGACTCGACAGGAGGTACGGTTGTAGCAATGGCGTAAGTTGAGGTCTGTACGGTTGCCGGGCAGTTTGTGACTTCTGGTCCGCACGATGTAATGGTAGAAACGACCGTGCTGTATTGAGTGACAGTCTGTGGCGAGCTAGGTGTCGAAGTTGGTGGCGAGTAGCCAGTCGCCGGTACGATGGTGCTTGGGCAGCCAGTAATGATCGCAGGGTTCTCTGGGATATACTTGGCGCAGATGCCCATCAAGTAGCCTGCACCACTGTTTGTATCATCGCTGCTGTCAGACCAAGCGCTGAGGCAGTTGTAGACCTTGGTCATGAACTCGCTGTTCTTGCAGAAGCAGTTATAGTCCGAGTTGTCCTTGCAACCGGAAAGATACAACCAAGTGTTCAAGCACTTTGGAAGGACGTCAGGTCCTTGTGGGACTGGTGTAGACTCAGCAGGTGTTTCAGTTGCAGTGACGGGGCAGACGGTGGTTGAGATGGCGACCGTCTGAGTGACTACGTAAGTGCCGCCAGTGCTAGCTGGGCAGTTGGTCACTTCTGGAGCACAGCTTGTGATAGTCTGCAGAGTCGTGCTGTAAATTGTGCTGGTCGTGTATGAAGGGATGCCAGAGCTAGTGGTGACAGCGTTGACCACAGTCGAGCTCGAACTCGAGCTGCCGTAGCCGGGAATTCCTTCAGTGGACGAGTTCCCATATCCTGGGATTGTCCACGCCGAACTTGCGGCGGGCGAGGTAGTGATCGGGGACGATTCGGTGCTGCTTGGAGTGGTCTCGTATCCAGGCGCGGTAGGAACGCTTGAGGTCTCGTAGCCTGGTGCTGTTGGGGCGCTCGAAGTGTCGTAGCTGAGCGAGACAGGCGAGCTCTCTGTGCTGCTAGAGGCTGGAGCAGATGGGGTGGAGGTCTCGTAGCCTGGTGCTGTTGGGGCGCTCGAAGTGTCGTAGCTGAGCGAGACGGGCGAGCTCTCTGTGCTGCTAGAGGCTGGAGCAGATGGGGTAGAGGTCTGATAGCCTAGTGCAGTTGGCTGAGACGAGCTTCCATAGCCCGGAATGCCTTCTGTGGAGCTGGTCTCAGCGGCGGAGACAGAGGTGCTAGTCGTGTAGACCTCAGGTGTAGAATAGCTGCTCACGGCAGCCGAAGTGCTCGAATAGCTGGGCACCGAGCTCGAAGCAGAGCCGCAGTTGAAGCCGATACTGTGAACACCGATGTTGCATCCTTTGCCCTTTGAATCACCAGCGGGCTTGAATGTGACGCTTTTGGCACCGCCGCACTGCGAGTTCTTAATCACAGAACCGCTCTTGCTGCACGAGTGGGTTTCTTTGCACGAACTGCCGTCCTGCATAACATAATAGCACTCTATATCAGCATCCTGGTCCGCAGAGACTTCGTACTCGTCGATTGACATCTTATCGCTCCCATCGCATCCAATCGAAGGCTCGTCGTCGAGGTTGGAAGTAATGCATTTGCTCTGGAATGTTCTCTTGGACAGAAGATCACGCTTGCCGAAGCTGTTCGAGCACGACCAACCCGAAAATGTGTTGCTGCCGTAATTGCTGAAGGAACCGGAGTTGAGACCAGACCAATTGTAGCCACTTGACTGCTCGCTGGAACACTGATTGTCCGTATTGTCTGGCGTAGAGTACGAAGAACCTCCGCCCCAGCCGCCGCCATATGCGCCACTGCTGCGGCCACCAAAAGCAGCGATTTGCTGAACGGCAAGGCCAGTGACAGCCAGAGCGGTGAAAGTAGAATGCATGTTGACTTTTCCCGAATCCCAAATTAAGTTACGAAGTCTATGCCAACGTAGACAATGCTGGGTAGTGCTGAGTTTTAACGAATGCTTGAGCGGCAGAAAAGAGCCTGCTCTTTGAGGATGTAAGAACTCTTGAAGCTGGAGGAAACAGTACGGAACGAGAGGTCTGAATTGTGTCAAGCAGCAAGGAAGGACAGGTGAACAGCACGTTTGTATACGTCGGCATAGGGAGGCTTTCCCATCGAAACCACGCCTATAGAAGTCAGTGCTCCACCAGGGAGCGCTTGCAGATGAGTCTTCCTGCAGGGCAGTGCAGTGCAGGCGGACACCATTGTTTGACGCTGAATCTATGCATAGCCGGTCTGTGCTAGGCGTCATGGCATGAGGGAGAGAAAGGGAAGCAAAGCATGGCCGCCATCCGAGTTTGAGAGGTGCGATGTGGCGTCTAGGAATTCCTGTTTGGGAGGCCATGAAGAATCCTCATGCAGGTACCCGACCGACGCTCCTGTTTCAGGATGGTAGGATTCCGGAACTGACGTCCGTTTGGCTGCTGCTACGATTCAACGCGAAGACTCGCTCGTGCGCCATAGGAGGAGTGGGTCGATTAATGGATCAACACGACTGAGACTCCCGATTGGGGTCCCTTGTGAGGATGGTCTCGTCTCTTCTAGAGCTGGCTGCCAGTGTGCCGCAGCAACAAGCGCTCGGCCGGAAATAGAGACATCAGAACTTGGTAGCGTGCTTCCATCTTTGAAGAATTGGCCATGCGAGTGGCCCCGATGCGTCCGCTGACTCCGATGTTTGTGTACAGCAGGACAAGCGCTGGCCTTATTAACAGAAGAGGAGACCGCCCTTGGCCCTTGGGTAGAATAGTTCTAGCATGTGAAGGCTGGAGCTCATTGGACGCGCTGCACTGGTGGCGCAAGCGCTGCACTGCTACGTTTCACCTCCTGCGTTCCCCTCCAATCGTCCGGACGTGACCTCGCCAGCTTCCTGCGTAGTGCGTACAGAATTCCGGTCCGCTAACAAGCACACTGAGTCGGAGGCGTCCACTTGTCGAGGTGGAAGACAGGAAGGCGATGCGATTTGTGGGTGCAATGCCGAGGATTCTGCCAAGCATTCACTTGCTGTCCGGGCCCGTGCGTTGAGACTTCTCCTTCCAGAACCCAGGACGCCGAAGAACCGCGACGGTAGCATGTGATGAACGCTTTGGCGGTCTCCTGTCCGGTGCGTCTCAACGCGGAAGCACAGTCTGCTGCCTCACGAGCGCGGCTTCAGCACTCCGTCACGCCAGCCAGCCTTGAGGAAACGAATCCGAACATACGCATTCGCGAACACAGCCCGAGCCATTGCTGTACTGGCAGCAAGCGACATAGCAGCCTAAAAGAGCCGGAATCTGAAGTCCTCGAGTACCACCTTCGATGCCTTGCTCTGACACCGCAAGACAAGTGATTCGGAGAAGAGAAAGCTCTACAGGGACAGAGACATGGCATCGAGATACTCGGTCGGGCTGACACGCGCACGAGCAACGCAGCATTGTCCAGCAGAGCGACTCGATTTCGACATCGCTTGACTTGGGAGATTGCGCAGGCACGCAGCCGCCGAAATTCTCGTCTATGCCATGGCAGCCACAAGCGCTTACACATCGGCTTCACACACAACGACCGCTAGCCAAGGATCGAGGGCAATATGATCTGCTCACTCAATAGCGCCTGCTCTTGCAAGATGTCTCAGTCAGATGATATGAGCATCAAGCCCTATTGTTTCAATATCGGCCCGTATGCTATACCATGCAGCAGAAGCTCTTGAGGCTGCCGTGACCAGTCACCAAGACCCGTCCATTACGACTTGCAACAAGAGGCGGAAGGCAGGCCACAACTTGGAAGTCGTACTTGGAGAACAATCCACACTCTTGGATGTAGAGGTGCGATATCCTTCCGGATCTGATCGTAGAGTCTTACGTATATCACATGCAAATCACCTGCTTGTGATCCTCAAATCACATGCCTCGGCCCGAAACCCCGCCTCCTTGTGATCTTCGAGGCTTGTGAATGAATGACCGTCGTCATATGACGCCGTGCATGTGCAAACATCACTGAGTCCGTGCGCGTGCTGCCAGTCTATAAAACGACTCGCATCTTTCGTTCGTGACTTGACTTCGACATCCGCCCAAGACTGGGACACCAGGAGTGGTTGGGAGGAGGAGCTCAATGCTGGCTTCCATCTATGATCGAGTCAATAATTGACTTGGCCTAGGAGGAGGTTCAAGGAGCTCTGGCGAACGCAGTAACTCGCGATTAACATGATCCGAGATAGTACGACGCAGCTGCAATCATTGATGCGCTGTGGAGTCGATTGCCAAGATCCTACAATCGGGCCTTCGAGAACACTGGCAATGCATCTCCGACTGCAAACGCGTCTACATCGGTTTCCCGTCGCCCATGCTGGAGCTATCCACGGTGATCTCATAGCTTCAGCCTACAACGGCGTCACAATCGTTATGGTCCAAGGCCTCTCGCTCAGCGGCGACATCTCCTCGGACGTGATGAAAGATTAAATTCGGCAGTGCACGGGGTGATATGGCGCCGAAGTTGGCAGAGAAGCTTTATGAGGAGGAGTTGACTAACATTTGGGACCGATGCAGGAAGATTGAAAGTCAAGATGGCCCGAGATCTAACGTGCTGGTCGAAGTTTTCGAATATGAATCTAGCACTGACGGCCTAGCTTTCGCTAGACTTCTGAGGTCTTGCACACTTAGATTTACAGGACAGACTGCTACCCTTCTTGAGAGATTGATCCCAATGGTTATGGACGTTAGGCAAATGCTTGCTCTCTGCCTACTCCTGCTGCTCAGCAAGCCTCGTATTGACAGCCAAGCTCCCGAATCCACGCTCGACTGCAGCTCCGCCAGTTCCCGCAGTTCCATTTCCGCCGACTGTGCCTGTCGAGAATGGAGGTTCGGGGGCTTCTCCGCTTCCCACAGTTGATCCCGTCGGCTGTGGAAGGCCAGATAACCCAGTGGCCGAAGCACTTCCAGCTCCAAAGCTGCCCGTAGGAATTGAAAAGCTTGGTGAAGCCCCAGATCCGCCGGTAGGGGCAGCAATACCTGAAATGCCGCTCATACTAGCCAGACTTCCCTCTGAATCTGATCCAGAGCCCAGGCCAGTCGGGGCTGCAATCCCAGATTCACCGCCGAAGCCGACGGTCGGCATTGACATGCTGGGGAAGGAGAAGCCGCTGAATTGCGCAGCACGCTTGGCCAGCGCTGTGCCAGTCGGAGGCTGTGGCGGAGCTGTGCCGAATGATTGAGGTGGATGATTCCCATGGCCGCTTGGGAGTGGCGAGTTTAGTGGATGTGTGCAATTGGGAAAGCCCGGAAAACCTCCTGATGGATGTGATAAGCCTGTTGGAGCAGCAATGCCGCTGCCTGGTGGCGGAGGAAGTGCTGCGGTCGGGATCGGATAGAATGGCGCGGTTGGATATGGTGCGGCTGCGGCAATGGCAGCGAGGCCAAAAAGAACGCCAAAGTGCTTCATGTTCGATATCGCCGAGTTGTGCTCGCACGTGATGCCTGTAAGGACGGGTGGATATATGCTTGTCAAAAGCTGTATATGAGTGAATGAGAGGGATACCAGATCCCGTAGCGAAGAATGACGAAGAGAATAAAAACACAGTGCACAACACAAGCTCAAGCTGTCGGCAATGGGCTTGCAGAGTTGCCTGTTCACAGTGCTGGCGTTGCATGTTAAATATTCAGCAGTGGTTTTGACGAGCGTTCTATCGAGATCGCATGAACTGTCGAAGTGTGGTTCCTATGTTTCAGCCTTGTAGCAAGTAGGTGGATTCTGCTTCTAAGCGACATACCGGTGACAGCGGAGGACTTTGACGGGCCAAGGAAATCTCCAGCCTTCATCATTTTGACGCAGACAGGTGTGATCAAGTATCATAGGGTGTTTCTGGAGCAATTTCTCGAAGGAGACTGTCCTCAAACATAGGTCGCTAAGTTTCCTTTGGTTGACGTGATGAAGTGCGAGGGCCAGCCTGGTCGCGTAATCTATAATATAAATGCTGCGGGCGGGAGCATTTACCGGGCTGGAAGTAATAGATGAGCATTAACGATGACGACGCTGCTCATAAATCGCATGCTTCTGTTGTGGACAAGACGTGTTCTGGCCTTTTGCTCTACCGGGTAGTTGTGGCCGTCTGAATGATTGAGTGGCAGGCGGATTGTATGTTGTCACAAATTGATACGATATGGAGAGACTCGTGGTCTTTGGCGAAAATGGGAAGGGGAAAGGAGAATAGCGAGATCGGAGGTCGGAGGTCGGAGGAGTCGCAGTCGCAGTCGCAGTCGCAGTTGCGTGAAAGAGGTGTCGTAAGTCACGATCCAACATCCCATTCATCACCACTCGAAGACCAAACGCGAAAACCTCCGACATCATCGCCACCAATGACACCATAAAGTCCGGCGCGCCGAGCCACAAGGTCCACCATACGTCCACTACTACTGCTTCAGCCCGTGCAAGCTCCCCAATGCAATCGACACGCCCGGTCTAGAATGCGAAGGCGAGAGCTACGCGGCTTCGAAATCAGAAGACGCATGAGGTGTCCCAGTCTACCATGAGGATACAGAAGAAGAAGATTTCCAGGCTCGGTGTCGGGGATCTTGGGAAGATGGGGAAGACATCAGCCGGACAAGATTAGGTATGCGTATTATGGGTGGATCCAGAGATGTCATCGTACGCGATGGGGTCGGTGGCAGTGTTGGTATGACTTTGGGCGATGGACGAGTTGGAGTTGGTTGGAATCCATCGCAACGTGACACGTCGAACTTGTATGCTTATGGTGTTTGGTGTTGAAGTCAGATCACAGGATGATGTCTGTGTAGGAAGTTAGCGATATCTTGGGTAGATCTCAAACAACCATGATTTCAAGGTGAAAGTCGGGCAGTGTCGACGCTATTTCCTCGGAAGTGCTGCGTGGGTCCCCTTTCCTTCTCAAAGTCACAAGGTATAATCAATTTCGCCCTCAGCTCCTGTAGAAAGAGACAAAATTTATCTAACCTGTCCAATCCACAAAGACAGATTTTCCCGCATCTATGGGTGTATCGCTCTTGCTTTGTTCCAATCGTGCCTCCCGTCCGTGTTACTTCGCGTTGCCACATGCCGCATCACTTCTCGCGTCCCGCTGATTGTTTACTGAATCGTCTGCTTGGCGGCCATGCGATCGTGCTCATCGATGTCGCTAAAAGATAAAGTCAGCCATGAAGCGCATCGACTCCTCATCGTCATCACTCACGTCGCTTCCCAAGGATAGTTGATCCAGACATCCGGCACGGTCCTTGCAGCCAAGTAGCGATTCCCATCAACCATATTCTGAGGCAAAGTACCCCTCTTCGGCTTGTCCTTGTTGTGCAGCACAAAGATCGAAAACTTGGTCGTCTCAGCCTCTCTTCCGAGCGTCTTCGCGGCAGCAGCCACATCCTTCTCCAATTCTTTCACAGCATATTCCAACGTCGTCCTCGTATCATCGACCTCATCCACGATGAGAATGTTCTTTCCAATCAGGTTGGCGCCTTCTATGCTGCTCAGATCCAGCCATTGTGTTCGCGTGACTTTTGTGCCGGGCTTCTCGACTTCTTTGTCGGTGGGGAGGTGTTCGTAAAGAGAGAGGCCGATAGCTTGGATGGGGATGTTGGCTGCGCCAGGCTTCTTGAGGAAGGAGCGCAGGATACGCGCTGGGACGTAGCCTCCTCCGCCAATGGCGATCATGAGGTGTGGTTGGAAATCATTGAGGATTCGGGGACCAGCATCTTGGCAAAGCTTGTGGATCTATTGTACAGCAATGAGCATTGGCTGAAGCATGTGACACGGCAGCTTTCCTGTGATGGTGGACTGGACTCGAGGCCGCTCGCATGCGCTTCTGTCGGCCGCTTACCTGGTTGTAAGTGATATAGACTCTTTCCACGTCGCCCATTTTGGAGGTATTGTGGCTCTGGCAAGGTGTTAGGACGAGCCGCTATTGCGCGACATAGACTCGATACTGACCTCCAGAGGGAAGAAGACGAACAGCGCTCGGCTGACTGTCGACTTTTTCTCGAGTCTGCCATCGGCCGCCTCCGAATCCACGGTGGGGTTTCCGATTAAGGTTTACGCTAGCAGCGCCCCTGCTTTTGCCTTGGGACTCTTCACATGATCGAACGCGACTTCACGTATGCGTTTCAACAACATTGCTACAACTGCTGTGCACTATGGAGACTCGACCCAAACCATTGGACCTATGCCACAACCATATGTGTGGCTTCAAGGTGCACACAAGCAGGACCATTCCATTCTTTCTCCCCATTTACAGTGTCACGTGTCTGGATATTGACGAAGATATGGGAAGTGACCTTGCCAACAACAAGGCTTTGAGGGGGCGGATGGACGCCTACGAGTTTTCCACGCTGTCGTTTCTTGATGACGAAACGTGATCTGCCCCTTTGAAGACCGCGGTCAAGACACTGAGCACACTGGACACCGAGCATCAAGCAACCGACCTGAGACTCTACCTCACCTCGGACTGGGACACGATGTCGGTTGGGATCTAGACAGTGCCTACGATATCAAAGTCTAGCACTGTATCAAGTCGAGGTCCAATCAAGTTCTGCCGTCTGCATGGCGCTGTTCGTCGAAGATCATTTCAGGAGGTACTCGTTAAACGACCACCTTGCAGACTTGTGGCTCCTACCAGGAATCACGTTCATCTCTCGCTCATTGCGACTTGGTCGTGTTCATCGCCGAGCATTTGCCATGGACCTCCGTAATTTGGCCTGCATTTTGCGATTCATGGTACCTTACCTGCAAACGCCTCACAAGGCATTTTGGTCATGATCGCTTTCCTTTCAGTGTTTACTCGCCCGATTGAGCAACATGGTCGGTTCCCGCAGGCGGATCGAGTGGGCTATACTTGCTAGGCTACTCAAAACTCCCAGTCCTCCGGATTTATACCGAAATGTCCGCGTCATGATCAAGAGCGGAAGACAACTCTCAGGGGATGATATCAAGAATACGAGCGGCCGCGGGCGCCCACGTGGCTACTAGTCTTCCAGGACATGCTCGAGGAAGTCCTAATGCTTGATGAGTTCGCAGCACCGTCTTGGCACGAGTCCCTCTTGGTTGACGGCAGTCCTACCCCAGATTCAATGTCAGTGCTACTGTATCATGGCGGTAACACTGTGGGAAACGCGAATCCGACACTACACACCGCCCAGATTGCGCCTTTGACAAGCCTGCCATTCTTTCTACTGAGCAGGTGTTGAGCGGATGCGCGTTTCACGCCGCAGCGAAGCTGGCAAAGATATATCAGTGCCGCAACAGCGCGCGCAAGGATGAGGTACGAGAAACGACTACCGCCACGCGTCTTGCCGTCGTATCTGCACTTCTCTGGATGCAACCCAGTTACGACTATACGGCCACCATACTTTCTGCCACCACTTCTGCTATTGATCGATCGAACTACGAGAGTGTTGTACAGGGGAGTGGCCGACCTCTTCTACTCGTCGGTCGTTTCACAGGCAAGGTAAAGGTCAAACACGGAGCCTTCGCGTTCCGAACGCATGGTTGATTACTGAACAAAGCTTGGCAATGACCACGTCTTCGATCAGGTGCGTACTGTAGAGCGCTCTAATAATAACCTACACAGCCATCGTGAGACAAATTTGGATGTTGGACTAGTGGCAAGGAGTACCTTGCCTGCTCATGGACGAACTTCGGCCTGACTTAGGGATGATGTGCGGTATGCAGCAGCTCCGGCCGTGAAGGCTGCATAGAAGGCTGCATACATGGTACAATGTACAATGTGTATACCATATACTGGATGCCAGATGGTGGGCTCCATCACTAGCCTGACTTGGCTCGTGTTGACAGTTACGTTTCTGACCCCAAGGTTCGGGATTGTAATTGCCAAGGCCTCAACTTCGACAGTAGTCTGTCTGGGGCCCGTTGCTTCACTACTAACTGTCACAGGCATCAAATTGGCTTCGACTCACCGCAAAAATACTCACTATTCTTCGACCGCTACATGTCAGACACCGCAAGGTACGCCGGTGCAGCGATTGCCATACGATGCATTAGCATCATTACTTAGCTTGTGAGAACTGGATTGGCTTAATGATTCCGATGCTGGTCACTCGGACTAGGATTGTTTCAAAAATGCAGGCGACTAGAACAGCAGCGGTCGATGCTACGAATCATGAGTCGACCGCTCGTCCTTAGAAACTAGCCGCAATACATGGAATTGTTGTAAGGAACTTGTCGTGGCAATTTGCGAGACTCTGGTTGGGAGAGCGTTACTGGCCTCCGAAGACGGCCACAAATAAACTTCTGAGATTTCAGAAGAAGTTCCTTGAAGGAATAATGCCAGTGTTGATGGTGCCAAGGCGCGGTAAACAACATCGCGAGATAGGTCTGACGTCGGACAGACGGAGCTCTTCTCAGCAGGACACATGCGCCCGATCAGTCGATATGCCGTGCTTGCTCGCGCGATCGTGTATTCTTGACCTTGGGTCGCATCACGCTTCACGACCACTGTATGGAATCCGCATTTGACCTCGGTGACCATGCCGACCATTTGATTGCATGCATGCTTCCTCGAAGCCCAACGGCCTAGTCTGCCGATTGTGCAAGTTCACAGTCCGGGGGCGAGAATTATTGACGAGCGGAAGCAGGAATGAAAGCCTATCCAAAACACTATGCTATACTGTACCATCCCTAGAGAGGTGGCCCGGTCTAGCATCGACGACAACTGCCAACAGCACAAGAGCGTGCAGAAAGGTTTTCTGGCAGTCGCACGTGGCTTGGCTCTAATGAACTCCAGACATTAACGAACTATTTTGCCGACGACTGGTGCAGGTCAATTTATGTTTATCGGAGCCATGGCTTCGAGCAGTCTGATCACATTTCTGTGACAGGCCGCGATTCTTCTGATCAGAGCGCGGTTGCAGATGGCTGCTACGGAGATTTCCTTATCGACAGGACTCCGTGTCGGATGCTGAGGTTGAAGGCTAGTCACAGCATTTTCCCGGAGCACTCTTCTTTGATACCGAACAACGATCGAGGCGCAACCACGCGAGGGACACGTGTTACGAGGATGCGCTCAAATTGCTATGGCTTGACAGCTTGCGCCTCCAGCTCGATAATCTGTTGGGATTTGGCGGCTGGCGTTCAAGTGATGGCTGCCTACTCAATCCGCTGCTATTTCCACGGCGCTAAAAGGACAAGTTCATGCGCAGGGCAGGTGAGACAAGAGATGCAAACGGCCTGCCAACAAGACCGGTCGACTCCTTTCACCAGACTTGTCAGTAGTGAGGATCGCAAGCTCGTGTACGTAGGAGATCACGAAGCTCGTACTTGCTAAGTGGATCATCCAAGTGGCTCCAGGCAGAAGCAGTGCAAGGTCCTCCCATCCTTGGCTCCAGAACGTGACGCCTTCAGCTACTACATACACGATGGGGCGCGGTCTGTGCAGCCCATCTGGCCACCCTGGTCCCTCGTGGCTGCGGCTGCTCCACAAGACGTCTCGGCCTCCGTGGAAGGGAAGGCTTGGAATAAATGAGCTCGCCACGCAAACGATCTCACGGACATGCGATTCGGAAGCAGAAGCTGAGCTCCAGCAGTGAAACACGAAGCCGTGGCGAATAATGAATCATGCTGCATGTCTGTGACGTGCTGCAAGATCTTGCTCGGTCGTCTCGAGTGACCCATCCACTTCACTGTCAGCGCGTCCGCGGCCTCTTCCTCTCTGTGACACCTGCAGTAGTTACTCGGCGCCTACTCCGCTGTCGAGAGCTTCAGCGCATGCGCTGCGCTATGCTTTGATCGATTCGTTATGCACAGGACTCTAGACCATGGCTAGCAGCACAAGACGCATGCAATCATGATGAGACAATGCGTGAGCGTCCGACTTGATGCCGCTTGTTCCTCGCAGTTCTCGAAGACGCGCGCTTGCGTTTTGTTGGTGAGAGTGGAGTCATTATTGTTCTGCCACGACAGTCTACAGAGATACCAACCCTGAAAGATCGGTTAAGAATGCTTTTCTCGCGAATATCTACCTTGGACTTATAAGCACTGATTCGCTCAATACCGTCTCAGAATTTTCACAAGTTTCATTCAATTCGTGGGGTTCCAAGTAATTTCTTGATGAGAATTCCGCAGCAGCTAGCGTTGGCGTTGGCGCTGGCGAGATCAACCACACCTCATCTATCCATTCCCGCGGATGCCTGAGGCGTACGAATCATGGCGCATTGAGCGTAGCGTAGCGGCTCCGTACGGAAGCCACGGATAGGCTTGCATAATAATCGATGGCTGGGTGTGCATCGACTCGTCGAGTTTGATGGCCTGTCGAAGGCTAACGCCCCCCTGTGCATGTGAACGCTGCTCGCTAGTTGGTGCATCTTGGAATCGCGAGAAGGAGGTTTGCCCTGCAATGGCTTAGCGCTTCATTAAGAAGGTGCAGAAAATTCCAGGAAGCTTTTAGTCTTTCGCGCTTTCCTGCGAAAGGAGAGACTAATGCGAAGCATCGTATGGGTTCACACAGACCAAGCTACGCAAAGTCGCTAGGCCTCGTGGAAGTCTGCATTTCGGTCCTACTATAAAGGTTTCGTTAGTGGGAGTGTAAGGCCGGGGGCAATGTTAGTAAGGTGCTATTAGGAATAGCTAGTATTATAAATGTAAAGTTCTATAGGCCTTACCTTAACGTCTGTTTTTAAAAAGATAGAAGTAATTAAATTTCTAGTTAGATACTACTATAAATTTAGTTTACTACTACTATATAAAACATCTACTTTTGTATTAAATTACAGTTTACCCTTAACTACTTTCTCCTTTCTATAATCTAACTATATATTATTTTTAAAAATCTAGTTACTCTTTATACTAAAAGTCCTAATATAATAAAAAATTATTTCTTTTAAAAAACTAAAACTAACTAAAGAGAAATATAAATTAATATAAATATAAGACTATTTTATATAAGAAGTAGATTATCTAGTTAAAAAAATAGAAGCTCTAGTTCTAGCTTCTAAAACTATAACTATAGTATTTTAATATAGTACTACTATCCTAAGGTAAGAGATCTAAGTTAATGTATTTTACTTTTATTATAAGGCTAGGTTTTAAGTAGCAATCTTACCTCTTTATCTACTATTAGTAGTAGTATAGAGCAGGCTACTAACACCTCGACACCCCTACCTGCAAGCTGTCCCTCGACAATTTATTTGTGACGTGGTCGTGGCAAGTCTTAGAAGTCTAAGAAAAAAAAAACCAGTGCGGCGCTTTGCATCAGCTGCCTCAAAGCAGTTAGCAAGATTGGTGGACAGTGGCACAGCAACACAGGCTACGACTTCTTCATTAACGGCACGTGACTGCAGAGCTTGGTGGTCTGGTTTGCAACGGCCTTGGAAAGCATGTGTTTCGGAGGTGCTGCTGGGGTGAGCTTCTTTGGCTCACGTTGACGCAGACGTTGCCGCTACGCACAGCTGAGATGAAGATGGCTCCCGACGGCTCAAGGCAGAGGATTGGCGGATAACCCAATGGCACGTGAGGCGCAAGCGCAAGCGCAAGCAAAGAAGCCATCTGTTCTGATGAATATTTGATAGGCAGCACATGATCTACAAGCGTCAGCGGGCGTAGTCTTGCTCATCTTATTACCAGCATACGGAATGAGAAAGGCAGCCAATCCTGCGCGGCGACTAGCACACACCCGCTGATGTCCCAGGCGTGTGAAGTATCCAATCCAGGCGAGGACAGGGTAGCATTCTGTTACAGGCCACCGCTGTGCAGCGAGACGCGAGAGCGAAGGGCAGCGACCGACAAGCACCGGGACCGGGACAGATTTGCGGTCGGAAGTGTTTCCATAATTCCATTCCGGCCAGCTTGCAACACCAGCAGCAGATGGTGATGGCGCTCAACACAGTAGTGGACCGCATGTCCCGAGCTGGTGTCATTCGTGTGAGATGCAGACGTGGACAAGGTTCAAAGGCCGAGAGGCAGAGGGCTCAGGGCAGAGAGGTTTCGCCAAGTGTGCTGACGATGGACGGGCGCTAGCGACCAGTGAGCCTTCCCACGCCCGATCTTCTGGAAGTGAGCACATTGCCACATATGCAGTTTTGCTAACTCAGGCTTGTTTCTGGCCCGTCACAGCACACTGAGCACAGCCTGCGCGGATACGTAACTTGGCTGAGGCTATTGCAGCGCGCGCCGGGGCGGTACGAAGAGAAAGCTCCCGTCGTGCGTCCTGTTACGAATCATAGCCTGAGGCTTTGTCAGTTGGTCCGCTGATCGTAGCTGCTTGTCGCCTAGCATGCCTCGAGGCCGCTTCAAGCGCTGCTGCTGCTGCCAGCCATCCACCGCCGCCAAAGCGCTGGATGCGAGTGTGTGACAAGAGGCGCCTGTGCCACATACGTCGGCCTCCTCTCCTCTCCTCTCCTCTCGAGGCAGTAAGGCAGGGCGGTTCATCATCAAAGGGAGACTGCTGCCGACTGAGCCGCCCCGCCGTGGCTCGTGTGGTTGCAAACGGCTTGGTCGCAGCGGCGGCATCTCTGAACCACCGAAAGGCCCGTGCGCTCGTCTTTGTTGGTGGATGCGTGCAGGTGCAGGTGCAGGTGCAGGTGCAGGTGCAGGTGCAGGTGCAGGCAGCGCAGGCGCAGGCGCAGGCGCGGGTCAGGAGTGGCGTCGACCCCTCATTCGATGCACCAGTGATACGCGCGCACCGCGACAGGGATGTGCTCCCGTCGAGCGCTCACCCATGCAGCATTCTTGAAATGTGGGCAGCATCATCAGAGTTGCGCTAGTGCATGCGACCGGCGCCGACCGCCGACCGTCATGACCTGGTCGTGCAGCACGCTAGTAAATCGTAAATTGCGCGCCCAGGCCTCTACGAACTCTTGCTTTGCCGCCAACGTCAACTTTGGAGACGTCTGCTGTACTCACTCACCCACACCCATGCACATGTCCGCCTCCTAAACGCTGCGATGCGCACTTCCTAAACTGGCTATTATGCACCTGGTCCTCTACATATTATTATTATCCACCCCATCACCTCTCGTCATCCTCCCCAATATCAGAACCTTGTTCCGTCTTGACGGGGATACGCAGCCTTTATCACTTCGACTATCGCCCCGCCATTGCCTCGCTACATCAGCCCGACCAGGCGGCCTCTCGACTTCGACAACCATTGACGCTGCTTGATCGCCTCACCTCCCCGCTGCGACTTTCTCTTGCCAACAGCACGACCTTCCTTTGACACTGTTCCGTTTCTTGTCGACCCGTGCACTTCTTGACGACCGACCTTCTGCTGTTGCTGCTCGCTCCCCTACGAATCTACCATTGGATCTGTTTCTTTCGTGCCATCTTCATGAGTCTTTGCAGCTTCTAAACCACCCCGGATCCTGTTGGACGGAGCCTTTTGCTGCTCGACCATGCTTCCCACTCCTCCCCCTTCACCGACATCATCTGCACTCTGCGGCCCAGAGGACAGGATTGGCCAGGTGCTCGCTGGTAGCGTCCAATTGACCGGAATTCTTGGTGTCGGAGCCTACGGCACTGTTTACAAGGCGCGAGACGTTGTGACTGATGTTCAGTACGCCGTCAAGGCCTTGAACAAGCTTGGCCTCGATCCGAGACAGCGAAAATTCCAGGACCGTGAGATCCAGCTGCACTATGCCGCGAGCCAGCACCCCAATGTCGTTTCCTTGGTGAAGATCCTGGACGCTGTCGATTGCACCTACGTTGTGATTGAGTACTGTCCAGAAGGCGACCTCTTCTCCAAGATCACCGAGGAAGGCCACTACATTGGAGACGACTTCAAGGCCAAGCAGGTGTTCTTACAGATTCTTGCCGCAGTTGAGCATTGCCATGCCAGAGGAATCTACCACAGGGACCTGAAGCCTGAGAACGTCCTGGTTGCTGACAATGGATGGACCGCCAAGCTCGCGGACTTTGGACTTGCCACCCAGGATCGTATTACATCGGACTTTGGATGTGGATCGACGTTCTACATGTCACCAGGTACGTTGCATCATTCATCACTCGATGAAAACGTTCACTGACGCACGCAACTAGAGTGCCACCAGTCCAGCCCCAAGCCATACGCATGCTATGCATCTGCACCCAACGACATCTGGTCTCTCGGTGTCATTCTGGTCAACCTGACCTGTGGCCGCAATCCGTGGAAGAGGGCCTCCATGGACGATTCTACATTCCGCGCTTTCATGAGGGACCGGAACTTCTTGCAGACTATTCTTCCCATCTCAGATGACCTCAACTGCATCTTGCAGCGAGTGTTCGAGATCAACCCACAGCGAAGGATTACCATGGGAGAACTGCGAGAATCAATCATGCGCTGCCCACGTCTGACAACCCAAGGATCTTCCAATCCATCTTCGGCACCGGCGACTCCTCCCTACAGCCCAGTCGAGAAGCCAATGGACTCGCCTTTGGCTGTCGTGAATGGAGCTTTCCAACCAGTGCCAAGCTTGGATCTCCCGGCCCAGCAATATCCATCGCCTACACCCAGTCCAGATTTCTCACAACAGCCCATGCTGTTCACACCTCCCGCCTCTGGACACTGTACACCTCAACCAACCCTTTATACGTCACCACCCAAGTCAGTGGCACCTCCCGTCTTCTCTGGCCAGTTCTTTGGAAACTTCCCAGACTTCCGACGATGTGGCCAGCAAATGTTCGCCAACTTCGCGATCCCCAGCCATGCCTGGGGCGCTACCTTTTAAATGGACGGACCACCGGCTTCGATCTGCTACTACCTTTAATGCTGCTTTCTTCCATTCGGATGTTTATATTGGCCGAACCACTTCCACGCACGGCGTTGATGACGACATGAATACCAGGAATCGAGCGATTTTGAAAGCTTTGCTGTCTGTTGCGCCTGCGGTAAAAGGAACTTGTAAAGATACCCCAAGCTGTTTTTTTGCTTACGTCTTGTTTGCTTCGAGCGATATACTTGGGAGGAAGAATTTTGTTTGAAGAATTTTGTTTCATTGGAGTTTTGCTCAAGAGGAAAATGGAATGTGAGCCACAGTCAGGCCCACTGGCTCTGGAGAGCTTGATAGAGATGGAAGGAAAGCCAGGCATTCACCGGCGCATGGAATGATGACTACGAGTCTAGATGATGAAAAATTGTACTACGAAACACCAACTCAAGAGTGGTCACCATGTTCCCTCCAAATGGATTGGCGAAATCTACCGATATATGCTGTACAGTAATACTCTCGCCGTCACCGGCACGAAGCTTTTTTTTTTCAAAAATTCAAAGCCTCATAAATCTTTGACTTTCAATCATTTCCTATGATTTATCGTTCACCGGAGCCCAAAGCAAGGATTTAGACATTTTTGAATCTCTTAAAATTGCCAACACCTTCGCAAACCTCAGGGCTTCTTTCGATCATCAACCGAAGCTTTTTTTTGTTCCCCTCCTAAATAAATCTCCTTGATTCTTGCATTTGACGTGCCCGGGATGTCAACAACCCAGTGGTGTGGGTGCTATTTTCAGTACGAAACCCCAGAGGAATGGATGGTCGACTCTCACTACAACACAAGGCATGAAGTCAGGCAGGCAGGCGAAATGTGATCGACGTTTAATTCCGATCTTGTGGTTTCGCCTGCCGTATTGTATGTACATCCCTTTGTAGTTGGCAAATTTCGTCCCCAATTTAAAGGTTTCGGGTGGCTTAGGGGTGCGGCAAGCTAGTGCACAGACCTTCCGCTTCTTGGCTATCAGATAGACCCCTTTATATGCTATTCTAGCACGTAAATCTATGCTCTTTTATGTAAATAATGTCGTTGTATACTGCTTTCTATCGAGTGTCGAATAAGTCGTTACCTAATAAAGGGCTCGAGTCGGAGGAAGAGGAAGGGGCCGAATTCGAGGTATATAACCCTCGGGTGCCGGCGGAGGAGACCGATTCGTACGAGGATAGAATTAGAGAGGAAAAGGTCGAGTTTACTATAGTAGAAGGGCTAGATCTGCCTCGGTCGTAGAACTTCAATCCTCTATAGGCACTACCGAGTATAGAACGTTAGTTTTATATCCCCGACGTTAATAGGGACTGCTTACACGATATAGAACTGCCTTCTAATTGTAGCTACGCTTCTGCTAACAAATCTATATACGAAGACTATACCGCTAGTCGAACCGAGTTTAGCAAGGCCTAGAACCTCCTATAGAGGGTCTAGGAGCTGTTTTAGACCGCGGAGGTAAAGGAAATGGTTACTAGCTTCACTAATTAGTATATCGACTAGCAAAGAGACAACGGCCTTACTAAGAAGGTAAAACGATAGGCGGCTAATTATAAGGCTATTAAGACAGCGGAAATCGATATCTAGCTTAGATTGGTGTATTACATCGGCGTAGTTAGTTAGAATACGCCTAGTAACTGCTAGGCGGACGATATAATAATGCCGTACTACCGTGCTATACGGTTTATAAAGAAGCGTCGCTTCTTATAGGTAAAGAAGTTTATTAAGCTATCGAATGTAGTAAAGGACTAGGTGCTAGCGACGAAGCATTAGTATATGAAACTAGAGCCGATTAGCAGTCGCATTAAGGCCGCCTTTAAGAGACACTGCTTACCTCGAAGCTAGGTATCGATTAACGAGATTATTGTCCGCTTTACTAGCCGTAGTAGACACGTTAAGGTTATTAGAAACAAGCCTTATCCGGAGGGCTACGAGCTTCTCGCTCTTTGCGATGCTAGCTATATATACGATTACATATTTAACTCGCTTATTTCTAGCTTCGAGAATAACCGTCCGCTAAATAACGAGGAGGTAGCGCGAGTGCTAGAAGGTTGTTAGAATAAGGAAGAAGTTGCTATTACGAAGGGCTATATTAAACGGCTCTCGGCAACGGCACGTGCTATACTCCGCCTAGCCCTTAGCTTGCTAGCAGGTAGGCAACACTGTATCTATATAGACAATAGGTTTACTAACGTACTATTATTATCGTATATGCGCTTTGCTAGGGTTGCTAGATATAGTACCTATAAGTCTAGTAGTGCAGATTATCTATAGGTGTTAAGGGCGGCAATAGTTAGTAGTAGGAAGAAGACTCGCCTCCTACTAGGCACTTTAGCGGGTATAGTAACGGCCTTAGGCAACGGTGCCGTTCTATCTCTTTTATAGCAAGACTCTAACCTAGTTTGCCTAGAAACGATAGTATATATAGGCTACGAGATAGACGAAATAAAGCGCCGAGCGCTAGTTATTAGGGGAAACACTAACAAATAGAAAAAGGACTTTGTATTAGCTATCTACGATCCCGTACTACAGGCACCCGATAGGAAGAGGGTTATTAGCTAGCCTCGAGTCGCTATCGATTACAACCTCTATATAGGCGGTATAGATATTTACGACTAATTGCGCTCCTACTATCCGACTTAGCTTATTAGTTATCGCAACTAGATGCCGCTATTCTTCTAGCTATTAGATACGATATGTATTAACGCCTATCTCCTTACTAAGCATAAATACGGTAACCCTCGCTAGTACGACTAGACAACTAAGTCCTCGCACTATAATACGCATAGACTCTTCCGCTATCGACTAGCTTAGAACCTTATCCTTTCCGGCGTACGAGAACTTTACGGACCGTACGAGACTAATATTAGGATAATAGAAGAGATAGCTGCAAAGATTAATATACTACGGCGGCGGCGGGTACGAGATAAGGACAGCAAGCGCGGTAAATATATCAAACAAGGCAAGACTAAGTTGCCTGTTTAGCTCTGCTTCTTAGAAGAATATAAGCCTATTAAGGTAGAGCTAAAGCACTGTCAATTCTGTATATTTAAAGAGCGGTGTTAGCAATAGCAAGTAGATAAGTATAAGACAAGGTAGCGCTACAACGACTATAGCTAGTACCTCTATATTAAGTGCTATAACGACTTCTATAACCTTATACCTAGCTACTGCGACTAGACCTTGCCTCGCTATAGTCGATCCGCCGTATTTTCGAAGGCCGCTTAACTATAGCAGCCGGTAGACGACGACGCGCCTACTAAGCCTAACGTTAACTAAACTCGTCGAGTCGCCGCTCTAATAAATACACCTTGCTAACAAGCCGATAGATTAACTACTCGAGCCTTAGATAGCGGTCTTTAATAGAAGGAAGGTCGTCTGTTTCTAGGTCTAGGTTTGCGGGTGTAACCGGCTTACTAAGCCGCCTTAATATCGTTCTAGTGTCCTCTTCTTTAGGCTCCTTTGCTAATAATTTTGGTATAGTTAGTAGCGTACTAGAGAGGGTCGAAATCTGACTTAGGTGCGGCGATAAGACAGGCTTATTATCCGAATATTAGCTCTATAGCAATAGCATTAGAATTGGCCTTCTATACGGCTTAAACTACTTACTTCCGCTACCTCTAACCGCTCTATTATAGCTTGTATTTACTACTAGGTCTATTACATGCTAATAGCATAAGATTGCTAATGTTTAGAAAACCCTAGCATATGCTAGGCTAGAAGGGGTTTAGTTATTCACTTAACGGAAGGTCCGGAAGACTAATATTAGCCTTCGGTGGCTAGCTAGGGTTGAAAATACACTTTAGACAATAAAGGGATACTTATAAAAAGGCGAGGCGAGCGAGCTGTCTAACTCTAACGCACTCTTGCTCCCGTCCCGTCCGTCCTAAATCCTATTACAAAGGCAGCTAACCGCACGCACTTCGTATAGAATCTCGAATTTGTAAGAGCCTGTTAGTATTAGGCATCCGTTGTAGTGCAAATACAATCTTAATCGCCTAAGCTTTATAGTAAGAATTATTCTTAAATTTTGTATACGTTATTACTTACTTTTGTTTCTTATAAGTAAGTCCCCTAGAATTGCATTTAGTACTTATAGTCTACAGTTTTAAGCACATATTTATTACTAGAGAGATATATATATACTAATTTAAAGCTAAAACATTAAGAATTATATCTAATACTATAATTAGGCTCTAGTAGGCATTATCTAGTATACTAAGTACTACGTTAGATAATATAATAAATAGCTAGAGTAAGGATCTTATAGTATAAATACTAGCGATTTTCTAGCTAGAGTTAGCTATTTAGTATATTTAGGTTAGTATATTTTCTAAGTAATATATATCCGATATCCTACTTTAGTTATCTAGCTATATACTAATAATATTCTTAGCAAGCAAATACGCGCCAAGTGTTATAGATCGCACGATTAGGGACCCCGACGTGTGCCCTATAGCGGGGATCACAGATCAGTGCGAAGCTGTGTGCAGCACGTGGAAAACTTCACTGCCGGTGTCTTGGACATTCGTGTTCCGTGCGTGTTCCTATTCGCCGCCGCTGGCCTTCGATATGCGCTGCGCTGTGTCGTGAGGTTGGGCGCCGTAGAATACCGTGGTGCTTGTGCTTGGCTTGGTCCTGCAAAGCGAGGATCATGCACGCACGAGGACTATTCTAGACGGAGCTGCGACAGTCCCGCCCAGCCCAGCCCACGGCGAAAATACGGCGGCTTCTGATAAGGCGAAGCGAATGATCAACCTGGTGTACTGTACTATACGGTACGTATTGTAGAAGGATGTGCGATGTGCATGCATCCATCCCCAGTGCTACACGCACGACCAGAATCCCAACTCCAACAAGTTACAGATCAGTCCTCCGTACCTATGCTGATCGCCTGAGGCATGCATCCGGCATTCCGGACGAGGTTTGACATCCTGCTTCCACCTTCAGCGGCCACAGCGTCTGCCTCAGACGATCAAAAACTTCCGATCCTGGTGACACCGCGGCCAGGCAGAACGGAGAAGTCCATGCATGCGTTCTGTGCAACCGCGCGCAAGGCATGTCCAAAAGGCCCTTTTCCAGTGGCGACCTGCTGCCATTCCTACTAGTCGCACACCCTCCTGACATTCCCGCCGCGCACTGCAGCACAACTGTCGACGTCAAGCGGCAGCTATGTGTCCCGCCGGGCCAGGCCAGGCCAGGCCAGAGGTCCTCTTGGATGTCAGGAAATTTAGCGTACCACTGTTTCGATCAGTGGTTACCTTCCGGAGGGCGTTATCTACTGATTCAGTAGTGTTGGTCTAGCATTTGACGGTACTTATCCTCTTCTGGTACCGTAATAACCTTCTCGGTTATACTGCTAGTTCTAACCGCACCTCTAGCACCTCCGCGGCTCTTTATAAGTGCATTCTTGTTATATAAACTAGGCTCTTTCTAATAGCTACAATAGCATCTTATAGCTCTTATCCTTATCGTTATAATGTCTAAACTAGTGCCGCCGCCGCCGTCGTCGTTCTTTAGGCCGGATCGCATTCTATACAATATTATCGATATTCGAGAGTAGCTATTTAATATACCTAAATACGGATTAACGTACGATCCGGACCGGTTCGAGGTATTAAAGGGGTATATAAGTAATATATAGGAGGAGGCAAGGTCGCCGAGAACAAAGGACGGTTTAAAGTAGCGAAGCTACTAGTATTGTCGTTATAGGCGCGATTAGTAGCGGAAGAGGGTAGTAGTAGATAGTATTCGTAAGGCTAAATACAATAAAGAGCCTTATAATGCGGCAGTAGTCGTAATATCGCATTATCGTAATAGGTAGTCTAAACTATACGAAATTAGTATCCGCCGCCTTCGAGCTAATAGTAACCGCTAGTTAACCGCTAGTAAGCTAGCAACTACTCGTAGACTACGTACTAGATAATAACGAGGTCGACGAGATAGTAATTAGCGTAGATAGGCCTTCCGCTATAGTCGTAGAAAGCGGTAATTATATAGCAATTCTATAGCAACAACTCTTAGTCTATATAATAGTCTCTTTTACTGCAAAATTGCTACTTCTATAATAGTTAAATAGCCGCTTCTACGATAGTTAGCAATAGTTAACCGATAGGCTCGAGAGAGGCGCCCTTCTTAACCTAATTCGTTACTACCGCCGAGTAGTTTTCAACGCCACAAAACAGGAGGATTGCGGGAGCTTATTGCTAGTAATTACTAGCGGAACGGCTGTTCCACTCCTCTGGTTAAGCTTTCACTAAAACTCCTGACATCCAAGACAAACCTAGGCCAGGCCAGCAGAGCTCTCCCCCGACCAGCCACCCAGCAGAGGTACTACTGTCCTGTCCAGCGGGACCACACGAGAAGCCAATCCTGCCAAACGTGTCAATGACTTTGCATGTACATCACTAGGCCAAGCCCGCAGCGTAAGGCCGGCCGCAAAGTGTGACAACCAGCGTTTGAAGAGCATCCTCAGGCTCTCACGGCAGGCAGTTCGTCCAACACAAGCCGCCAGGAAGCTTGGAATCTTGGATCCACATCCATGGCGAACGAGAGAACGATGCTCGTGAATGCTGCCTACTCGTACAGTCGGAGTCGAAGCAGCAACGCGGCAGCCCGGCTTGTGACATCCATTTGGAGTGGCAACCTCGATCGTACCGCTGGTACTACGGGAGAAATGTCGCAAGCTGCACACTGCCGACCTGTCTATCAACGCCTACATATCTTGCGGCATGTACCCCTGCACCTAACGATCTGGGCCCCTTCTGCAGTGAAAGCTGTGAGCGACCAAGGGGTCCGGTATGGGTACTCTCAACGACCACCAAGACACAGACACTCAGATCTCCCTATCCCGAAATAGGTCCTCTGGCAGAAGTGAGCACTGCTGTTGTACCAATCAAGACCCTGGAACTGTGCCCTTAGACTCTTGTCCTACATCGATTATAGGTAAGACGGCCAAGATAGCAACCACAACTGCCGGGACCCTCGAAGGACGTCAGGATCACCAACGATATGTCTCCCAAGGACTCATCAGACTTCCGCCATCAGCATCACCATTGCAACCAGAATGCATATAATCCCTACCTTCGGAGTTGCCAGAGCCTTCCATCAGCTACGCTCAGTAAAAGAGCGTCACATCTCCCGCAGCAATGATGCACTGCACTCCTAGCGCGCTCACCAACGCACATATGGGGCGTAACAGAATATGACCGAGAATGCAATAGCAGCCACTCAAGACCCTGCCTCTGTCCTGTAGACGCATCGGCTTGACCAACGTTCTCGCCCTTCCTCCGCGGCACTCGTGACACGTCAAGCATCGGAATACAGTACATACTCCCATCCATCCACCTGCAAGCCTCACACCTGAATCCACGTCTCGTGATGACGAAAATTTAAGCGCGACTACTGCAAGGCCAAGACTAGTAGAGCTTAGTCTTGCATACTGCTTACTACAGCATATGCGTCTCGACGGCTGGGCTGGTTCGATTTCAAGCCAATGAAGAACATGTGGCAGCCAGAAAGACAAGCACACCTCAGTACCATGGAACTCGCTCTCTGTCTCAGATGTGAACTACTGTGTCGCGATCTTTTCTCCGATGGTCCCGTTCACCGCTTGTCACGGGATGGGATGGGATGCGTCCACACTTCATTAGGACCCCGATCATGTACAGTATAGACTTCTCACGCCATTCGATTAGCACTGCGTTCTCCGAGAACGCATCGAAATCGCTACTTCAGAGTAAAATCCCGTCGATGGTCTTGTTTTTGAAGACGACGATACATACAATATGGCTACTGTGCGAAGAACGAGTCAGTTCGTAGAAGGTTAGCAATACGTTCTTTGAACCACAGTAGGAGTGAATGCTATGCTGTGGTAAGTATTCGACGGCTTTGAGATTGTGTTTATCATTGTTGAATATCCCTGTTGTTCAACTCTCAATAGAACTACAGCAGTCGGGAAATATAACTATTTCTCGCAAGAAACCACTCTTGCGCTGAGCGTCTTGAATATATCATCACTTTTCTTAAGACATCCAAATCCGATGCTTCAGATCATCTCCTTTTTGTCCTAGCTATCAATCAGACCAATCCTCTCTCCTTGTAGGGCATATGACTACCGCAGATAGTGCAACGTTTGCTTACCCATCAGGCTCGCCTTTTCCCAGGCGACAATGTGAAATGACACAATGCCTGCCTCCATGATTAGGGAAAATTTTCTCCAACACGCCGACGATGAGGTGCTATCTACCGATCACCTCGTATAGGATAAAAACATTTCTCAAACATCCGAACAACGATTTCTTTTGTAGACTCGCCCCCAATGCTTTTGGAAAATTTCTAGTATTGGTTCTTGGAGGCGGGACTGGAGCAAGCAAAGATTAACGGGAGACCTGTCTAAGCCAGAAGCAAGAGGTATCGAAAAGGCGTTGTTCCCTGTCCTCTGGTACTCGACCATGTTCATTCGTCGCGACGCATTATTGCGGCCAGCAGGTGCAGTTATCATTCAAAAAAAACGAGAGTGACGAGAAAGCCTTAGGTCAACAACATCAGGCTCGCGCGCGCTCTTCATGACATTCGAAATACCATCAACTATGAATAATATGGGTGGATACAAGACCTCAAAGGGAAGAAAGCTGGCTGATAACAAGAAACACGGCACCATTCAACCATTCATTTCCATAATGCAAGCTTTGCTTCGTCTCTCACCCACTTCGCTTTCGCAGTCGTCAACATGCAATCACAGGCGCTCGATTCGGAACTATGCACACGCCACTGCTGTCCCTGCATCTCCGTCATCCCCATCACATCACAATCCCATCACTCGTGCACTACTGCTGACGGAAGTGATCACACAACTCAAACAAGGAAGACGGAAATGGAGGGAGCAGTCCACTATCAGCAGATGCTTCATGTGTGATTGCCACCCTGTTGCATGCTTACTGTGGTAAGACCGTATGTGGCCGCAAGGCTATGCCTACTCCTGTATCCGCTGCTCTGCCGATGCATTCGTACGACTTTGTTCCCGTACCGCATGTCTCTATCCTCCACCCATGCTCCTTCTACTCTCAAATCGGTTGCTTTCCCTCTCGAACATGTCCAAAAGACGTCATAACACAAGCGTCGGATGATTGCGAAGTCGTCTACGCGGAGACCACAAAAGCATGCTGTGGTCGTGTTTTCATGTACGATGTCCATGCTAGCTTGCTAGGTTCATATTTATGACGCATGGGGTATTTTCCTTTCCCTCAACGGGTAAACAGCCAAGAGATGACTCGGGCTGCTCTTTGGGTTTCCTGCGAGCGTGCGGAGTCTAGCCGGAACGCTGCACGACAGCAGGGCGGAAGATCTTGGTCGCAGCGGGCGGTGCTGTCTTCGGCTTGCCATTGCCAAGCGTGTCGCGCTTTGTGTCGCTCACGAATGGATGCCGCAGCGCATCTTTCGGCTTAATTCTCTTCTCTGGGTCGAGTTGCAAGCACTTGTCGAGGAGGTCGACGAATGCAGTGTGTAGCTTCAATTGCGTAGCATCCATCTTCTTCGCATTGGCACTAAGCCTCGACTTCAGGTCTCTGCCGTGCACGCCCTGCGAGAAGTGCATCGGGCGCTGAACAAGGTTGCCTGTCATCTTGTCTCGCTCCAGGGCGTGGAAAGTGAATGCCTCATCGAAATACTTGTCCGCAAGCTGGGAACGCTTGATCAGGCGGTTCGGTAGCTTACCACGGCACTCTTGAATGACGCGAAGCATATTGTTGTTGTCCGAGCCATTGAACAGGATGCGACCAGTATACAATTCGTACAGTGTACAGCCAATTGACCACATGTCGATGCCATAGTCGAACTCCATGCCCAGAATAACCTCTGGAGCACGATAGAAGCGTGAGACCAAGTATGGAGTGAGCTCGGCATCTTGCTGGAGTGTGGCGGTACCAAAGTCACAAATCTTGATGTATTTGTTGTCGGCGCTTACCAGGATGTTGTCTGGCTTCAGATCGGCGTGAAGGACTTCCTGGGTCTTCATGTGAAGCAGAGCGAGCAGCATCTGCCGTGTGTAGATCTGGATGGCTTCCGGGTTGATGCCGACGTCCCGACCAAACTTCTTCAACGTCTCTCGCAAGTCCATCTCCAGGCCCTCAAATACCAGACAGAGATGACCTTTGTGCATGAAGTCGCGCAGGAGGCGGATGATGTACTTCTTGTCCTCCGGATCGGCTTCGTTGAGACGGTTCAGGAACTGCATTTCCCTCTGACCAGCTTTGAACATTGTCTCGTTTCGGCAAGCTATCTTGATGGCAACCATAGCGTTGGTTTGGGTGTCACGCGCTCTCACCACGGTGGCGAAAGTACCCTTACCGATCTGCTTCTCCACAGCATACCGACCATCCAGGAGCTCACCATTGATGATGCGATAGTGACCATCGGGATAGTCCCAATTGTCCAAGAGGCTTTCATCGAGGGCACGAGCTTGCTTAGTGGCATCTACCTTGATAGGTGCATCATTTGCTGCAAACATATCATCGTCGTCATCGGCAAACATATCGAAGTCGTCCTTGGGCTTCTTCGGCGCCGGTGCAGGTGCTGGCTGTGCAGGTTCTGCATTGGCGTGGGCTGTTGGGTCCTGCAAGTCCTGCCGTTTGTGACCTGGCCTGTCCTCATGCATGTCCTGGTTTGGATCGTAGTCGGCGGCAGACTGACCTTGGTCTTCAGCATTAGCGGTCATCTGGATGGGATTCATGAGGTCTTCATCGTTGATGGACGCCGGCGAGCCAGGAGTTGAAACATCTCGAGGTGTTCTCGGCGAGTTCAAAGACGACGGGGGCGACTGGGCTTCTGAGCCGTGGCCACTGCTTTCGTGGTATGGTGTGGTGGAAGTAGAGGGCAAATTCGACTCCAGCGTGGCTCGCAACAGTGAATCATTCGTTGACGCTGCGGCATGCTTCTTTCGAATGGCCTCGCGCTTCTTGCGGCGCTGCTCGATCAGCTCGGCTTCAGAGAGCTGTGGTTGAGGCTGAGGCTCTGGAGCATCTGCATCTGCCACGGGCTCGCTGCGAGTAGTATCAGTGAGTGGTCTTGACGATGCATCGTTCCGGGCGTCGTTTTCGTCAGACTGCACCGTCGGTTGTCGGGATGGCTGCTCTGGTTGAGAATTGTCTTTCTTAGTACCACGGACATCATTTGCAGAAGGTGTACTTGCACGTCTTGAATTGCCAGGGTCGGAAGGCGCGTCGGCTTGGCCGGATGGTCCGCGTCTGCTTGATGGGCGTTCGTGGCCGGATGCGGATGCGGGTGCGCCTGGAGCTCGGTATGGCGATCGGCTTCTGTCGCGGTCATGACGGCCGTGTGGCTCGCGGGTGTTGCGATTCCGGGCATGCTTGACGTTGGCGTATCCAACACCAGCGCCGCTTCCACTTGCGCTTCCATTTGCATCTCGATAGCTGCCTCGCTGTACCAGGCGGTCCTCGTAGACCTTGTGTCGGCGCGTGTCTGATGCGCTCTTGCCGTAGTGGTCGTCTTGGCGGCGTCGCTTCTCCGCGCCACTGCCACCGCCACTGCCACCGCCTCCGCTCCGTCTGTCGGCGCGGAATGGCGATCTCGAGCCTGAGCGATCTCTTCTGAATGGCGAGCGCGAGCGCGAGCGCGAGCGATCACGTGTGTCTCTGTCTGTGCCGTATCCGTTGAAGTGGGCGTTCCTATCGGACATCAGAGCGTCCCTTCCCCTGCCCGCCGGGCGCGAGTGCGAAGCTCGAGATGAAGACGTCTGAGTGTGTCTGGGCGAGGTATTAACAGTGGTGCTGGCATATCGAGGCGCGTTCTTTGTAACCTTCTCCCCGTCTCTGCTGCCGCTGCGGCTGCGGCTGCTGATCTCGCCCTCGGAGAGCGACGGCGAGCGCGGACTCATCTTGCCAAGTCCAGTCGTACTCGCACTGATCTCCCAGACGCCGCCCTGTGCGCAATGTGTTCAAATGGTTAGCAATCGTGATCACCGCCAAAATCCTCGCTCTTGGCTCCCGCACAGATGTGATGGAAGCAGTGTGGACGGTATCTCACAGGCTGATGGCTTCGCAGAGAGTCACGCTCTCCGTGAATTGACGACTGGTTGAAGGGAATTTGAAGGAAGAAGGCGCTGGGCTGCGCGCAGGAGGTGCTTGCTGGGAATACGGTGTGTGTCTGTGTCTGCGCAGAGTGGTTGCTCGCGTCAAGCGAAGGCAGGAGTCAGAGCCTGCGAACGCCGACGGACTTCGCTTGCCGACGCCGGGTCATGATCACGTGCAGATATGCTGACTAAGCATTGCACTCTTTGTGTCTCTCGAAGCAACATCCCCTCTTCTCGAACGCTCCTACATTCCGCCAACGTGGAAATGCATGTTCTATCGACAGGCTACTTGGTGATCAATGTGGAGAGCATCAGAGAGGCAAGATGGAGAAGCGATAGCCACGGAGTCTGCTGGCTCTATCAGCATCAGCTGATAGTCGTGCTGAGTGAATAACAGGTGGCTGCCTGTTGATCACAAGCAATTGCAAACGCGCAAGCATTTTATGTCATATCGGATTTCCGCTGATTAGCTTCGACCTTGCCTTGAAATTAAATACGACCGACTTGGCTCAATCATAAGCTCGTCCTTGACCTTGACGAATCTAACACCACTCGAGGACAACATTGTTGTCTGCTACATTTGAACACAAATTCTCTCCGCCGTATAGCAATCGTCCCATCGCAATTCACATTCAATCCATTCTTCGTACAGTCCTGCGTCAACGACTCGTCCCCTTTGAAGCAACGCCAGCTTCCTCAGATCACCACCAAATTTCCCCGGTCCAATCCCAACCTCATCTTTCGCAAGATGTATATCACTCAGCCTCCTCTCCCAATCAAGGTCTCGACCATCGATATTGACTCGAGGGCCTGCGCAAGACATTGCAAAGAACGCATGCTAGAAGAGAATTTCGATCTGGATTGGAAGCCGACCCACGAAGCTCTTGGCAAAGGTGTAAAGTTGGGAGAACTCATCGACGTCTTGCATGAGCGGGTCCGAAGCGTCTGTCCGTACTCGAAGCCTAGAGTGGATAGCCTTGGTGGCTTTGGCCTGACCATTGAACTGGCGGACGCTGAGGACGATGTCAAGCCTGGACGAGACACCTATGAGACACAGGAGGCCAGGGAGGCGCTAGGAGAGATCCAAGATCTTGCAGCGGAGAACGAAACGGAAGACTCGAAGCCTTTCTGTGTTCCACGCGGGCCACATGAGTCGCCAGTAGAGATGGGCTATGCCGCACTTCGTGCTATGGATGACGAGGATGAGAGCGAGTCGAGTGAGGACGAGATGTATACGCTCTAAGCAGAAGCAGAAGACAAAAGCCGATACATCGTCGTAATAGCATTTTTCATTCATCGACGCAACGCCTCGTTCCGCTCCAGTACATCTTGCTTTCCAACTCATGTTGCCTTTCCTGCTGCTATGCTAATTCTTAACTTTCGCTACATGTCCTTCAGTTCCTGAGAAGGTATCAAGTGAGAATGCCCAACCCGTCCGCCCACGCTTCAAATTCCTTTCTCTGTCTCGTCTGATTTGAGCGACCAGTGTCGATGGCTAGGGGGGCAACGTTTTGGAGCTTGATGGTCGAACTCGGGAAAGGAGATGTCGTTCCAGATTTCCATGTGGTCTTGATGGCCGCGAGACCGGTCTTCAGAGACTCGAGGTGACGGGTGCACACTGAAGTAATAATGTTGAGATTTGTCATTTCGTTGCTGGGATGGGGTTCTCCGAGGGAGAAGTGTTGGAGAGGGGATTGTATGGATTGCAGAAAGGATGGAAGGGCCAAAAGGTCGGCGTTGTCGATTCGGTCGATGCCTAGGTCGTTAAGACTTGACAGGGCTGGGCTGAACTCTTTCAGGATGTCTTCGTCCGCTGATGAGAGATGCAAAGTCTTCAGCTTCGATTAATCCATTCTCTGCGTCCGGGTCTTCAGGTTCTCGACTTTGTGTTCCTCCTCCAACGCTCCTGTGCCCCTTTCCCTTTTCAATCTGTCCTGAGCATAATAAGGTACCGTTCATCGGTTGTCTTGTTCCCACCCCATCCATGCATCGACAGCTTCAACCAGATTCTCCGGAACCCATGCCCAGATGCCCTCAATCCCGCCAATATAGTCCCATCGATAGTAGAAAGTGTCAATCAGCGGTCTCCGTAACCAATTCCAAGGCCAGCCTATGGATATCTGCCATGCATCGTTGCAGCACTTCCAACAGTTTGGCCATTGGACGAGGCATTGAAATAATAATATTGTGCAGACTCCGATCGTACGTACGAAGATATTCATTTAGTATTGCTTAGGGATCGATGGGCAGCTAGGGCTCGGGCGGGGGCTCGGGGAAGTGGCGAGGGCTTGTAATAGGTAAGTGCTCTGAGACGCCAGTCTGCAGGAGAGGCCGCCAATCAAGACCTGCAGGCAACTGCTGTGGATTTGTTCATAGTACATGCCGTGATAGGTTTTCGCAGCGCATTGCGATCGCGCAGCGCTCGTACAACTGAGTGCAATGTCTGTCCCGTCGAGTTAACATTCATTACACCTCCGAAGAACACTGGAACCATCAGCCCCAAGGAGAGCTTGACACCGATGCTGGAGGGTTAGGGAAAACACCAGTAACTAAGCCTCGAGCAGTTACAGCTCAGTCTTTGACATGCAGAGGCATGGTGGGCAGCAGCAGCAGCAGCGAAGGCGACGAAGGCAGTCGGAAGCCGGACTGAGAAGGTCGACAAGTTCATCAGAAGTGCAATATACGCCGCCCGGTCCTGATGACGAAGAGGGACGGAGAATACGCCCCGGGGGAACCACTGATCCGAGACCACCAACGAACCCACGGCCCCGTCCAAAGCCAAGCACGCCTTCGCCTGAGACCTGTCGGTACATCTCTGAGCAAGTGTCCGAATCAACAGCGAGCGCCAACACTAGCAACACTTTGGGCTACCTCAGTGATTATGGCTCTCTCGCGGGTCCTTCTGGAACGTCAAGCTTGACAGCAGATCTCGATCAACTGTCCATATCAGGTCCAGCAAGCAATCTCTTCGGGGTTCGGGATGCCCGGTTCTTCGAGATTGGACGTGTCTTCACGATTCCAGGGGACGGCGTGGACCAGCGTTTCCAAAATTATGTCGTAGTCCAAAAACTCGAACAGAACCAATGCCTTGTACTTCCAATAACCACATATGGCCGTCAAGGTGTCGCTAAGACAGGTGTTGTGAAGGCCAACCACGGCACCATCTACCATGGTTCACGAGTGCCAGAGCCACGATCCGACGAGCGACCACATCGTGGGGAAGAGGTCGAGCTCTCAAGCTGCAGTCAGGCAGCCATCTGCAATGGCCATCCAAGCTTCGCAAGCGCAAGCTGCGTACCAGCGAATGCTCAGGGAAGGGTTCACACAGTATCAAGCGGTCGCAGCTATGGCGCGAAGCCTCCAGGAAAGGGATCCTAGTCTGTCTCGGGAAGGCGCCGTGGCCGCAGCAATAGGCAGGCTACGGTATCGAGGATCGTAGACGTGTAGAAACGGTCTTAACCAGAATACCAGCCTGTAGCGTGTTCAAGCCGGGTCTCCGCCATTGTAAAGCAGATTCAAGAGCATCCGAACTTCCATTAGAGCAGTCGTGAAAGAGGAGGTGGTCTGCGAATTATCAGGGATAGATGACTCGGACAATCTGCCTCTAGAGCCTTGATATTGTGGAATTTTTCAAGCGACGAAACCTGAGCATAGAAGTTGATTACTGAGTACTCACTAGTCAGCGGCTGTAATCATAATCATAGTTAATAATAAGTGAGTAATTAGTAATTATAATTACGTAATTATATAATTAGTACCTATAGTAATGCTTAGGGTTAAGAACGAGGTAGATCTATAGGCGGTCGTTACTATCGATAGCGCCTAAGACTAAGTATAAGTCCGGTAATAGTCCTTCCTCTTCTACCTCTTCTAGTATAGCTAATTCTAATAGTACCTTAGCAACCCCTGTTTTTATCTAGTTCTTCGAGTACTCGTTTATACGAATATAGTTACTACTTATATATATACGGTCCTATCGAGTAGTACGGCGGCTTATACTAAAGGTCCTCTCTAACTCGGCGGATATAGTAAAGGCTAACAATATATTAATAGCTAGTTACTATAACGCTGCATCGTAGGTCTTCTACTATTAAATCTACTAGTTAATAGGACTTATTATAACTAGCTTCTCGAGGCTAACTAGTAGCAGTACTATTAGACTAGCATAAATAAAGGCTTCGAAGGGGTCCTAATTAGTAGCAACTAGGTTAGTTTGAGACTTAATTTGCTAGCGCTTAAGGTCCGATAGTCCTTTAAATAAGCGCTATAGCGTAGACAGTAGTTAATAGCTACGTCCGAAGCGTGTCTTATAGTCCTTCTAAAGCGCTATAGACTGCAACAAGGTAGTGTCTATATCTACCGCTAAGCGGCCTCTAAGCTAGGCAAGTCGTCGGCTTGGATATAGCAAGACTATAGTAACATATAGAGGGCTCTTCTAGTTAAGGTCGTAGTACTTGTCGAATAGCACTCTAGCTATATTAATAGACCTAATAAGGACCTTGCGGTAGGCGTTCTTACTAGCTAAGCGAAGGAAATAGCTTCTTAGGTATTCTATAGACTCTTAATATATATCGAATGTAATAGTATAGCCTTAGAGCCGAAGAGTAACCTCTTTAAATAGACTAAGAAACTTCCGTATATAGGTAAGGACCTTCTAGTCGTCGTCGGCTAAGCTAAACTCGCGTAGGTACGGTATTCTATCGAAGAAGGTGTTTAAGATTAGCCTAGTTTAAATAGCCTCTTCTATTATTAGAAGCTAGCTATTCTAGCGTGTTTTACCGGGGATCTTTAGCACTATATATAGCAGTTGTAGCTAGGCCTTATAGACCTCTTAGAAGATGTTGTTATTATCGTTCTTATGTAGAAGCTTAGCGAGTGCGAATAACCGTTATAATAGACCTTGTTTAATAAAGGACTTAATATCTATATCGAGCTACCTCGAGATTAAGACGCTATCGCTATCGTTGCTAAGCACTTAGTTAAAGTCCTTACTCTTAGCAGCCTCTACATCCTTAGCAAACATAAAGGCTATAGTTATACGGTTAAGAATATAGCTAATATAGCGGAGGCGGCGGTTCTTCTAGGAGTAGCCTTGCGAGTCTAGGAAGCGCTTAATAGCGGCACTAAGTGTATTGTTATTAGAGCCGCTATTAGTCGTTATCTAGCTAAGTTTGCTAGCTATCTCGAAGGTTAAGAAGCAAGGCAGGACACTCTTAGCAAGGAAGTCGCTAGTATAAGAGCTAGGTAGAAGTTATAGCAAATCTAGTAGTATTTAGACTAGGCGGCCCTATAGGTTGATATACTAGCAATTAACGGCTTAGAAGAACTTATAGCTATACTAAGACTTCTATATATTAGTACAAAAGTAAATACAACTAAGCGCTGCTAATAGTGCTTATTTGACCCCTTCTCGCTAGCTCTCGAAGTTATATAGAATACGAGGAAACAGTAAAGTATAGCTCTTAAGAAGAACCTCCTCTATATATAGATTAACCGTTAGTATAAGGTCCTTAAATTCCTTCGTAACTAGCGTAGTATAAGCGATACTATTAGCTATTGCAAAGCGAGCGAGGGCGTATCTAAACTTGTCCTTATCCGTAGCGCCTTTAAGTATATTCGTCGTCTTATCCGACTTAATAGAGCCTTGCTTCTTCTATAGCGCCGAGAGGTTAATCTTCGTCTGCTTCTTATAAGTACCTTTAAGCTTCCGTTTCTTAATGCCGACGAATATAAAGTGCTTCTTAGCTAGGTACTAAGGCGCGTTACTAGAATTAGACGCGTACCGATTAGAGTCGTTATCGTCGTAGTATATATAGTAGAATGCCTTATGCCTGCCTCTATCGACCTTTAAAGGCTCTCTATCTTTTAGTGCTCTCGCATGCGCCTATAACGCTAGATCTAGCTAGTTCCTGCCCCTTCTACGTTTCCTTAACTCGGTAACTATAGGCGGAGGTATCGGCTATACTATATTCGAGGACTGCGAGGTAGATAGTCGAATAGAATTAGAAGATTAAAGGAATAAGGTGTCCTCGTCTAGTATTAGAGACAGCGCTTTATTAGCTTTAGAGGATAGAAGATCGCTTAGATCGCTCGAATTTTTATAGAATAGTATCTAATCTAGCGGCTCGTTTTCCTATATTAATGCTTAGGTATTTACGTAATTTTCTAGTACTTTCTAAGTTGGTTTATACTTCTTACGTAGGTTATCTCGTATATCGAATATATTGTTGTCTTAAACCAAACAATAAATATCGAGATTTAAGTTTGCTAGCGTACGGCTAAGCCGTCCGGACCTTGCCGTCCGTATTAAGCGAAGCTTATCTATTAGGCTTAGCTAGACCCTAAAGTGCTAATATAACGCGATAGGTAGGTGCAATAGCAAGCTCGAATACTAATGTCTACGACTAATTATACCTAATTAATAACAACAACCTTACTATCGCCGGTAGTACTATCGCTATCGATTAGACGGTATAGAACCCTATCGATCCGATCCTTAAATAGCGTCTACCGTATCGGATACTACGATTTTAGCCCGAGAAAGCACTCTTCTAAGTAGAAGCATAGTTTTCTACTAAACTTAAAGTAGCGACGAGAACCTAGCGCTATATATCTTCCTTTCTAGTCGATGCCCTTACTTACTTGTTAAATACTATTAGCTATACGCTCCTAGTATTCCTTGGCCCTTCGAACGATCTCCGACGTATACCGAAGGCTCTTTGTCGTCTTCCTTATAACCCTCCGATATAGCAACTATAAGCCCTCCTTTTCTGCCTCTCTAATATACTACTCGAAGTAGGTTTTTATAAATGTCGGGCGCTAGATTTTTAGATGTCGGGAGGCTAATGCCTTAGGCGAGACTTAGCAGATAGATTTGTTAGCGGAAACTATACAAAATAATCGCGCCTATCTCTACTATTATATATTAACCTCGACCTACCGAAATCGTGTCGCCTTACCTAGTATAGATAGTATACCGCCTTCTACTGCCGCTAGCTACGAAGGCGCCTTTCTTAACGATCTAGACTACTTCCTCGACGACTATTTAACGTAGGCGGACGCGTAATATAATGCCGCCGGCGCTAATAAAGATAGTAATAAAGGTAGTAATAGCGAGGGCGTAGAAGAGCCGGAATACTTCGAAGGCCTTAATCTATCGTTTCGAGGTCTAGCGACCGCCGCCGAATATACACTAATCGCGATACCTCCTAATACTATATACGATAGTTATATAGAAGCGTACGAGGCGCTAATGCAATTTAGTAAGGTTAAGGGTTTTGCGTAGATTAAGGCTAGCGATACGAAGAAGGTAGATAGTATCGAGTAGAAGGTTCCTTTAAAGTATAACAAAGGCCTTAGTCGTCGTCGATTAAAGGGTAGACGGAAGAAGGAAGGTAACGAGGAAGCGCCTACGCCGAAGAAGGTAAAGATAATAATACTAACTAGCGAGCCGTATAAGGCGACGATTAACCTCGTTGCCGTCGATAAGACCTAGTATAATAGCTAGTAGACCTTTACATACGGTAAGCACCCTTAATACAACTATAGAGGCGTTAATTTAACCTTAATTGCTATCTATAGGCGCCGCAATCGAGGTAGCAAGGTAAGAGACTTCCTTATTAACGCCCGCAGTTGCGGCGTATCTCCTAAACAGGTCCTTAAGATAACCTTTAATTACTTTGTTAGTAATAGCGACGAGTTGTCGAAGACAGGTCTAGTAATATGCGATATTTATAACGAATAGGCGAAGATTAGAGCCTTGAATTTAAATAGCTATATACCTGTTAATCGAGTGCTTTAGATACTCGAGAAAGATAGCTTCTAGTACGCCTATCGGACGGACGACGACTAGCGACTTACTGCCTTATTCTTCGCCTGTCCTAATATAGTACAGATTTATAAGGAGGCTAGCTATGTCCTTATTATCGACTGCACCTATAAGACTAACAAGTACAAATTGCCGCTTCTCGCTATCAACTTTATAACTTCTATAGGCTAGACCTTTCTATTAGCATACTACCTTATAATAGGCGAGAAGGAGTCTAACTATCGCTTCGCCTACGAGAGCCTCAATTAGATATCTAAGGAGTTAGAATTAGACAATCTAGCGGTTATCTTCTACGATAGAGACAGAGCCGAAATAAACGCCTTAGAAGCTATATATCTAGGCGTACTAATATACCTATATATATAGCATATAGATACTAATATAGAGGCGTACGTAATAGACAAGCTCGGTCGAGTAAGTGTTAATAGACGGTAGCGCTCTTCGGAAATAGCAGAAGACTTCCTTGCCTTCTATCGACGTTATATTAACTCGCTAACTAAAGCCGAGTTTAATACTAACTGCCTAGAAATGAAGCAATACGTACTATAACTGCTATCTTGGCAAGAGTGTGTTATATACCTTAATTAGCAATAGTAGCCTTATAAGACGAAGTATGTAAAGGCCTAGACTAACGACCTTCTTTACTATAGCTTCCGGACAACGTCGCCTGCTAAGAGCGGCTATGCTAGACTTAAGGGCTAGTTAGGCTCTATACGCAACGATATCTTTACGCTTATTGTTAAGATAGCGGCCTTCTTTAACGCATATACGCGGAGATATATCGCTATAAAGGGCAGGCTATAGAACACTATATCTACGGCCTTCTTAGACAAGCCGTTGTTATAGAAGCTTACTCTCGCTATTAACAACAAAGGCCTTAACCTCTTCTGCTAGCAACAAGCTAAGATTGAGGCCGAGTTGGCTTAGAAGGCGTTAGATCCGGACTATACAATGTCTACTTGCTTACATACCTTCCGGAAGACAATAGGTGCGCCGTATAGTTACGAGATATTGCTATTTGTTAATAGCCGCTTGCTAACCCCTATGCCGCTTCTAGACCTATTTAACGCCTTCTACTATATTCTAGGCGGCTAGTCGCCTAAGCGACTTGCTAACTATGTTATTAATCTATAGGTTAGGCGCTATAAGAGACAACTTCGCGCTTAGCTATTATACGCAGCTAACACTAGCGAATACGGCACTTAACGAGACCCTTCGAGGCATAAGCATATATATCCTAAATATACAGCAACTCAACTCGCACGCCGCAACGGTAAACCTGTCCGTCTAATTTAGTTAAATGCGCCTTCTTAAGCGACTTAGAAGAAGCTAAAGGGTTGTAGTTGCTAGCCGTCGAAGAACAGGCACTATAGCACTGCTAGTTATAGTTGTAAGAAGGGCAAGTTAGGCTCTAATAGATACTATACCTTCTATTGCTACGGAGATATTATATGCGACAATATAGATCTAGCGACAGTAAGGCCGACATAACAATAACAACTAGCCGCTATTATAGAAGAAGACAAGATTAACAAGTTAACGAAGCTCGTTAAGCAACAGCAACAACAGCTACAAGGCCTTCTATAGGGCACTACGTAGCAAGGCCTCGTTGCTAACTAAATTCTTTACTACTAGCCCTAGTAACTGTACTAGGCGATGCTTCCGCCCTCCTTGCCTACTCCTATATACCAAGTTTCTTACTAAATTAGAAGGCAACAGCAGGCGAGTTACATATAGCCGTATATAACGTAGGGACCGAGAGGCAACCCGTAGAGCTACGAGAGGCTTTAGCAACTACAGTATTAGCAGCTATAGTTTAGTAGAGGCAACTACGCTCTAGGCCGCCTATAAGGACTCGCTATGCCTCCTCCGCTAGCACCGGTATACTTACTAAATTTGCTAGGCAGATAGGGTGCTAAGGGAGGAACAGAGGGTAAGGAAACTAGGTATCTACGAGCAAGCAACCCTCCGCGGAGCTAGCAGCGAGAACGGCCGCTATTTAGTTAAATACTAAGTCGATAGATTAGCGGAACTAACAAGCTAGCTTTAGCTTGCCTTATATAACAACTACGCTACTACTATATAAGATATTATTATTAAATTAAACATATATTAAGATATTATACTTCTTATCCTTAGCGCGCTTTACTATGTATTAATATATAGTATTGTTGTCGAGATATAGACGCCGGAAGGTGTTAGAAATTAAGTGTTATGTTCTACCGGGTATACCTGCGCCCGACATTTAAAATTTCCGCGCCCGACATTTATTAAAACCCCTCGAAGTCCTTCTATGCCACTTCTTTAATAAAGGACAGTATACCCTACCTCCTTCTTAGGCTCTTTATAGTAACTTCTTCTATACGTATGCACCTTCTATACTACATACTACTATTACTTTCATTCTCTTTATAGTTTAGCGGCTTGCAGAAGTCTTCTATAAAGAGCCTAAGGACAAATATCGCAAATACTGCAGGTTAAGCGTTATGCCTACTTAGATATAGGCCTATAGTATAACAACTACGCATTTTCAGCTAAAGTTATGTTAGAATCGCACCTACGCAGCGATATAGGCAATAGAACTGTTTATACACCTAAGATTATAATGTCAAAGATACGCAAATAAAAACTATAAAACAGTATCTCGTAAGAAACGCTATGCGAATAATGCCCGGATACCCTCTATACCGATACTAACAAGTCCCTCTTACAATAGACAAAATATACGCGGACCCTTAGAATTAGCCGCTTTACAACCTCTAAGTGTTAGCTAGGCGTAAATGTGTCGCGTTGCTAGGTCCTAAGCATAATCCGGTAGACTACCAATTCTAGCTAGAATCCGGCTGTTTCTATCGTCCGGGGCCTCTAGGCGCAATCTTCCTTCGAGGCTACCGCTAGGTCTAGAGCCCTTTCTACCTCTTAAATATTCTTTCTAGGACCTAAATATGTCTCGGAATAGGCTATAGTGTCCTGCATTCGATTGCTAGATATTATGCACCGCTAGTTATATGTCTTCTAGATATATAAGGATTACTACGTAGAACAACTAACTTTTGTCCTTAGACCCTTGCTAACGTAAGGAGTAGTAAGCAGGTATAGCATTAGTTAAAGATCCGATAGTAGAAGGTGCGTATTGTGCCTGCCGCTACTACTTGCGTCTATATAGGAAGAGGCTAAAACGGAGATAGAGTATACCGGCTTATTAGAAGTATAGCTAAGTAGGAGTAATATAAGAGTCGGTTTAGTTAAGAGTTAGATAAGTCGCTAGTACGTCCTTTAGTAACAGCTATAGGTAATAGCTTTGTAGTGCTAAGAAGGCCTTAGTTAACTAGTCGGAGGTCTATACTAGCGGTAGTAAGAGGTCTTCCTCTTAAGAAGATATAGACTTAGCAACCTATTCAAATTAGCGACCTCGTATACTAATGTTCGACTTACATACCTCTCGATAGACGTGCCCCATTTTAGGTATGTTGTTGTCTATAGAAACAGGAGGAAATAGTGCGAATTTGAAACCTTCTATAGGTGTAATATATACCCTAGTATTGCCTTGGAATAACCGACTGATTACTAACTATAGTCACTAATCACTCACTCCATAATCATAATCGTAGTCACATATGATTACAGTAACTAGTGATTATTGGTAATCAATAATCAACAACTATGAACCTGAGAGAGGTCACAAGTTTGCAGCCAAGCTCGTTTGATCGGTCGCGGCTTATGTTATATTGTGATGATGCACGTATCAGCATCGAAGCGCAGACACTGGTAGGCTAAGTCCACCTCCTGCCACTTATTATGCCTCGTTGTATATGTCATTGTCGAATTCGACCGGGAAGCGATCCCGCCCTTCGGCATCTCTCTTCACCCAGATGGCAACGCTGACGCCGGGGCACCTGAAGTCGCCGAGGCCGTCTTCGCCAATGGTAACCTCGCCCTGTTCCCAGCCGAGAACATCAGTCCACACTTCACCTCGATGCATCTCTCCAACGAACATCCGAAGACTTCCAGGGCCTTTATTGCTCATCACGCATGCCAAGCCAGCTGGATGTTCTGCAGTGCCGAGTCGGGTGAAACCAATGCAATTGGGATCATCTAGATACTCATCTTGACGACCGTAGGCGTAGAGCTTGCGGGCGAGCGCCATGTCCGGAATCTTTCCAGATGCAGCTGGAGGCTCCGGACTATCACCCTTCATGCCGTACAGGTCGCCATAGAAAAGACAAGGATATCCGGCATCTTGAAGGAGAATCAATGCGTATGCTAGAGGCTTGAAGAAACCTTCAATCTTGGTGTCCATAGTCTGGCCTGGTTGCGTGTCGTGATTCATGACCACTGTGACGGAGTTTACTGGATCTCGCTTGGTCAGAGAATTGTCGAAGACGGTCCTGAGATCGGCGTCAGGTGTTGTGCTTAGCCGATTGAAGTTGTAGAGGAGCGGCGCATCGAATAAGCTGAACTTTCGATCCATGGCATCCAACCACTTTAACATGTTTTCTGTGTCTCCGGTCCAGAATTCTCCCACCATGAAGATGGCGTCTCCGCATTTCGATCGTACGTGCTGCACCCAGTCGTTTGCGAATCGTTCCGAGAAGTGTTGCACTGCGTCTAACCTGAACCCCTTCAGACCGACTTCGTTGACGATCCATTCACCCCAGTTCTTCACATCCTCTTGCGTTTCCGGATGTGAGTAATCGACATCGGCGAACATCATGTAGTCGGCATTGCCCCCTTCATCATCGACACTCTCGCTCCAAGACTTGCCCTCCCCTTTGAGCTTGAAGATGGCATTCCTCTCGTTCTTAGCATCGTAGTCGGTGCCGGAAAAGTGGTACCAGTGGTACTTCTGCTTCGAGTATTTGTCCCCTCGGCCAGGAAAATCGAAGCCGAGCCAAGCGCTGATCTGGTATGGGTCTGTGACTTCTTTCGTCCTGTCGTCATTATCTACCTCCACGGCATGCGCCTTTTCTCTTTTGTCGGCGCCGGCCTTATGGTTGAGCACTGCGTCCCAGTAAAGACCAATCCCTAGTTCTTTGGCTTTGTTGCTGAGTTCAAGAAGCTCATCTTTGGTCCCCCATTTGGTCCGCACTGAGTTCTTCTGGTCGAATTCGCCAAGGTCATACAAATCATAGATATCGTACCCGTTGCCCTCGGGAGATGATGCCTTACAACCTGGAGGCAGCCACAGATTATCGATGCCGGCATTCTTCAGACTAGGCAATGCTTTAAGAAGACGTTGCCAGTGCTTGCCATCGGCCGGCACGTTCCACTCAAAGCCTTGAAGGAGAGTGGCGTTCTCAGGCATTTCGAGTTCTTCGCAATGAGAGAGGGTTAAGGAGAGAAGGAGCCGGAAGACCTTGCGGCATATTGAACGCAGGCGCCATTCATAGGTACTTCTAACTGCAGAGCTACAGTGAAGGTGGATACCATTCTCGTCAGTGGGCCAGAAGGGGGCGTAGTGTGAGAGCCTCAGCCGTCTTCGCGTGCGCCGACCTGCATAAACCGGGAGGGAGACGAGAGCAGACCAGGATCACAGCGCGCCGCTGACGTAGAACTAGCAATTCGGCCATCTTGAACGCGTCGCTCGAAAAGGGCGTCAGAGTTGCGGTGGTGCGCTGGGATGACACGATATCGAGTGAAGGGAGACCAGCAGGTTTTGTACAATGGTCTTGTTGAGGCTGGCAGCAACGGACTTGGCTCCGAAACATCGCTCCATTGTCGCTCACCATTCAATCGCTACGTGAATGATTGTGAATATGCGACCAGAGGGTATGTTGACCAGTCATCACTGACCTTGAGATAGCTATGGATGTATGTAGATGGCGGCAGGACATCATCATGGTCATGAACGCGACATGATTCATTCCGTTGTGGCCTTGGATCGGATACAATACCAGTCCGACTTCGCTCGGCGAATTGTACGGAGGAAACTCCGCTCGCAGACGGAACCTCCATCGTTGAATCTGGTATACGACTGCATCGAACCATACAGTCTTCGAAGTCCGATACGGCATTCCAAATGGAACACGTTCAACCTGCTGATGCCATCACATTCGCGGAGTCACTACTCATAAGCCATGGACTTTCTGAAGAACATGCCCAGACAATTGCTCAATGCCTGGTAGCAGCAGACTTGCGCGGTGTAGACACACATGGCATCAACCGATTGCCTTCGTACATTGCCAAGATCAAGAAAGGTGCGATTGATGTCAAAGCCGAACCAGAGTTGAAGCAGATCACTCCTGCTGTTGCACAGGTGGACGCCAAGAATGCATTTGGCTTTGTTGGTGCCAAGATGGGCATGGCAAAGGCGATCGAGATGGCTACAGTCTTCGGTATTGGTGAGTGTTGTCGAGAGATTGGCTGCTTCGATGCGATGAACTAACTTGACCTTCTAATCACTCAGGCATGGTCTCAATAAAGCACTCAAATCACTTCGGCATGTCAGCATGGCTAGTCCAACAAGCAATCGACGCAAACATGCTCGCTCTAGTCTTCACAAATTCCTCTCCTGCATTGCCACCTTGGGGTAGCAAGTCGAAGATCCTCGGCGTCTCGCCTATAGCATGTGGAGCACCAGGCGCCGATCACCCGTTCATCCTGGATATGGCACCATCCAATGCCGCTCGTGGAAAAGTCTACAAAGCGCTTCGAAGGAATGAGAAGATTCCCAAGGACTGGGCGTTGAATGCTGCCGGCGAGCCGACTGACGATCCGAAAGAAGCACTTGAAGGTGTGATGCTGCCGATGGGCGGGCCGAAAGGGTCGGGTTTGGCTATCATGATGGATGTGTTCTCTGGAGTCCTTTCTGGCTCGGCATTTGCAGGATGTGTGAAAGGACCTTACGATCCAAGCTCGGATCCGGCGGATGTGGGCCATTTTCTCATGGCGATCAAGCCTGACCTGTTCATGACAAAGGAGGAGTTTGTGGAGAGGGCGGAATTTTTATACCAGAAGGTAACCACGTCGGAAAAGGCCGCTGGTGTTGACAGAATCTATTTCCCTGGCGAGATCGAGCAATTGACTGAAGAGAAAAGGAAAAAGGAGGGCATTCCGTATGCGGAGGGCGAGATACAGACGCTGAATGCCGAGGCCAGTGCTGTTGGTGTGCCAGGGTTGAAGGTCTCCAAGTAAGTCTTTTCTGCTTGTCTAGTACTTAATCACACAGAGATGGCGGACGAAGCTTTTGTTTATGCTTACTCATCAGCTGAAGCTAAATTTGATTCACACTTTTGTTGTTTTGATTGCGCATTCACTCGCAACGACCACCAACACCTGCTCTATTTAAATACGTCCTGTCGACGCGATACCGCCATGTATCACGGTCTCTTGTCCGGTCACATATCTTGCTCCATCGGACACCAGGAACAGCACGGTGTTGCCTATGAGGCCCATGTGTACTTCGATGTCACTGCCAGCATAATAGCGTGTCCGGTGTCTCCATCAAGTTTGGCACGACTGTATTCAAGCGTACGCCCTTGGCCGCGTAGATGACGGCCGCCGCTTTGGTGAGCTAGTCCACTGCAGCCTTCGTGGCATTATGCCAGACCGGAGATTCTCGAAAACCACGTCCTGCTATGATCTGGCAATACAGCCTGTCTTGATGCGGAATTTCCGCAAATGGTGGATCCGCAGTTGAGTGTTCCGGAAAAGGGTCCGACGCCCTCGGCATAACACTACCGTGAAGGTTCCTTGGAGACGTCCTGCTTGCTGACACATCCTACATCTACGATTCGCTGAAGTAACAATATGTCTGACAACACGACGAACGGCGATGCTCAGAACGAACTTCAGGACTATGACCTCGACAACCCAATCAACACCTCTTCAGGACTTCGACAAGGACTTACAGCCTATGGCGATACCCATTTCTCCTTATTCCTGCGCAAGGTATTCATCAAAGCTGCCGGCTATGGCGAAGATGCGCTTTCAAGACCAATCGTTGGTATTATCAACACTGGGTCCGGCTTCAACCCTTGCCATGCCAATATGCCACAGCTCATCGAAGCTGTGAAGCGAGGAATTCAGCTCCAAGGAGCTTTAGCAATCGAGTTTCCCACTATCAGCTTGCACGAGTCTTTTGCATCGCCCACAAGCATGTTCCTTCGCAACCTGATGTCTATGGATACCGAGGAAATGATCAAAGCCCAGCCGATTGACGTCTGCGTAGCCATTGGCGGCTGCGACAAGACCACCCCGGCTCAGCTAATGGGTGGCATCTCAGCCAACAAACCCATCTTTCCATTGATCGTCGGCCCAATGATGCCAGGATCGTTCAGAGGAACTCGGATTGGAGCCTGCACAGACTGTCGAAACAATTGGGCAGCCTATCGTGCTGGAACCTTGGACATGGAGGATATTGCGGAGATCAACGCCGAACTGGCACCTACGGTAAGCGCACAATGAAGGCGTCTTCTAATATGCCGACTATGATTGAGATGATCCAAAATGCCCAAAGTCTGCAAGCCGTGCAGAGAGGTGGCTTGTATAGACTATGTAATGTTTGCAGAAGCACTTCTGGCAGCACTAGATTGTGTTGCTTAAGTACATACTGGAATACATGCTGATTCAATAATGATAGATTGGCACTTGTGGAGTTATGGGCACAGCAAGCACAATGGCTTGTGTTCTGGTAGCTCTGGGCTTGATGCCTTTTGATGGTGCCTCTGCGCCGGCCGTATCATCCGCCAGACTGCGAGTAGCAGAGCAAACAGGCGCAGCGGCAGCTCTTGCAGCTAGGCACTCCGATAAATCGTTCTACCGACCACAGAGCTTCTTGACTAAGGAGTCTTTCTACAACGCAATCACTATCCTTCAAGCTATTGGGGGCTCTACTAACGCTGTAGTACACCTCATGGCCATCGTGAATCGACACCCGGCACTGGCAGGGACTGAAGCAGTGACGTTGAAGACCTTCGACGAGATTGGGCGGAAGGTTCCCTTGTTGATCGATCTCAAACCCAGCGGCGACAACTACATGAACGACTTCCACCAAGCCGGCGGCATGCTAGCACTCCTTCACGAGTTGAAACCACTTCTGCACCTCAATGCGATGACACTATCTGGGAAGACCCTTGGGGAAGAACTCGCATCGAAACCTTTCAAGACATTAAAGTTCTCATCACAGATCGTTCGACCTTTATCTGATCCGCTCTACCCTTCTTCTGCGCTTGCGGTTCTTTACGGCAATCTCGCTCCAGGTGGTGCAGTCATCAAAGCCAGCGCCTCAAAAGATCGTCGACTTCTCGAATATTCAGGTCCTGCGGTAAGTGAACGAAGAAAGCAATGTCAACCCTTATGCTCTAGTCTACAGCATGTCGTATGCCGCGCTTCTGTGGCCTCAATAGCTGCTGAGGCGACCCGGCCGATGAAGCGCGCCACTACACACAGATTCCCAATGAGCCAAATGCTAACACTCCGTCCCAGGTCGTGTTTGAGAATACAGAAGATCTGAGCAGACGAATCGATCGTGATGACCTAGATGTCACGCCCGACTCTGTGCTTGTGCTGAAGAACATCGGTCCTATAGGAAACCCTGGCATGCCCGAAGCTGGGCTTATACCTATACCTCGCAAGCTTAGAGGAACGAACACTGCAGACATGTTACGACTCTCCGACGGAAGGATGTCTGGTACTGCAGGAGGCACAATCGTGCTGCACATCTCCCCCGAGACGGCAATTCCTGGTTCTCCATTCAGACTTGTCAGATCGGGAGATATCATCAAAATGAGTCTGGAAAAGAGGTCGTTGGATGTGGACATCTCCTCGGACGAGCTGGCCCGGAGGAAAGCTGAAGATGAGCAAAACAGCGTGGTGGCTGAGGCGGGAGTGGGTGCAAAGGACAACGCACGGCATCGAAAGAAGCAGAGAGGTTATCGTGGATTGTACGAGGCCTCGGTGAACCAAGCGCAATATGGCGCGGATTTCGATTTTCTAACAGCAAATGGTGCTATCTAGTCGTCGGACCTCATGAGCCCAGGTGTAGCTGGATTCCCAAAAGTCTCTTGTTCGACCTGCCACTTTTCACACAGCTCCTTGTATCTTCTCTCATATCCCTTATGCCTACTCCTGAACTTCCCCGCGGTCTTCAATTGGTCTCTGCCCACCTGGTGTGTGTGCGCGGCGTCAGGACCGTCTGCGATTCTTACAAACCTTGCGTACGTCCACATCTCGGGCAGCGGAGTGTGCTGGGTCAATCCCTGGCCACCATACATCTGCATGCACTCATCAATTATCGCCGCAGCTGCAGCAGGTATCATGACTTTCGATTGTGCGATTGCGTATCGTCCTGCTTTGTTGCCGGCTATGTCCATGGTGTGGGCTGCGTTCATTACGATGAGGCGGAGAGAATCGAGTTGCATGCGCATGGAAGCCAAGCGTTCAATGTTGGAGTCGAAATCGCCGATGAGCTTGCCTCTGGGCTTCTTCTTCGGATCCGTGGCTCGGAGAAGGGCAAGCTCGTAGGCCCGTTCAGTCTGGCCGATGAGACGCATGCAGTGATGGATGCGACCGGGACCCAGGCGCCCTTGAGCTATCTCGAAGGCACGTCCTTCGCCTAGGATGATGTTCTCGGCTGGTACTCGAGCATTGTGGTAGAGATATTCACCTGGTGGTCCAGTCAGAGCTATGTCTTATGTCTCGGCACTTCAGACTCACCATGCCCTTCTGGCGCGTGATCGTATCCCATGATGGACAAATTCCGGACCATGCTGAAGCCTGGAGTGTCCTTCGGCACGATCACCATAGAATGACGCTTCCATGGATCCTTGTTATCGGGATCGCTGCATGCCATGAGAATGTAGAAGCCGAGCTCATCATTCCATTTGCAATTGCCGTACAGCTTGCGACCATTGATGATGAGCCAGTCTGGATCCTTCGCGTCTTTCTCGATGCGGCAAGAAATTTGGGTGGCATCTGAGGATGCAACATCCGGCTCTGTCATGCTATAGGCCGAGAACGTCTCGCCATTGAGCAACGGAAGGAGCCATTTTTTCTTCTGCTCTTCGTTGCAGTACTTGGCCAACAGCTCCATGTTTCCAGTGTCTGGAGCGTGGCAGTTCATCGTCTGCGCGGCCCAATAGCATCTTCCCATGATCTGAGCGCAAATGCTATATTCCAGATTGCTCAAGCCTGGACTCAGACTTCCGAAGCTCTTTGGCAGGAAAAGATTGAACAATCCCTCCTTTTTCGCCTTCCGCCGCAGCTCGGTAACGATGGCTGGTGTCTTCCAGTTCCCATTCTGCTTCAATTGTGCCTTGAAAATCGGCTCGGCAGGAACACATTCGGTCTCGACCCAATCGTGGACGCGTTTGATGACATCGACGGCGTTGGGCGACAACTTCTCCTGCACCCAGACCGGGATGCGTTCGAGCGCCGGGTGATCGAATGTGCTGGTGGTCATTTTGGTCAGAAAGGAGCGTCCTACCTTCTCTCGTCTACAGAACGTTTATGATACATGCTCCTGGGAGCCACTCGTGCATCATCGACGTATCGAATACCGCGTGTCACCCGAGGGAGAGAAGGCTTCCCCATGGCATGGAGCGAGCTGATGGCTGGGGTCTCGCGGGAAAAGAACAGCCGCTGGCGGACCGTCCTTCTCCTCACCCACGACTTCACCTGATCTTCGGACCGACAAAATCGTGTAACATAGCCATCTGAACGGTGCGCTGTACAGTCATGTCTCGCTACAGGACCGAGAGGCCACACGGACTCGCGTTAATGTGCAGCTATGGATGTTAGAAGACGACAAGTCAGGCAAGTTCGCTACGAACCCGCGTCCTTTTGTTTGCGCCAGCAGTATCAACATGCAGACATCGGAGGACCTAGTGTTTTCAAGAGCTTCAACCGTGCAGGACTCTGAGATCTTCCGCCCTGAATGGCTGGCTTTCGAACGAGAGCTTGGCTTCCGCCCACTCTTACTTGGCCCAACTTTGGAGGACATTTTGAAGCAGAACGCAGATATGGGACTGGCTATGGTTGAGAAATACACATTCCCGCCTGCGGATCCTCATGTATCGACCAGCGAAGAAAGTTCTGAATCTGGGGTACGTTTGAAGATCTACTCGCCTCCCAATGTCAGAGCAGGCCAGCCAATTGTGTGCTACTTTCATGGAGGAGGCTGCGTCCTTGGAAGTGTTGATGAGGATGACGGTCTCGTCAGCCGCCATGCGAAAGACACTGGCTTAATATTCGTCTCCGTGGAGTATCGGCTGGCGCCACAGCATCCCTTTCCAGCGGGCTTCAATGACTGCGTGGAGGCCGCGAACTGGTGCATCACCAATGCTGAACGGCTCGGGTCACAGCCTGGAAATGTGCTTCTCATGGGAGTATCGGCGGGAGCTACTCTGGCAGTGGCCACTGGACTCAGGCTCATCGACGACAAGAAGGCGGACCAACTTCAAGGGGTGGTGGCCTGTCAGCCATTCACGATTCATCCTGATGCCCTCCCAGACGAGTTCAAACACCGTTATAGAAGCTACGACGAGCACTCTGAACACACTATCGACACCAAAGCAGCAATGCAGACATTTCTTGGACTTCACAACGCGCCGAAGACCGATCCGTACATATTCCCTGTTTGGAACCAGCGTTTAAAGGACCTGCCATGCGTCTACCTTTGTGCCGCCGAGACAGACACTCTGCGGGACGATGCCCGAGCGCTGAAGACACTACTCGATAGAAACAGGTAAGAGTCTCAGTCTTGACCACAGGTGCGAAAATTGATTTGAGTCCCAGTGTGCCCAATCGTTACGACGAGTATGAGAAACTCCCTCATTTCTTCTTTGCGTGGCCGTCAGCGCATCTTGATGCAGTGCGAGAGGAGTACTTTCAGAAGACTGCGTCTGGTATCAAGTTCGTGGTAGAATGCTCTGTGCTCTCGCCACTGCCGCTGAGCTAGCTACCTACATTTTCGAGCTTAACATCAAGGAATTATCTTGGCATCTCTGAATCTTTGAAAAGCAGTCCACCACACTTGCTTGCTATCTTTCTCTTCCGCAGCTTGGCCCCACGCTTTGTTCTGTCGTCCTAGATCCAGATTTCTATCGAAGTTGAAAAGCGTCATGATGAAGTACTGGAATGTTGCCAAACTCCGATCATTGCCAACCCTGCCAGTGCTCAAACCATGTTTGCGCTCCAATGCTTGCCACTGTTCAAGATGCTCGCTCAGATATTGTCCAGGCTGTGGTCCACTTCCGTGAGCTGGTGGTGGTGTTCCTCTGAGCCCAAAGAACTCGCATATGATAGGCCATTTCTCTGACCACGAGGAAGGTGTACCACTCGACGCAACGTTGAATGCTTGACCTTGTCCACAAATTTCTGGGCGCAGAGCCGCATGGATGCTGAACCGGGCAATGGTGTCTTGGTCAGAATCATTTGACAAAGCCTTCCAGCTCAGATCAGTACCCGGGAAAGCACATTCGGCGCCATCGCCTTCGATCTCTCGATAGCATGTCAAGTAAGTGGCCAGTGTCTGTGCTAGGCAGTATACGTTATTGTTCGGCACGAATCCGACGACGACATCTGGTCGTATCTCGCACCAAGTCCACGCTTTCCCTTTGCTCGCGGCTTCCAACCAATCTGTCTGGTTGTAATAGAAGTTCTGGCTCGCGAAGGGTTCCGGAATCCGGGGCAGGTCTTCTGAGAGTGGTAGCTCGTCGGCAAAGGGGAACTGGTCGAGGAGATGCACGCCATAGGCCTTGGTCCCGGTAGGAAGCAGTACAAATTTGAGCTTTGCAGACAGCTTTTCGACAGCAGAGACTGCCTTCTTGAGCAATTCTACATTGATCGAGATCTCGTCATCGGGATTCTCTTTGTAGATGTAGGCGAAGAAGAAGACATGTGTGACTCCAGTGATGTCCGGTACTCGGTCTTCCATTTCTTGTACGACATCGTCCCCAAGCAAGTCAATGCCACTGACCACTTGCAGTTTGTCACTTTCGGGCCAAAGCATTTCTCCTGTAACGGGCCGATTTGTCACGGCCGTGACGCGATCGAAAGCTGATGGTGATGGATAGCCATTGAGAAGTTCTTTGGTGACTGCCCAGCCTTGAATACCAGTAGCACCAAAGATGAGAGCGTGATTGCCCATGCTGTTCGAAGGTTCCTGCAAACGATCACAGAAAGTACACATTGCGATGCTGAGTGAATGAATGTATGTGCAACCGCTGCTTACGGATACCTAGCCCGACAGTCGCGTCTTCAGGCGCGACATAGCCGCAGACTTGCAGGGCACATGCAGTCAAGCTTTGGGCGTATATCTTCATGCTGTGCAATGTGGACTTGATGTCAAACGCGAAAAGATCTCCGGAGATCGGCAAGGAACATTGTCCTCTCGAGTCTCGAATTCGGTTCACTCAGCTGGCCCAAGCTTGAGTTTCTGGTTTGCCGAGGTCGTCCCCCATATTCGACTCCTGCTGGTGACAATACACGACACGATTGTCGGCAAGACAGGCCTCGTAGAATTGGAGCGTAGTAAGTCGAAACACAAACTTTGAATGTAGCGTGCATCTCTCATACGGAACAACTCTCCTTCCACTATCCAGCACCGATTCTCGTCTGGCAGTATCAAACGAGCTGGAATGGCTGGGCCAGTCAGGCAGCCCATTGACCAAGCGTCACTGGAGCGCTATCTAGAGAAGAACGTGCCTGAGATCAAGACCCCTCTAGATCTGAAGCAGGTCGGTGTTTGGGGATAGCTGTACTGGAGACCAGCGCTGACCATGAACAGTTCGGATTTGGGCAGAGCAATCCGACTTACCTCCTCACAGCCTCAGATGGCGGCCGATATGTCCTCCGTAAGAAGCCTCCGGGGAAGATCTTGTCGAAGACGGCGCATCGAGTCGATCGAGAATATACCGTCCTACATGCGCTGCAAAATACAGACGTGCCTGTCCCCCAAACATTTGCTTTCTCCGACGACGACAGCATCGTAGGCACTCCATTCTACATTATGGAGTTCCTTGACGGGCGGTTTATCAAGAACCCGGCAATACCTGATGTGAGCGCTGAGCACAGGAACGAGATCTGGAGAGATGCTGTGCGAACAATGGCCAAGCTGCATCGAATAAACCACAAAGAAATTGGTCTAGAGAACTTTGGCAAGCCGAATGGCTTCTACAAGAGGCAGATCAGAACATTCAAAGCATTATCACAGTCCCAAGCAGATGCGAAAGATCAGGATACAGGCGAAGCTGTTGGCCAACTGCCCGCGTTTGACGAGTTCGTCGAGTTCTTCAGCAATGAGCAGAATCAGCCCTTCGACCGAGGAGTGTTGTTTCACGGTGACTTCAAAATTGACAACCTTGTCTTTCACAAAACCGAGCCCAAAGTAATCGGCATATTAGACTGGGAAATGGTAACAATCGGGCATCCATTGGGAGATCTCACCAACTTACTTTCACCCTGGACAATTTCGAACGCGACTCCTTCTTGGCCGCGCAAACATGCCGACCAGGCTTTCCTAGACCCTTCGAGATCGGATAGCACAGCAAAAGACTGGCCAGGTCTGCCTACACACGCAGAGTGCGTTAAGTGGTATGAGCAGGACGTTGGTTTCGATGTGTCTCAGCAAGACTTGGCTTGGGCGACTGCTTTCGCACTCTTCCGAGACTCGATCATTTTCCAGGGCATTGCAGCGAGGTATGCACTGAGACAAGCGAGTTCAGCAGAGGCACAGTCGTACGGCAATGAGCGCGTACCTTTTGCAAAAATGGCGCTGGCAAAGGTGAATGAGGCTAAGAGCAAGCTGAGTAGCAAGTCGAAGCTGTAGCATCAGAAAATAGCACTTTCGTCAGTGGTCAAAACACAACAAAGATCACGCGTAGTGTATGGCGACGGGGCAGACTGTTCGAGCCTCGCCATCCCGGCGATTTATTGTGGAAATCGGCAGACTTCGGCGTTGAAATCACCCTAGTCGTCCGACTTTTCACGCCGATTTTGCTGCACTTGCTCCCGAAAGGTATCGCGTGTCCTGCATTCATCGTCGTGGTCACACAAGCGAAGCCTAGCCTCTGTGAAGTTCTCGATCTCGAGCTTGTACGAGACGCGTGGGCAGTCCTCTCCACTTTGCACCTGGCGAATCGGCCCATTGAGGGAAGCTATGCTAATTCCTGACGCTACGCTTTGCGGCTGGGCGCGGTACGAACGGCAATGCATTGCAGAGCTCATGGCTACGGCGTGATGTGCACGCTGTGGTAGAGGCACGTATCGCTTTGGGGTACGAGCTCGCCATCTCCTTTCACTCTAACCATCACGTTTAGAAGAAGCGACATAATCATCGATTTTACCTCTATCCAGTTGACTTCAGCAAAGTCCCAAAACCGTCGAGCAAAGCAGTCATTATCCAAACCAGCACGTCCAGCACAATGCAAGCAGTCGAGAAGAGACGAGACAGTAACGCTGTTCCAAGGCAAGCTCACAGAGGACATAAGGAGAAGAAGTTCTTCAAGTGGTTTCATCGACGCTCTTCAGGCAATTACATCCCACAACTTGTATGCTTTGCACAACGATATACCTTATCGTGTCAATTGCTAACAATCTGTCAGGGTGACCGCGACTACTTCGATCACGCAAGATCCTATGATCTCGTTGAGCCTCTGATGCCGCTGCTGGTAGCAGGAAAGCGACCAAAGCTCTATCCAGAGCCCTACTTCGGAGCGTCACGATAAATCGCGACAGAAGGATATCGGGCGAACAGTACCGCAGGAAAACGGTACTTAGATGACACTGCTGCCTCGGCTAAACGACAAAAGGTTTACCTCTGCTTTCCCGAGCAAGTTCGCAAATTGGACTTGCGTCTGGGTTTAGCGAGGTTGCAATATCGTGAGGTGGAAAGACGAGAGTATACGATGAGCAATGAGCACACAGAGACGAACGAAAACGATGGCTGTATTACTAGAGACGGCAAGAACTAATGCATAGACCTAATCATAAGGAGAGCAACGATGTTCCAGACTTCCCAGGAATTCCAGCACCACGACAGCACAGCGATCTTCTCGATGGTAACTCCAAGATATCACCTTTGCACTAACTTCACTTTCGCGTTCAGGTCAGGCTACGTCTTGTCAGTACCGAATTCTGCATATAGTATTGGATGATGCTTACTTTCTCCCACGTCATGAAAGCTCTCATGTTCTTCATTTCGCCCTCGGGATTCCATTGCCAAGCCCCATCAGTGCTGACAACATCAAAGTTCCAGAGCAAACGACCGAGTATGAGTCTCATCTCCATGTAACTCAGATGCCTACCAATGCAACCTCTGGGACCAAGCGAGAAAGGCTGAGCAGCTTTCTTGTAATCGGTATCGTACGCCTTGTCCAGCCATCGTTCTGGGATGAAAGAGTCACAGTCTCGAAAGTTGACTGGATTGTGGCTTGCAGCCCACGAGCTAACAGCAACTGATGTGCCCCCAGGTATCCATTGACCATCGATCGTATCGCCTTCTTTCGGAACTGTTCGAAGCAGACCAGTCGGTACAGGTGGGTGTATCCGGAGGCCTTCTTCGATGCAAGCGTTGAGGTATGCCAGCTTACTGAGCTTTTCATACACGATCTCATCTTCAGATTTAAAGCTTGATCGGATCTCATCGACCAACTTCTGATACTTGTCAGGGTTCCAGATCAGTCTTGCAAAGAGGCCAGAGAGGAGGTTAGCGGTAGTCTCGGAGCCAGCGACAATAAATAACGCGCTGTTGACAATGATCTCGTCCTGCTTCAAATCGTGCTTCTCTCGTTGCTTCAAGATGTACCAGATGAAGTCTTTGTGCTGACTGTTGCCATTCTCCAGTCGTTGCAAGCACTTGGCGCGGCTTCTCCTGAGATGCTCCGAACGGTAACCACGAACACGAGCTGGGATCATGTTGAATAGAATTCGTTGGGTCAATGACCCTGCTGCAGCGAATCGTCTTGTTGCCTGCTCGATGGCACCTGCCTTGACTGTCTCATAGATCAATGCCACCCACTCATGGAATCTGCCTAGGTCCAGGCATCCGAATGGTTCTCCGAAGGCCAAGTCGCTACACATGATCAGAGAAGACCAAGAGCGTTCGACAGAAATGTTGTCTGACTTACCCGATGATATCAAACGTCGTGAAGTTCAACCAATTGACCAGATTGAATGCCTCGTCATCGTCGGCCATTCGCTTCATGTTCACTATCAGCTGATCGACGTATCGTTTGACAATGTACTCCTGCTCGAGCAGCGCCTTTTGCGAGAACGAATGTGCGAGTGCTCTCCTTTGCCGAGCATGATTCTCGTCATCCGACATTGTCAACGTGCTGACACCTTGCACGGCTTCGACAGATCCGACGTGGATTGGATCCTTGTGCATATTTGTATGACCGGGTCGATGTCCATAAATGTCTTCCCATGCCTGCACCGAGTTAAAGCACAGCTCATTGGGAGACACTCGAACGACGCTGCCATATTTCTCATGAAGCTTCTTGTTTTCGAGCGGCAAACGACCTTTGAGAAGAGCAAAGATGCCTGGAAGGGAGCTGGCGGCATTGAGCCTTGGTCCCGGAAACTTGGCTAAGGGATGGAAGTAGAGGTTGTAAACGATCTTCCAGACGATACTGGATACAGCCTTTGAAGATCAGCCAAGGTCCAAGGATTTCAACCGTCTGTCACTTACCACGAGAAGCGCCAGCAATGGTGCTGCTGTCGAGATGCTGTACATGACTTACTCCTCATGCCTCCATGCAATGAGGCGTATTCAGTGCAATCTCATTGCCTTTTCTAAGCTATAGATTCGCAGCACATCTGACGCAACGCAACGACTGCGACATTGCCTTGGCTGTGGATCGGCTCTCGGCCACTTGCAACCACTATGTACCCCATAGGCGCTGCAGATATCGCCACGAAGACCGTATCTGCAACCAGTTCGCGCGGGGCCCCATATGTAGTGTCTCGTCTGTATGCCGCCTTAGCTGAGCACGTGATCTCCAACGGGTATAGTTTTCCTTGTGTGTGCGAGTGCCGCAATGCACCGTATGCACGGCAAGGGCATTGTCGCATCTACCGGCCCGATTCATTGCTAATTTGCGGGTATAGAGGCAGAACTTCCTAAACCGGTCGTTACATGGACCTAAAAAGATTCAGAGGAGACCAACAGTAGAGGAGACTAACACTCCATACCCATTGCTGCTTATACGTACTTTGATAGTGCTGCATTCTCAGGAGACTGTTAGTAAACCTGAATCTATCGCAACTGTATATGACGGCGCACAAATCGCCTCGTGTTCTTATCCTTTGGAAGCACAACTAAGAAGGTATCAGTGAACCTGATCGACAATCACAGAAACATCCACTCGTTACTAGCGCCACGAAAATGCAATTCTACAAGATCTTCTTCGCCATTCTGGCATCCCTCTCCTTCTTACCGCAGCCGTCGCGCTCGACACGGTCGATGGAGTGGACGCCGACAGCCTTGTCAAGCGTAGCTGCGACCCACACATGTGTTCAACATGCAAAAAGGGATGCGATAGAAACAGATGCTGCAAGAAGCAATCATAGAAAGGGTACTGAAATGTGGTGGAATCCGAGTCAGTACACACCGTAGCTCTTCAGAATTTGATCTATGATGGCCGACAAGCATCTGACAGACCTCACTTGGTTGAATACGTTATTAAGATGTGCCATCTTGGGAAGGATCAAAGCAGAATATCAAACTCTGAGCGCACGTTCGCTCACTTCGGTGTGTGTTGGCTTGATGTCATGTCGAAGATCTGGGACTGTCGCTACAGCTTTGGACGTTCGGTGTGTGTTGGCTTGATGTTATGTTGAAGATTTGACTTCTCTCTCTATAGCTTCGATCGATTGAAGCTTTTCTCGACTTCGGGTGCATCTCGTTTCGCCCACTCTTTCATTAATTTGCGCACGATCTTGCCGCTCGGGAGTTTGGGCTATGCATGAGTTAGCATGATTACTGTGACCAGTGACCAGATCAAGAGGCTTACGATTTCATCAACGAATTGGACTCCGCCAACCAACGCCTTGTGCTTCGCCACCCGGGGTTTGAACCAATTCTGTACGTCCTTCTCTTTCACGCCCTTCTTCTTTCCGTCTTCAGAAAGCACGACATATGCCCTCGGCCACTCCTCGTCGTTGATTGCAATTCCAACAACCGCGGCATCCGCAAGATCGGGATTCTCCAGTAACTTGTCTTCCAACTCTGCGGGCGCTACTTGCAGAGCGTTGACTTTGATCAACTCCTTCTTCCGATCGACAATCCATATGTAGCCTTCTCTGTTGATTACCGCAATATCACCAGTTCTGAGCCAGCCCTCTGGACTGAGCGCTTCACTGGTAGCTTTCTCATTCCGCCAGTAGCCTAGCATGACATTTGGCGCTTTTATCAGCATCTCACCCGGAGTATCAAAACCGACCTCTTGATCATTGTCGTCCACTAGCTTCAGCTTGTTGTTTGGAATGAGCTTGCCGACGGTGCCATCGTCTCTTGATTCGAATTGCAAGATTGAGCCACAAGTCACTTCAGTCATTCCCCATCCTTGCTTCACTTCACAATTGAACCTTCGTGCGATGTCATTTTGAAGCTCTTTCCCTAGTGGTGCCCCACCACATAGGATGCCCTGTATTGAGCTCAAATCGTAGTTCTTGGTCTCCGGTCGTTTCGCCATCATGACCAGAATAGGTGGTGCTACTTGAAGATGCGAGATCTTGTACCTCTGGATCGCGCTACAGAAATCTTCGTACACAAACTGCCGCATTATTCTGATCGGGACGTGGAACTTCACAGCCATCACGCACGCGTAGAGTTGACCGTATGCATGATACAATGGGAGGAAGCCAAGCCACCTTTCGCCCTTGACCTTCTCTCCCTTCTTCATATCCAGATGCGGCCATCGAACTGCTGCTGTCTGCTCGACATTCGCGATGAGAGCGTGGTGGCCAATCATGACACCTTTAGGCAGGCCCGTAGTGCCCGAAGAGAAATTGATCGTAGCGATTGTGTTCACAGACTCGTCGGGTGAAAGTTCCGGCCAGTGATACGACTGTGCCTCCTGCTCAGAGCCGAGCATATGCCGCCAATCTTTGGCAGCTTTGATTTCTTTCAAAGGTGCTTCATCGTCTGAGAATTGGAAGATCTTGGGATTCGTGCCGGCTTTCTTAGCTGCTTCAAGGTCGCGCTCAACCACTGATGGGTGAGCTAGAATGCACTTTGCACCAGTGAGCTTCATCTGATAGACAATCTCTTCAACCGTGTATATTGGATTGATCGCGCTGAAGCACCTGGCACCTCCCACAATTCCCAGATATGCTGCAGGCACAAAGACGTTATTCGGCGTGTGTATGAGGCAGACGTCCCCCCTCTTAAGACCCAGCCTGTCCAGGCCAATCATGATTCGTTTTACCCATGTGAGCATTTGTCGTGGGCTCAGTGCCTTCTTGGGCTCGGCCGCATCGATCCATACTGGCTCGTCCGAAGGCTGCTCGTCCGAGGGATACAGATAGCTCAGGAGATTGACCTTATCACCGCACTGTCAGTCAGGCTTGCTTCCAGTTGCGCAGTCGGTGCATACCCTGGGAATGTCGAGATCTGGCAGCGGACTGGTATGCACGACCATGGTGACGATCGATCTGGAATGCTCAACAGCGTCTCCCTCAGCGCTTCATGCAAGAGAATCAGTATTGGATGTGCTGCCCCCACCTAGCAAGCAAGATACAAAGGTGCCTCGCTGTCCCAAAGAGCCATGCTGGCACCATGTGGGAGCCATGGCACAGTAGTAGGCAAGCAAGTCTACCTCGGGCATGCTCGATAGCGCGGAGGCTCACAGCGTGCGGTGGCGGGCGCGCCTTGCATGTCGGGAGTGGTGATGGGCCTAGCACTCGAGACGCTGCACGTTCACCGACGGCATGCAAGCGCTCGGGAGCGGCAGAATCCCGAATGGGATAAGCGACGGCAGAGACGGGAAACGTGAGGCAAGGGTAGAACTAGAACTATCGAGGCGGCGCGGCTGAGTGCTGAGTATCGTATCCGACTGCTACTCGAAGGAGCTACATGTAACTCACACACACATCTTGACGTCAGCCCAAAGCAATCGCATGGAGAGCTGGACATCCAAAGAACACCATGTCTGAAGTGAATATCGACGGCTTTTTCTCGCTCGACGGCAAAGTAGCCCTCATTACAGGCGGTCGGTATCATCTCCAGCATCTTCTGAGTCCCATGTCCGTCTAATTCGTCTTCTCATTAGGCTCTCGCGGTCTGGGCTTACATACAGCAACGGCGTTTCTTCTCGCTGGCGCCAAAACACTGTTCATCAGCGCTCGGAAAGCTGGCGGCGCACAAGGAATAGATCAAGCAGTCGATCGTCTCAATGCTCTGGCCAAGCAGAAGTCCCTCCCGGGTAGGGCGATTGGTATAGCCGCGAACGTAGCACAAGAAGAAGACATCAGGCGTCTCGTGAGCGAAGTGCAGAAGCATGAGTCCAAGCTTGATATTCTTGTGGCCAACGCTGGAGCTACTTGGGGAGGCCCTTTCGAGCCGACACCGGACTGGAGCAGCCAAAAGATCTTGGACCTGAACGTCAGAGGAGTTTTCAACCTGGCACGGCTATTCGCGCCAATGCTTTCCGCAGCTGGTAAACCCGATGATCCTTCTCGAATTGTGATCATGTCGTCTGTTGCAGGAACGCATGTCAGTCACGTTGGGGAACATGGCACAATCATGTACTCGGCGTCAAAAGCCGCGGCCCATCACCTGGGAAGGAATTTGGCTGTTGAGCTTGGTCCTCGCAACATCACGGTCAACACAGTAGCTCCCGGATTCTTCCCATCCAAGCTGGCTTCCGGGCTCATAGAGATTCTGGGCGGCGAAGAAGAGCTATCGCGGGAGAATCCGCGGAAAAGGCTTGGTGAGCCAAACGACATTGCTGGTGTGATGCTTTTTCTGTGCTCAAAAGCATCGAACTATGTCAATGGTGAATACATCTCAGTTGATGGCGGGGCGAGACTAGGCGCTGGCCGCCTGACAAGACTATAGAACCTAGCCTTTCAATTATGCCTTCGAGTCTTTCCGTGCATCAATTGGGATCAAATGTCCTGCTCGCATGCGATCAAAAACGCCGTACCATGCCTCCTTCGTGTCTCTTTGCTCCGTGAAGGGGTTTTCCTCTGGGCTGCTGTACATCTTTGTCATGTCATACTGTCGATCGAAGTCAAATTGTGTCAGAAGGAAGTATTCAAAGCCTTTGAACGTGAGGTCGGAGTCAGCAACGCCGCTCTTCAGACCGTATCGCTTCTCTAGAACTTTCCACTCGTCGAGGTGGTCGTTGATATACTGGCGGACCTCAAGCCGGCTGGGAGTGTCAGCAGAGGGAGCCGTTCCCTCCAAGCCGAAGTAGGCGCATAGCTGTGGCCACTTCACACTCCATGTTGAGTAGTCTTTGGAATCTGCTACATTGAAGCCTTCTCCTTTGGCGCTCAGTGGTAGAGTCAACGACAGGTGTAATGTCTGCCTTGCGATCATGTCTGAAGAGCTGTCATTAGACTTAGCATTCCAAGATTTTGCTGTGCCAGGGAAGGGAAGGATAGCACCGTGGCCTTCGACATGAGCGTAGAGTGACAGGAAGATGCCAAGGGACTGCGCCAGACTGTACGCGTTCTGATTCGGAACAAAGCCAATGATGATGTCCGGGCGGGTATCGATCCAGTTCCACTTCTTGTCTCTGGCGTACTCAGCGATCCAATCCAGCTGAGCATGGTAGAACAACATATCGCCGTACGGCGGTCTCAGTCTTGGCATGTCCTCTCGAAGAGGAGTATGAATATAATCTGTAGGATGATTCTCGAGCAGGTGACATCCGTACATCTTGGCTCCTGTCTGTAGCACACAGAACTCGAGTGCTGGACTGAGGCGATCCATGGCGATGATAGCACGTTTGAACATGTTCACGGCGTCTTCGTATTCTTGTTGCAGATCCGGAGATGCTTTGTATGCAAGGTAGAACACGTGCGTGATTTCCTCCACATGCTGGACATAGTCCTTGAGCTTCGCCTCGACCGTCTCCTGGGAGTCAAGCAAGTTTACACCTGACACAATCTGCAATCGTGGGTCTGCGGGCCAGAGCGAGTCTTCTTGCTCCAGCGGCCGATTTGTCATGGCCACAACGCCCTCCCAGACCGCAGCCTGCGGATAGTCGTGCAGAATCTCATTGATGAAAGACCAACCAGTGACACCCTATACCTCACGGATCAGTGCCGGGCCACGTATTTATTCGATGATCAATCTTTGATCTTCCCAATGCTGAGACGATGACTGCGTGCAAATATTGCTTGGGCTAGACTCACACTGGCGCCGAAAACGATCGCTCTTTTGCCGCTCATCTTGGGGTTTGATGCGGGACTAGATGTCCTTTCGGGTTCAATGGCTATGCTCGAAGGCGCAGTCAGTCGATTAACGCTGCTGGATGCCATGGCCGCCGTCTCTCACGTCCCCAGGCGGCTCACGGCGTGGCAACTTCAGCTGGCAGGGACCAGATGCCACAGCATGCGCCATGCCGATTTCTCGGCAGCTTGATGTGGTCTTTGGCAAGTCGTTCGGCCGGCGGTCATCTGCCTCTCTTTCTCCTGCCCGAACCCGAACTGCTCGGCAACCATTCGCATGAATTCCGGAGACCCGCCGGTTGCCTGTTGTGAATCGTGCTAGGGATGCAACTAATCATCGGATTGACAACTATGTAACTGTACGAAGAAGGATTAGGAGCCTGCTATAGAAACTGCAGTTAATATAGCCATTGTGTGTCCTTCCTCTTGGGACAGGTTAGCTAATGGTATTAGCTGACTAGTATATCACCTAACTAAACTATAACACTCCCCCTTAGGTAGAGATAATGTACTGTTCAGATTAGACACTTCAAATCTAGGCTCAAAGCTTCACTTCATCTTCTAACTGCCTTTAGATATTAGACTATATCTGCTTTATATACAGCTTTATATACAGCTTTATATGCTGTACTACTCGCACGTGCTTATATTACAATGTTTGCTAATTAGTTTGCTTTAGAGTGATATCCTTAGTCGTGATTGTAGGGTTAGTAGGCGCCTATAAAGGACACTTAAACTTAACTAGACAACTTAAACTTTTACAATCTACTCTTTAGCAATCCCCTAAGCACTAGCAGCCTCTACTAGAATTTAAATTCTTACCAAAACTTTTCAAGTCTAATAGCTAGCCGAGACTTTATTATAGCGATAATTCTTTACCCTAGCTTAGGGAGTATAGCGAGTAGTATAGATAGTAGTAGTAGCGGGGGCGGTAGTAATAATCTAAACAAGAATCGGCACCCTTCGCGTTATAATAAGCTCTAGCTTGTAGAGACTAGTAAGTGTTACTGTTAAAGTTTCCCCTTTTCTAACAATTTGCTAACTAGGCGTAGTCCTTAAGGAAGTTTAGTTAACTATCGCGATTCTCTAGAGAATTATCTAGTACTTAACTAATATTGGTCCGGAGCAGACTCCGCCTTAGCTGCGCAACGTTAATGTTAGGCATTTCATTACGAGCTAGGATAATGCTCGGCTGTTTCTAAGTGTACCTCCGCGTCTACGTAAGGCGGCTAAGGCATTCAATTTAGGCTTAAAATCGAATGTTAACTACTTGCCTACCGCGCTTGTGCATACGGCTGCTACTAGACGCGTATATACTAGTAACAGCTAGTGCGGTCCTTGCAAGCAGTTAAAGGGTCCGTACTTAGAGTGTATAACTCTAAGTTATCGAATTAACGGTTAGGATATCGCTTTCCTAAAGGGCGCTTGTACTAACTGTACTAGCCTAAATTATTATAGTCAATACGAGTTCTCTAGTAAGTTAAATCTAGTCTTATGCATTTTTTTGAAGCAAAAACACTAATTCTTTTATTAGGTTACGTCTCTCGGCTACGCTCTAATACGAATCGTTAGACGCCTATAGCGCCTCTACCGCCTCGCAATCCGGGGAGTAGAGCAGGCACTAATTAGCGTCGTCTATACGTGCTAGTCCCGTCTAGCATCGATTAGAGTACTCCTTAGGGCGCCTAGGTAGTAGCAAATTTGCTGCTATAGCAGGCAAATGCTTATGCCTAGGCTGCTACTTAGGGACGTAGTCGTAGTCTAGGTTCTAGGTTGTCTACTAGTCCTAGCTCGACGCGTAATTCTAGTAGTCCTTAGAGGGGTTTCTCTAATTACGAAGACAGTAATGCTAAGATAGGTAGCTGATTAGGGAGATTCGGTTTTTTCTAGTAGACACAGAGCTATAATATATATTTTCGATTTTGAAATAGGCTAGGTAGTCTAGATTAGTAAAAGCCTTGTAGCATTAGAGAGTTTCTAACTCTTAAGGGCTAAGGTATTTCTTCCTACTTAGTCTCAATATTGTTATAAAAGAAATTTTGCAGCTTAGACTGTATAGTGCAGCTAGGCTGTTTCTAGAAATTAGAATGAAATTCAATGAGTGTATAAAGCTTGTTTTCTAATCCTACAAATAAGATTTTTCTTTCTAAAGGAGTAACTTAGGAGTTTGTCCTAGAGACGCTATATTATCAGAGAATTTTGTTTAGAGATTTAGGCTTAGTAAAACAGTCCGCTAGCTATTTGTTAGTAGTAACGAATTCGATACTAATCTTTCCCTAGGTATACTGTTCTCTATAGTAGTAGTTCCTAAGGGAAACATGCCTCGACCTCTTAGAATTTGTATAGTCCTTAATAAGGGAAATGGCTAACTGGTTATCTACCTAGACATAAATCCTATTAACTTCTTCCCTAGTAAGTAGTTGAAGCTTAGTTATCAAATTTCGGAGCTAGTAGATTTCTCTATATACTTCTATTAGAGCAATATACTCCGCTTTAGTACTAGAGAGCACGACTTCCTTCTAGAGCTGTAATCTCTATATAATTGGAGTGTTGTTAAGAAGCATAAGGGCGCCTAATGTTAATCTTAATAATAAAGGGTTACTAGTAAAGTCTGCATTAGAGTATGCCTGAAATTCTAAAGTTTTCTTCTTTCTAAAGACAAGTCCTTTATTAACTGTGCTAGCAATATACCTCTAGAGATGTTTAGCAGCTATAATATGCTTAGGTCCGGGATTCTAAAGGAACCTAGCAAGGTGGTTGACGGCGTAGCTAATGTCTAGTCTAGTCTAGTTAGCTAGAAACTGCATTTCACCAATTATGGTGTTAAACAGCTAGTAGTCCTAACGGTTATAGGGGGTTGTAAGAGGCTCGTAAAGCTTCTTAAGTGGATACTTTATTAGCTTATACTAGTCTAAGCTATGCTTCTAAAGCTTCTCTTTAGCATAGTATGTCTAGGAGATAGTAAGGTTTCCCTCCTTATCTTCCTTTAGATAAAGGCCTAGGAATAGGTTAGACGTAACAATCTTAATTGTATACTTCTTACGAAGACCTTCAATTAGAGTATCGATCTTTACCTTAGAGGTTCTAAAGATTTGGAAGTTATCTATATAAAGGAGGACAAGAATACTATTACCTTGCTATAGGCAACAGTTACTCTTTATCCTACTTAGGCTAAGTTGACGAAGAGTGTCTAAAGCATTATAGTGCTAGAGATTAGCAGCCTGCTTAAGGCTATACAATCCTTTTCTAATACGGATAATCCACTTTAGAGGGTGCTTCTTAAACAGGTACGCGCCTTCTAGGGGTCTAATGAAAATCTCTTTATCTAGAGGGGGATTCAAGAAAGCAGTCTCGATATTAACCTATCTTCGCTTCTAGTTTTTGTTTACTAAAAGCCTAAGGACAAGTCTAGCAGTAGCTGCTCTTAGTATAGGAGTATAGGTATTAACATAGTTAAGACCTTGCTTCTATATAAAGCCTCTAGCTGTCTATCTTGCCTTATATTTGTTAATAGAGCCGTCTAGCAGGTATTTGATCTTAAAAACCCATTTTCCTATTAGAGGTGTTCTACCTTTTAGTAGGGATTCGGCTAGAATCCACTCGATTGCACTAGACTTTTTAAGAGACCTTATCTCTTTTGTAACGGCTTTTCTCTATTCATCCTAGTTAGGCCTTTTTAGGGCTTTAGCTAGGGTTGTTAGGTTAGCTAGCTTCTAAGCATCTTTTATAGTAGCAGCTATAGCAATCTTAGTGATCTTACTATAGTTATGCTTAGCTACGGCTCTGCTAGACCTAAGTCGTACTTCGGCTTAAGGAGGGTTTAGCTAAGGTGGGTTAGGAGCCCTCTTTCTCTTACTAGTAGTCTTAGGGACTTAGAAGGGAGTGATTAGGGTGTCTTCTAGTTTAGCAGTATCTGTTTCTTAAGTATGCTAATTTTTCTTAGGAGCAGCTTCCTACTAGGTAGCTAGTAGTTCTAGTTGGTGATTTTGGAGTATTAGCTTATTAGCTATAGGTATTGGCTAAGGTAGTGTTCCTTGCTTAAGTGTACCTTGCTCCCCCTAAGCTATAAGGGAGTCTTCCTAATCTTCCTAATTATAAGCCTACTAAGGCTAAGGGATACTACCTCTAAATAGCTCCCCCTAAGGTTCTAAAGAGTGCTAAGGTATTTAGTTATTACTAGGGAATAGTGCTAGGATTCCTAACTCAAATGAAAGGTCAGACTAGGTTTTAAGTACCTAAATAGTCTCCTAAGGGACAGCTAGTCTTAAATACTCCCCCTAAGCTTAAAGGGTACTTAGAAGCTTAGTGAAATTGTCTTTATAGACAAAGTCCTCGTTGAAGGTAACGTATAGAGAGAATCTAATGTTATGCTGCTATACGCCATCCTTCTAGTACGGGTTCCAAAGTAGATAGTTTGTTAACGAATTTTCTTAGAATCTAATAAACTAGTAAACGAAAGCTCTTAGTGCAAATTTCTAGGAGTTAAGTCGTTCAACTCCGGATTCGAGGTATTTGAATGCCTTATAGCTAAATCGTCTCGTCTTAGATAGGTTAATGTCTGTACTGCCGATATTCAAGTCTAATTCGAAAGCCTTAAGTAGAACTTCCTTAGTTCTTAAGTTCACTAGTCTATTAGTTAGGTAAATCGAATGCATTACTACAAAGCACTAGCAGTATATTAGTAGGCTAGAGTCAATCATTATTACTCTTGCCTTAAGTAGAATCGTCTTGTTTAACGACTCTGCAATACTATTCTGCTCCGGTGTATATAGTACAGATACATCCTATCTAATACTAACTTCCTCTACAAAATGTACTAGATCGTTGTTAGTAAACTCTCCCCCGCTATTACTAAAGATAATCTTAGGGATTTTGTTATATTGCCTCTTGATTCTAGTCATCCAGTTAGTTAGCTTGTTACTACTTATTACCTTATCTTTGTTTCGAAGTAACAGACCCTACCTGAGCCTAGTTTTAGCATTAGTTAGGATTATAATGTACCTATTTCCAAACAGATTAAATAGTTGTACGCTAATAAGGTTAACATAGACTTCGTTAAGGGCTTTTTCTAGTCTGGTTCTATATTCTCTTAATATAACTCTTTAAGCTCTCGAGAGCTTGCAGGTCTTATAGTACTCGAGTTTAGATATATTAACTTCTTCTAGGCCTAGAATAGCTTCCTTAGTAGCTATTAGGATCTTGTTGCCGACGTAGCTAAGTCTCTAATGCTATCTTAATGTGTCCGCTCGTAGTCTAGCGATAGCTAGGGCTAATAGCTACCCTTTCTAACTTAATTCTAAGTTTGGTTTTGAAGCTAAGCCTAGTATTTTGACTCTAGTATCTTTAAGGGCAAGTACTCCTTATACTTCCTCAACCTTTCCAATTAGCTTGCCTTTAAGCATTAAAGTGCCTAAAGGTCTGTCTAAGTAAATGCTATATTTCTTCTAAAGACGCTCTGCTAAGATTAGGTTGCAATCTGAGTTCGGGGAGTAGAGGACGTCTATTAGAGTAATTAGGGTTTTCTTTCCTTTATAGGTTAGGAAGATGTTAACAGTTCCTAATCGTAATACACTTAATTTTCCTACTACTTAGGAGAACTGTATAGGCTTGGTTAGGTGCTTAAGATCGCTAAACTAGCTCTTGTTCCCTATAATGTGTAGTAATGTACCTATATCCTAAACTTTTGTGTTAGCTATTAGGTTCTTAGAGCTTGCTATAGCTAGTCCCGGCTTTGCAATAGCTCCCCTAATTAGGCCCCTACTAAGGCCGTCTAGCTGATAGTCTCCCTTATCTTCCGAGTTAGAGGAGGAGTCTAATTTATCTTTATTATTATTGATAGCACTACTAGATTTGCCCTTTCCTTTGCCTTTACCCTTCTTGCCTTTATCTTTGTCTTTGTCTTTGCTCTTGTCTTTCTTTCCCTAACTAGGTAGTGCTATATTAGGGTATTGCTTGTAGCACTTAGCGTTAGTGTGTTTGTGCTTGCACTAAGTGCACTAGTCGTTATTATTGCTAATAGCCCCTCTAATAAGCTTTAAGCCGCTAGATGACTGTCTAGGAGGCTTTTCTCTCCTTAGGGACGTTATTATTGCTTTAAGGGAGGAGTCCTTAGCTTTAGGCTTATTATTATGCTTCTAGGATCTAAGCTATTCGTAACTAGAAAGGCCCTAAATAAACAGCATCCTAACAAGCATATTAGGCATCTTAATGTCTAATGACTTTATAGGCGCTTCTGTTGTTATAACTAAGCTAGTAAATTGTTCTATCGATGTTTAGAATCTGTTAAACTACTACTAAAAAGATTCGTAGTACTGCTAGGTATTCGGATTAGTAAGGGGCATCCTAATGTGCCTAATAAGTTTGATAGTATCAAATATATCTACGGTTATAATAGGCTTGTATAGAGCCTCAATATAGTCGTATATATCCTTAGCTAACTTAGGTGTATTACCGAAGTCTAGTCTAAGGGCAGGGTCGAGTCTAGCAATAAGTATACCTAGGGCTTAGATGTCTTTCTTCTTCTAGTCCCTAAACATGTCTCTATACTACTAATCGGCTAAGTCCCCTATAAACATGCTTTTTAGAGGTAGTTTTATTTTATTAGCCTAGTCAAGTCTATAGAATACTATACTAACTAGGTCCTTTTCTAGAAGGGCCGCCTAGAATATAAGCTTCTAGTCTTAGAAGTTGATCCCCTTCCTAAGAACCTAATTCTCCTTTGCTATCTTTGTCTAATTAGTGTCTATCGTTCCTAGCTGCCTTTTAGTATAGTGCTAGGTAGGGCTTGTAAGGGACACTTGCTAGGTTTTGGTCCGAACTAGAGCTCTTAACTAGGTACCTAATAGGTCTAGATAGCTAGCTCTGTTTAGTGGACTCTGGAAACAGTTCTTTTATAGTTGAACTAGATAGGTAAGCGTATACGCCGGGCTTATAACCTATTGTGAATCGTACTAGGGATGCAACTAATTATCGGATTGACAACTATATAACTATACGAAGAAGGATCAGGAGCCTACTATAGAAACTGCAGTTAATATAGCCATTGTGTGTCCTTCCTCTTGGCACAGGTCAGCTAATGGTATCAGCTAACCAGCATATCACCTGACTGAACCACAACATTGCCGCGACCCAATGCGGGCAACGCGGATCCTGGTCTCGTCCCTGGATGGCGATGGCAGTGCATTTGAATTGTTGCTACCGTCGCCCAAGAGAGGCATTCAGTTCGAAATTGCTGTTGTACCGCACTCAAGATGGACAAGCCGTTGGCGGGCCCAAATCCAGGACTGCTATATGTGAACTCGACCATCAAAGACCCGAGACTGTCTGAAGAGGCTTCTACAGAATGGTATGAAGGAGTGCACATTCCGGATGTCTTCAAGACCAGTGGCTCCGGAGCACCGACAAAGGCCTATCGATGGAAAGCATCAGATCCAGCAGCAGAGAAGCCATACTTGGCCTTGTATCCGACCGCTGACGTCGATTTTCTGGGATCCGACGAATTCAAGCGTGGGTGCATTCAGTGTTCAAATGAACGCCGATAAGCTAAGATGTGGGCAGAGATACCGGTTCACTGTGATAAGCTGCCCGGATCTGGCCAAATCTTTGAGCTTGCCGACTTCGATACCAGGTACTACAAGCTCAAACAGCTATACGGACCGGAGTCTGAGGCGATTGGGGACGCGCAGCCGGACTTTGTCATTGTAGCTGGCTTTACGCCAGCCGACGACGAGGACTATGAGCAGTGGTATCAACAGGAGCATCTGACAGAAATCTCCGGCATTACCGGCTGGCGAAAGACAGAGCGGTATGAGCTCTTTTTCGCGCGCTCCAATCGCGATTACAACAATCCTCTGGTTGCTGACAAGCCCAAGTACTTGACTCTGGTACGTGCTCGAGAGAAGGCGTTCCTGGCGACGTGAAGCTGACGGCCGTAGCATTTCTTCGATGGTGAGACTTTGCCGGAACAGGAGCTTGCCCGGGCCAGTGAGAGCGAGTGGACCAAGAAGAGCATGGGAAGCATGAAGAAGGCGGAGGTGGCCGTGTTCAAGAAGTTGGCATATTTTGTAAAGTCATGAACGGGATTGCGGGGGACTGTTTTCGATGTTGACATGTTGTTCTTCGAGTAAATAAGATTTAGAAAGAACATGGGTGAGAAAATACGGGTTGTTACTTCATCTCCTTTCACCCACCACTACAATCTCGTCGTTCGTCATCGTCGACTTCGTCTTGTGTCCAACATGATATGGTAGCACGACTCTCCGCCGAAGAGACGCAACGAACAAGTTGGAGAGAGAGGTCCGTCCCTCCTCAGCCCCACACAGCCGTTGCCTCCTACACCGACGTACGGCCTGGCTGCCTCGTCTATGCTTTTCCAGGCGGGACTGCTCATGGAGCTACAGCATTGCCGCACGCCGCAAGCGCGAATCACGTGTAGGTAGACTATGTCTTCATTCACTTTAGCAGCAGAATGCACCAAGGCGTCCTCGTGGTGTATTTCGACTCTTTCACTGCATACGATATACCTTTTACGGTTGCAGCGGCCGACGTGAAAGCGGAGATGAATCCATCGAATGGAGTAAGATCGATGAAGGCAGGCAGATGGGCATACGCAGGGGTTCCTGCAATACTGAGATTAGGCGGCATCATCATGGTTGTTGGTTTACCTCACGACCCCGTACCAATTTCGACTATGGATCTTGCCCTTGGCCGCTACAAAATCAAGAGCGAGAGTACTGGCTTGCCTCGAAGGATGAAAAAGGCAGTCGACTTTCTGGCCAAGCACTCGATCAAACCTGAAGTACAGCACCGCAAACTAGAGGACCTCAATGATATGGTCAATGAAATGAAGACCGGTTCTGCTACTAAGCGAATGCTAGTCGCCTTCTGAGTGCATTGATCTCAGCTTCAGCTGGCGACCGTAGAAATGCAAAACTTCCCTATATGGCCATCGTCAACCTCATCCTATGTGAACATTCATTGCCCTGGTGGTGCTCGCTGTCGCGGATACAGAATTCCTAAAGCAAACAAGTGACACGAAGACGCTACGAATACAAAGAGTTCCCATCTTCCTGCGTTCCTGACTACGACTCAGAGCTTGCCTCGCCTCAGGATCTCACTGGTGCTGTGATCCACCATGAAAGACGTTCACTCCCGATCGCATCCCACTCGGATAACCTCAACGGGCTTACACGGCAACGCTCGGCATCTTCCTCGAAGTTGGGAGCAATCTCCCCTCATGCGATCCCCGCAAAGATTCTCATTACGAAGCACCGCCTCAGTATCTGTGTATATCTGAGATTCCACACTCCCACTGAAGCTGTGTATCGACTTCGCCTGACGCAAAGATCACACAATGACGTTGAAAAAGATCGACCACGACTTCCAGAATCCTCAACTTTCTTACGATGCCAACCCAAACTACCAGCCCTATATCAAGCTTTCGTTCTATTTCTCCAAAGGCAATAATGTCACAGACGAGCAATTCCATCGGCACTGGGAGACGGTCCATGCAGACCTGACGATCGCAGCTAAAGTTTTCAAAATCTTCAAGATACGACGCTATACTCAAGTTCATCAGACTGCCGATCTCAAAGAAAAGGCTCGAGACCTTGGCGCTAACCTTGGAATCGAGCATATGGACTATGATGGCTGCTCAGAAATTTGGGTCGAGAAGTGGGAAGATTGGGTCGAATTTTCCAGTAGTGAGGAGTATTCTCAGGCGATGAATCCTGACTGTAAGCACTTCATGGCAATGCCTGTACGAGTAAGTTAATGGATGACTGGTCCTTGTGGCGCCGAAGCTGATTTGTTTAGGTCTTCGCTGGATATGAGAATGTGATCTTCGGGAATGCTACGCCTGGCGTTGGCGGGAATGATGGTGTGCTACCTGAGACGTTGAAGACTAGAGACTAGAGTGTGGCAGCGACGGTTTTTGTTCGATACGATATAATTGGCAAGTGTCGTTGGAGCGCAATGGAAATGCCCTCAGACGTGTTTCGGATCATGTTAACCGCTGCTGCCCTGATCTTTTGCTCTCTGCTTCTGCTTGACATGGCTGGACCTCATCGGCTAGCATTACAGCTGTGCCGACTCTTTCCCCTCGTTTTGTTGCGCTCTAAGAGACCAATGGGCAAAGATTACCGGGCCAATGGGCTCAGGCTGCGATCCATGGAGTTGCAAGTGTCTATCAGCAGGGGTTCCCATTGAGATCTCGACAACTCTGCTTGGAAACACGACTTGATTCTAACAGTTTGTGATCGCACAATTGCTGAACGAACATTGCCCTTCAAATTTATCAAGATGACGCCAATGTCATCAGATGACAAGGACAAGGCTGTCATTCAGCATGAAGAGGACGTGACAGTATCGCCGCCATCCGAGAGCGCAGTCATTAATTCGACCGAGAGCACTAACATAACTTGGAAGACATGGGTCGTAATCTTCGTACGCAAACAAAGCATTGTTCTCTGATCAACCGCTGACGAAGTTCAGATTCTGTCATCATGCTTCGGTTTATCATTTTGGCCCGTTCCAACAACATCCGCCATGCAGACTACGCTGGCTTCGAAACTCGGTGATGCTGGTGGAACCTCAGTCTACTGGTACATTCCCGCTTACACGACAGGAAATGCCCTAGGATTTCTCATCGCTGGGGCCAACAGCGATCTGTTCGGACGCAGGATCTTCTTGTAGGTAATGAGTAGGGTACTCGAAACCAGGCACTAATAACAGCGCAACAGATTGGTCGGGGAAGTCGCTGCAGCCGTGGGCATGCTAGTATCCGCTACCGCCAAGAGCCCACAGCAGATGACCGCAGGACTGGCAATCGCCGGCTTTGGCGGTGGCTTCTGTCAAATGGCGATGTGCTCGATACCGGAGCTGATGCCAAACAAGTATCGTCACATTGGCATATGCATTTCGGACGGGTTTGTCTTCGTAATTGTCATCATTGGCCCTATCGTCGGCCGTTATGCCATTGATACCGGAGATGCTTGGAAGCACATCTATTATGGTGGCTTCATCGCTCAAGTCTTCTCTCTGATCGGACTTTACGTTTTGTACCATCCACCGAAGCATCCTAAAGGCGTTTCCTGGAAGGAAGCAATCTTTGGGTTGGATTATATCGGCACACTGCTGGTCATCCCGGGAGTCTGCTTGGCCCTGGTCGGAATCATCAATACTACGTATATATCAGTTTCGGATGTGATGGTGATCGTACCACTCGCTGTAGGACTTGGCCCTTTGGTGCTATTCGGCTTCTGGGAGACGCTGTCGAATACGAGATACCCACTCTGTCCGCCGCAAATTTTTAGCGCGCACCATGGCCGCCAATTCACAGCGCCTTTTATTCTTGCTTTCATCGTTACTATGTTCTATTATGGGGTCAAGAGCGAGAGTACAAGCAACGGTAAAGAGAGAGCTCTGCTACAGGAAATACTCACGGAAAATCACAAAAAGCCATTCAGTGCTGCGCTTGTGTAAGGGCTTGCTGATCGTACCGCTCCTGCTTTCCGTGTGCTAGGTAGAACTGAAGGGCAGCTTCACCCTCGTGCCTACCTACTTCCAATTGTGTCGTCATGTCGCTCGCTCCCTCCCTCCCTCCCTCCCTCTCTCTCTCCTTTCTCTCACGAGGTACTGGATTTTGCGATCTAAGAATTTAGCTAAGAACTATCAATGTGATCTATCCAACGGTAAGATCTTTGAACGCGACCAGGAGAAGCTAATTGCTGAGACATACCAGATGATCAATGTTTTCTACGTCACTCCAGAGACGCCTCGTTCTGAGCAGCTCCTCCTTACACTGCCAGGGAACATAGGCTTGGTTTTTGGTGCGATTCTTTTGATTTGTTTTGGCAATCTCCTAGGCCACTGGAAGTGGACTCTTACGATCTCCTGGATTGGCATGACTCTCTTTGGTGGTCTGATGGCTCTTGTCACTCCATACAACAAGGGCGCGATGATTGCCCTTGCCTTCCTTGAACAGACTTGCTTCGGCTGGGCACAGTACGAATCCATCGCGTTCACACAGCTTGGCGTCCACCAACATGATCTTGGCATGTCTGGAGGGTTGGCAGGTGTCGCTCGATATGCAGGTGGCTCTCTGGCGCAAGCTATCTATACGAGCGTGTTGACCAACACGCAGACGTCAAGAGCCGCTACGCTGGTCCCGAAAGCAGCGATGAATGCAGGCGCTAGTGAGTCGGTGGCAGCAGCTCTGCTGGAAGCTCTCACTGCCGGCGGGAATGGAACGTACAGCGTTCATGGCAGTGATGCTGAGATTCTTGGCGCAGCAAGTGAAGCCTTCCAATGGAGCTATGCATACGGGCTGAAGATCACTGCTCTGTCGTCGCTTGCGTTTGGTGGACTTGGCTTGGTGATGTGTCTCTTACTAGAGAACATCGATGCGAAGATGAATGATCAGACGAATGTCTTCCTGGAGAACGATGTCAATGCAGAGAAAAACGAGTTTCACTGAGCAGCACATGCATAAAGCTATCGGCGAAGACTCTTATTCGCATCGTCATTCCGCACCATCAATCAGTACGTCAGATTGACCATGATCGTCTTCGGATCTGTGAAGGCTCTCAGAGCATGGATGCCTGCTTCTCTCCCAACACCACTCTGTTTGCTGCCCCCGAATGGAGCCTGTGTCATCATAAGACTGATGCAATTGATGCCAACCATACCTGAATCGAACTCGCTAGCGATGCGCATAGCTTTGTTGATGTCCTGGGTGAAGACTCCTGCCATGAGACCATATTCCGTATCATTGCTCATCTTCATCACCTCCTCTTCAGTCTTGAAGGTACGAACAACCGAGACAGGTCCAAAGATTTCGTCGGTATGGATTTCAGACTTGGGGTCAACATCGGTGAAAATCGTCGGCTGCACATCGTCAGCTGCAAGAAGGGGAAGAACGACTGGGTAGCTTACCTCAACAAAGTAACCTTGACTGCCAACTCTTGCACCTCCCGTGAGAAGTGTACCTTGCTTCTGATCTTTGCCGCGTTCAATGAAACCAGTAACACGATTAAATTGGGCTTCGTCAACGAGCGGGCCAAGAATGGTCGAGTCTAGGTCCGGATCACCAATGAGCTTGGTCCTTTCTTGGAATAGGGCCTTGTACTTGGCGATGAACTTGTCGTAGATGCCTTCTTGCACGTACACGCGAGAGGCGGCGAAACATACTTGACCACTGTGACCAGTGATAGCATTTACAGTCCAGTTGACAGCGTTGTCTAAATTGGCATCATCGAAAACAACAGCAGGGCTTTTGCCACCAAGTTCCAAAGTCACCCTCTTCAGATTACTCTTGGCGGCCATTTCCTGAATTTTCTTGCCAGTAGGGATAGAGCCAGTGAATGATACTTTGCGTACGCGCGTGTGGCTTGCGAGCAGTGCACCTGTGGTACCGTCTCCGGACAGAACCTGAAAGACTCCAGGGGGGAAGCCAGCCTCCTTGATGAGCGGTAGTAAGGCGAGAGCAGCAAAAGGCGTCTTCTCACTCGGCTTGAGGATGAAGCAATTGCCCGTCGCGAGTGCAGGCCCCGCCTTGAGACCGACGTTGCCAATAGGGCCATTCCAAGGAATGATACCCGCCGTGACACCGAGAGGTTCATTGCGAACGATTTTCATGAAGCCATCCTCCTGTGGATAGGATTCGCCCGCAAATTTGTCAGTCCAGCCGGCGTTGAAGCGAAGAGTCTCAGCGCACAAGGCGGTCTCAAAGGCACCAAAGCTGGTCCACGGGGCTCCGAGGGTGATCCTGGTGAGCTCCCCGAGTTCCTACAATGCCGTCAGTTTACAAGGTGACGAGATGCATGATGGCTGGGCACGCAAGGCTCACCTTGGAATGTGCATCGATCAAATCTGCCAGCTTGTTCAGCATGTCACGTCGCTTGGCCGGAGTGGTCTTTCTCCAGGCCGGAAAGGCTTCCTCGGCCGCGCGAACGGCGGCATCAACGTCTTGCTCGCCAGCCAAGGGCACATCGTCGGCGACAAGCTCTCCGTTCTTGGGGTTCTTGACCGTCAGCTTCTGGGCATTCTGCGAGTCGACATATTCGTTGTTGATGATCAACTGCTTGGGCAAGTTTTCTTTGCTGAATGGAAAGTGCGACATGATGGCGGAGATGTTTGGTGGAAGGAAAAAGTCAGACAGAGAACAATGGCACGTCGTCAGCACGCTGGGCAGTACCCGTAGTGCCCGTACCCGTACACGTACAATACACTGGAGCCATCGCGGCTGTCTTTCCGTCACAGAGCATAGACCGAGCCTTCTGCTGCGCGTTCGTGTCAGGCTGGAGCATGTTTTCCAGCTGAGAAAGTGACGCGAAAGTGGAACGAGGCAAAGTGACCAGACCGAGGTTCCGTTCCGTCTTCCCGCCGTCCCGCTCCGTCCGTCCCGCCCGCGGCCAAAATTGGCTCCCTCGCTCCTGCCTTGACGCCTGATCAGCCTCAGCTCGGGCCCAATCACCTGATCTCCTGCAGTACCTGCAGTACGACGTCTCGAGCTCAGTAGTAACGCAGCACTCACTTCTGAGCTGAACTCACTCGACTTCTGTGTGTCTCTTTGCAGCGTTTGGACCACCTTCTCTCCGTCTCCATGATAGAAGGAAGGTGGCAGCTGTGCACGGTGGCACTTCCCCGGACTTGGCAGCTGGGGAAATCGTGGGGAGCGGCTCACTCGTACGCTTGTGGACGTGGCGCTGGCAATCACGCGCTCTGATTGGAGCGACAAAGACCTCCACTTGCTCACATCATTGCCCACGCAAGCGCGGGGTACGGGTTGTCTACTTCCATGTGACCACCTCCTGGCGCCTTGTTTAAGAGACAGCCGAAGTACCTTGGAAGTCGCTCGCTGAAACGGTTCCTTTCATTTTCCACCCCTCTCCACTCACCTCACCTTTCACACACCCTCGACTTTACCAAGGCTATCCAATACCACACCCAATCTCCAACATGTTCTCGACCGTCGCAGGCAACAGTCTGCTTTACAAGGGCGCCGCCCTGTATGCAACAACCACCGCCTTCGCCGCATTCTGGCTGACCGTCAGACAACCAATCCAAGCTGGCAAGGAGGGCCCGTACAACGTGCACCGCGTCCTTAGACAGGGCCGACGTATCCCATGGCGTCGTCTTCCGAAAGCGCTCTAATGAAGACCGCCTTAATCACTGGCGGTGGTAAGTCGTTCGGTGCAGCCTTCATGATCAACAATCCCGCTGACCCATCCTCCACAGCCAGTGGCATGGGCCTTGAAGTTGCTAAGGCCCTTGCGAATCGAGGAGATTGGCATGTACATCTCCTCGATCTTAATGCCGACCGGGGACACGAAGCAGTGACCACCATTGGCAATGACAAAGCAACATTTCACGAAACAAACGTACTGGACTACGACTCTCTCGCGAACACATTTCAGAAAGCATACGACTCCTCGAGCAGGCTCGACTTTGTGTTTGCCAACGCTGGCATAGTTGAGAGGTTCAACTTCTACGAATCGCATCCGAGCGGCACACCGCCACCTCCACCAGACCAACTAGTCATTGACCTCAATCTAAAATCAGTCATCAACACAGTCTGGCTCTCGCAGCACTACTTCCGTCAATCAGCCCAGAGTGATGACAAGAATCTCATCATCACTGCGAGCGTCGGTGCCATCTATCGCTGCCAGGTTTCCCCATCGTATTGCGCCTCCAAACATGGCGTACTAGGACTGATGCGAAGTATTGCTCCACACTTCTACAAGTACGATGGCATTAGGGTAAACGCTATATGCCCAGCATCGGTGAAGACCAATCTCCTGGACTCGACGGCATGGAACACCTTCCCAGATGACGTGTTTGTACCGATTGAGAAGGTTGTCGAAGCATGCCTACTCCTCATCGATGGCAAAGACAGTGAAGGCAAGCTGCTGGAGCCTGAGTCGCGTCATGAATCCACCGGTGAGGCGACAGGTGGCGTGACAGCTGATCACAAGTTGTTTGGGCATGCGGTGGAGCTCTCTGGGCTGAAGATGTATCATCGTAGACAACCTGATTATGCTGATGCCCATCTTGCTCGGTGCATGAAAGCGACTGAGCGAGACACATATCTCGAATAACATGTTGCTGGTCCAGATCTCCACCTCTCTCTTCCTCCCTTTTCTTGTACGAAGTTCTCAGAGCCATTGTCGACGTTTCGACATGCCTTTGTGCCTCTACACTGACTCACTGGCACACGAACGATATGTAAGTAACATATCCTACACCGTGTTAGTGGGAGTCTGGAGTCCTCACGCTCTCTTAGAGTATCAGGCTCCTTTCTCATGGTCTTATCTGACATTACTTTGGCAATCTTGCGACCGCGACAACCCGCGGGTACACTTCTCCGAAGTAAGTGTTGCGTCGGAGGTAGCGGCCCACAAGCTCGAGTGGGTCGCCAGAGACATGCGAACTGATCCCGTGGTACAGCCTCTGCTTTTGAGGCTCTCAATGCAATGATAATCGCTACCGACAGGATGCGAGGCATTGTCTGAGCTGGTCAGGCTACACCGAGGACGGTAAGAAGCTCCCCTGTCCGTGTAGCCAACGAGCGTAGGTGATGGATAAAATGTACCTTTGGAGTGTAGCTTGTATGCTGCATTGCTCTTTCAATCTTACTTCGAACCTCCTCATCGACCGGTAATGACAATGCGTTCCGCCGACAACGAGCTCACGCCCTCTGGTGGGCAGTCGACAATGCCTAGCGTCGTAAGCGGCGTCAATGGTGTCGCGCAAAGCTACGATTACCCTGAAACAACGCCGGACGGACCGTATCGGGTGTTGGATCAATATCACAGCAAGCCCAGAAGATTGCGAGTAGCATGCGTTGGCGCTGGTGCTTCAGGCTTATGCTTAGCATACAAGATGAACAAGATGCTTGAACCTGGATCGTGGGAGTTGACGCTTTTTGACAAGAACAAGCATTTTGGAGGCACTTGTAGGGCTATTCTTATTCTCAGCAGTGATCATCGATATGGCCTTGTTAATGGTTGCTGTAGGGCTAGAGAACACATATCCAGGCGTTGCTTGCGACATCCCGAGCCACAACTATACCTTCACGTGGGACCCGAATCCAGATTGGTCGCACTTCTTTGCGTATGGCCCAGAGATCCAACAGTACTTTGAGAACTTTGCGAAGAGACATGGAAGTGAGAGATACATGAAGCTGAACACCAAGGTGGTCGAATGTCGGTGGGATGAAGAGCAAGGTGTTTGGAACATGTGAGTCGACGCCTGAAGGTAAGGTGATCCCTTAATGACGAATTGAACAGCACACTCGAAGACCAGACATCCAAAGAGACATGGCAAGACTGGGCACACGTGGTTGTCAACGGCACTGGTATTCTTAATAACTGGTAGAGTTCTCGACTTCTGCATTGCAGGGACTGTCGCTAACGCATTTGATTCCGACCAGGCAATGGCCAGACATCCCGGGTATCCACGACTTTGCAGGTCCAAAGATGCACAGCGCCAGCTGGGACCATAGCGTCGACCTCGATGGCAAGACGATTGGCGTAATCGGAAACGGCTCCAGTTCCGTACAAATTGTCCCTCAACTCCAAAAGATTGCGAAGAACCTCCAAGTATACATCCGCTCCTCGACGTGGATCAGTCCTCCCTTCGGCGCAGGAGCTTTAACGACAGTTCACAAAGGCAAGGATGTTGACCCAGGCCAAAGACAATATGAATTCACAGAAGAAGACCGAAAGAAGTTCCGAGAAGACCCAGAGTTCCATCTCCAATTCCGGAAAGGCATTGAAGCTGAGATCAACGGCCTGTTCGGTATGTATAAGCAAGGTTCTGAGTTGTCGAATACTTTCCGGAAAGTCATCACAGAAGAAATGAATAGGCGTATGGGGCCTGGTCATCAAGAGCTGAAGGACTTCATCATACCAAGCTGGTCGCCCGGGTGTCGCAGGATCTCGCCTGGTGATGGCTATCTTGAAGCCTTGGTCCAGGATAATGTCGAGCCAGTACTGGTAGAAATTGAGAAAGTGACTCCAAACGGAATCCTGACCAAGGACGGGGTTGAGCATAAAATGGACGTGCTGGTCTGCGCGACAGGCTTCAAAGTCGCTTTCCAGCCTGCTTTTAAGGTGATCAACGCTGCCGGCAAAAGTGTCCAGGAAGATTGGGAAGAACGAGGCGGTGTCAACCTCTACCTGGGAGTCTCAGCTCCGCGCTTCCCTAACTTCTATGTGATTGTAGGGCCCGGCGCAACTTGGAGCAATGGCACTTTGCTACCGTCCATTGAGACAACGATTGAGTATTCGGTCAAGATGATGAAGAAGATCCAAACGGAACACATCAAGGCGATAGACGTTCAGCAAGAGGCTCTTGACGATATTTACGCTCATTTTGATGAGTTTCATAAAGAAACGGTCTGGCAGGAAGAATGTCGGAGTTGGTTTAAGGATGGCAAGATCAAGAACCGAATCTACCTCTGGCCGGGAAGCACGATACACTTCCTTAAAACGATTAAAGAGCCCAGAATGGAGGACTACAATATTCGCTGGCGATACAAAAACAGTAAGCCATCATAATATGCCTTCAATTGCGTGCTGACTAGGAGTACAGGATTTGCCTTCTTAGGCAACGGAGATGTCAAGGCGACTGCGAGTCGAGATGTCGCTGGACTGAGCACTTATATGCGGAACAGCGATCATGAGTGGACTGTCGACTGAGCATTTTGATGACGATGCAGGCTAGAGCAGTGGGACCAGCCAGCGTCATCTTTGATTCAAGTGCAAGATTGTCGATCCCAAGTAGTGGGTGACGGCCCAGCCATGGCCACATCATTGCGATGTAGACGTGTTCAACCTCAGCCATTTATAATGCCGCCCATGGGCGGAGAATGATAATTGTTGGGTGCTTGACGGCCTCGGGGTGGATAGCCATCCAGATCTGTACTGACGTCCGCAGCTGATCCAGCATGCCACCTTGACCAATCCTCCGCGGATGGCAGGCCATGAAGGAATTCGATATTGCCAATTTCACGTTCAGATAGTGCAGGCAGGTCTCCTAGATTCGGGACCGGCCCAAAGCCATGGTTGCTGAAGTCCGGAGAGATCATCCAGTCGTGCTCAACACCAGAGATGGGCATATGAGCGGGTGCTGACGTTAAAGGGCGGTGTTGCGGGTCGAGGGGTTGCATTGGTGGCCAAGGTGGCGCCTCGCTCTGCGGCGTGACTATAACGTAGGACGATGGATCAATAATTGGTGCTTGTTGCGATATATGGCTCCCTTCAGAAGCAGCATCGCTAGCACGGTGGTTTCGTTGTGGCGTAGGCGGCGGCATTGCTGTCTTTGCTAGATTTGAGCGGCTCGTCTGTCTCCTTTTAAGTGAACCTCGATCCGTTTCCAGTGTTGTACTGCCTCTGCGTGCTGGAATGGCCACCTTCTCTGGACTGATAGGACCTCCTCGCAATTCGACCATGCATGCGTTCAAGACTGCTGCCATCCTTTCGGCGGGCTGGTAAGCATGAGCCATATCTTGTAATGCGGCATGCAAGACCTCGAGGTACTGCATGTTATTGTTGCGATCTGTGGCATCTGGCATGTAAGCCAATGCTGCGATCAGCGCTTGGGACGCTGCACCGGCGTGCTGCATTCCAATGCAGAAGATCTGCTTTCCGTCGTACCGCTGTCGATGTTGCCAAAATATACGAGCCATGGCTACGGCGGACTTTGTGCATATTGCTCGACTAGCCTTGGAGAAGTGGCTGTCCAGAGTGTTGACCTCCTCCGTATCTCCACCATTTGGATCGTCGTAGCGAGCGAACGGACGATGGAGCAGTATTAAAATAGCATGGTACTGCTGATGCAGGAGAAAGAACGACAGTGGCGCATCTGTGCGATTCTCCTCGGTGTAGCGAAGCTCCGGAGGGAGTCGCGATGCCCAGTTGTGAATCTCTCGATCGAGCGTGGCCATCTTGAAGTACGCTGCTTGGTCCGGCCCCTGGACATTATCGTGTGACTTTCGAAATTCCGCATATTCCACGATCTTGCCCGCGATCTCCATGAGCTCGATCAGAGCTTCATATATACGCGTATGCAAGCTCTTGCTTGGTCCTGCGGGCATGCATGTGCCAAGTCTCTCGAACTGATCGGCCAACGAGTAGACTTCAAGATCGACGCTCTTCATCGTCAAAGGTCTTCCGAGGAACAAGCTCCAGTAGCGATCGTAGATGACGCACGCCCACAATGTCATCCGTCGGATGTCCATCTCTCTCTGCGACAATCCGGCGTTCCTGCTGTCGAGCTGCAGACCGATATCGTAGCAAAGGCGCATGGCCATTCCGGAGAAGATCCAGCCTGCATTGTCGCGCCCGACTCCTACTTCCTGATCACCGAGGATCAACAGCGCAGCAATGGACGGGATTCCACCAGGTCGTTCCAACTCCAGGTCGAGCATATACTTGGCTTCGCGATGGAGCGTACTTTCGCGGTCTGGCAGAGCAATGCGTTGCATGTCGGGGCGGGTCTTGTCCGAGAATCTGTAGCCCATGGCTAGAATACATACATGCAGAAAGCCGGAGTAGAACTGAGTTCTACCGTGTTCGCAATCTTCGTTGAAGGCTTCTTCGTGAACCACATGTAAGACTGAGTTGTAATGCTGCCAGAAGAGTTGCATCAGGTAGTCATGAGTTTCGATGGGCAGCGTTCGGATGATCTTTTCTGCTCGTCGAGCTTGCTCGGCACTCTCGCGAGTACTCTTGCTCTCGTCAAGATCCAGCTCAGAATAGATGTGGCAATTGACAGTGCCTCCGTAGAACCTTAGGCGGCCAGAAAGCTGGTCGAATGACAGATGCCCGCGAGTAGACAGCAGCCGGTTGACCAGGCCATCTGTCTTGGCATCCATTGGCGTCCCAGCGCTTCCGTCTCGCTCACTCCGATTCTCTGTGCTGGCCGACGATGCAAGATGAGAGGCCTCATAGCTTTCATCTGGCACGCTTGTTGGACTTGGTTCCTCTGGGGCTGGCGAATCATGCTTGGCTCCAGGATGGCTCTGCACAGGTGCCGGGCGAAGGGGCGAGTCGTCTCCATCTGCATGTAACGTTCCCCTGGTCGTCTTGGGTGGATAGACGACAGGCGGCAGAGCTTCGCCTTTATCTCTGAGCATGGACTCAAGCATCGACACGCGGTCTGTCAGTGCGCTCATGTAGGCTCTCGAGATCGGTCGCCGTCTCTCATCGTCATTCTTAATGATGCATTCGGTGCGCGCTCTGGTGCATTGAAGGCATTCGGCGCTGCCCGGCGGCACGACGCACTTGATGGGTGTTCAGCAATGATCGATTCGCTGCTGGAAGTGCACGCCTGACATACCCGGATTCGTCGTTCACGACATGTTGCACAAGCTACAGACGCTCTATGGCGGGACTTCTGGCGCTTGCCACTGCCTGCTGTGTCGGCATCGGCGTGTGGTTGGGAGTCGGTGCTGCTGGGAACATCTGCTGTCGCCACGGCCGAAGCATTTGTCACCGGCTGCATGTCGGATGGTCAGCTGACATCAGGCCCTGGCAGGAACAGTACTGGGTAGAATGGACGGAGGAGGCGTGAGAGGGGGAGGGGGAGGGGAGCGAGTGTGCAAGCAGGACGGCAGTCGACCGCATTGATATTATGCACTGCACAGCACTGCACTGCACAGCGGCGCAGAGGACGCGGTGCTCTTTCGACCTGATCGCCGAACATGCATCGGCCAGACCCTGCCGCAGCCGCAGCCGCACCGCAACGGCCACCGCAACGGCCACCGCAGCCAATCCTGGGCCACCTTCGATGATACTGCCAAGTTCAGGGAACGAGTCAAGAAGGTGCCGGGAAGGGCCCGGACGCGCGAGGCGTGAGAGGTGGTGGAGGCATGGAGCTGGAGCCATGCCGTACGTAGGGCTAGAGCTGGAGCCATACTATACGTAGAGGCTAGAGCTGGAGCCATACTATACGTAGAGGCTAGAGCTGGAGCCATACTATACGTAGAGGCTAGAGCTGGAGCCATGCCGTACGTAGGGCTAGAGCTGGAGCCATGCCATACGTAGGGCTAGAGCTGGAGCCATGCCATACGTAGGGCTAGAGCTGGAGCCATACTAAGTATACGTAGAGGCTAGAGCTGGAGCCATGCCATACGTAGGGCTAGAGCTGGAGCCATACTATACGTAGAGGCTAGAGCTGGAGCCATACTAAGTATACGTAGAGGCTAGAGCTGGAGCCATGCCATACGTAGGGCTAGAGCTGGAGCCATAGAATACCAGCCATTCCGACCCTTCCTTTTCTCCGCCGCCCCCCAATGTGGGCCAGCTCAGGCCGGAAGCACTTTCTTCTTCGACCTCTGAGTCTCATACAGCCTTACATCCCGTCAGACACCGACCAAGGCGTGACCCTGTGCCGTACCTTCTACACACCATCGCACGCCGCACGCCGCACGCCGCACGACCACGCCCATGTTCTGCACAAGCCTCGGCCGAATACAATGTCGTCCATATCAGACTCGACGAGCCGGCGATCAGAAGCAGAAGCACTTCTTATACTGCCCAGCCTACGTACCATCCATCCATGCCAAGCTTGACGCGGAAACGATGAGCCGCCGCTTCGGCCTGCGTTACCCGCGCCGTGACAGAACTTACATGACTCGGGAGCTGATCCATTGACCTCGCTACTAACTCCTCTGCTTCCAGAAGAAGGCATTGACGATGGATAATGACTTGAGCGGTGCGGAAGGTCAAAGTCTTGACCTTTTTGTCCTTCCTCCTGTCTGCATCCCTGAACCCGCATAATTCTCGGCGTCTTCCCGAGTGCAGGCAGAGGGCCTGACAAGATCATCATCAGAACACTTCGTCAGAAACCTTGCTCTGGATCAGGCATCTCAGCCCTGTCTATCGCAACCTGACATGGCGAACCTGCTCCGCGGCACGGCATTCATTACAGGAGCTGCTTCAGGTATTGGCCAATGCACAGCATATGCCCTGGCAAAGCATGGCGTCAAACGACTGGCCCTTTGCGATATTCGACCAGAAGCACTGAAAGATACGACCGAGCGACTCAAGACGAATCACCAGGATGTAGAAGTCCTCAATGTCGAGATGGACACGAGTCGAGAAGACTCAGTCAAGTCTGCTGTCAACCAAACCGTCAAAGCCTTTGATCGGATCGATATTGTACACGCCCAAAACCTAATCACATCCTTCAAGCTTCCTTCGTATTCTGACTCTGTGTTCCTCATTCTAGGCAATCAACAACGCAGGCATCGCCGGAACCCCAAAACCCTCCCACGAAAGTACACTCGACGATTTTCAGAAAGTCGTTTCTATCAATCTGAATGGTGTCTGGCTATGCCAAAGATCTCAGATCTTGCAAATGCTCACACAAGAATATCTGTCTCCCGCTCCGAGAGGGAGTCGAGGTGTGATCGTCAATGTGGCTTCGATGTTAGGCCTCGTCGCTTCTAGCCCGGGCACGCCTGCTTGTGCATACGTAAGTCGTCATCAACCAGCATCTGAAGTTTTGCAGCCATGACCTTCTCGGCATTATTTCCTCGTCCACTCAACATCACACAGCCGACGTTGATGCTATGTAGACAGCGACAAAACACGCCGTCATGGGCCTCACGAAAACAGATGCCGTGACTTATGCGAAAGATGGCATTCGGATCAATGCCATTTGTCCGGGATATATTGCAACTCCTCTACTAACATCTGCCACTGCAGCTGGAGTCATGAGTGAAGAGGTTGCGAAGGTGCCTATGAGGAGATTGGGGGAAATGCAAGAGATTGCAGATGCCATCACATTTTTGAGTGGCGAGATGAGTAGTTTCATGTGCGGGAGCGGGCTAGTGGTCGATGGGGGGTATACAGCTCAGTGAAAACAAGGTCAAGAAAAGCAAAGCCTTTTCACGACAAACAACCTACATGTATGTACCTGCTATACAGTGCTACGATCTACTGCATCATAATTTCGCCGCTTTCCTGCCAGAGAACTCAACACCCGCACCCGCACCTGCACTCCTGTCAACACTGCTAGAACCTACTGCGTCATAATTTCTCCGCTTTCCTGCCAGAGAAGTCGACACCCGCACCTGCACTCCTGTCAACAGTGCCACTCTTCGTCAAAACCTTTCTCCTCTTGCCCTTACTCAACCACTCTCCATCATCTTTCTCTCGGATGTAATAAGCCCAATCAGCAGTTTCATCTAATTCCGTCTGACTATACCCATTGCCCAGCCACGCGAACCTATTGCCCTCATATTCGATTTCGAAGTCCTCGTACCTCACTTCACTCAACGCCTCGATATAGTGCAAGGTACTACCAGGCCAGAGCGCCGTGATGGGAGCATCGATTTCACCGCTCTTGTACCATGAACGACAAGGGTCCGACCAGACGGTGTTTTTCATGAAACGATTCTTGTGAGCGATAAAGTCTTCTACTGCTTCGGCTTTCGGGTAGAATGATTTTATGTTATGGGTTTGGTAGTGGTCGATTAGCTTACAGACAGTATCTGCCTCCTTTTCGATGGCCGACAATACGGGACCATTTCCGATGGGACAGTTGGGACCGAGGAAGATGAGATAGTTTGGGAACTCGGGGGCTGCAATTCCGAGGTAGGATTTTGGTTCCTTGGCCCATACATCTTGGAGGTTTTGGCCGGCGGCGTTTATGACTGGAAAGCGCGGTTTGAAGGTTGTGTCGAAGCCGGTGGCGCAGATGAGGATGTCGATTGGATATTCTTTGCCGTCGTCGCAGACGCAGCCTCGTTCAGTGATCTTCTCGATCTCGCCGTAGACGGTTGTGACGTTAGGCTTGGTGAGGGTTTCGAGGTAGTTGACTCCTGGAGTCAGGCGTCTGCAGCCTACACTCCATTCGGGGATGAGTTTGGAGATGAGGTCTTCGTCACCGAGTTTTTCCTTCATTTGCTGGACCATATAGTCGTGGGTTTCGTTGTTGACGTTGGTGTTCTTGAGGAAGAGGGCGAATTGGCCATTGAGCCCGGTCTCGATATTCTTGCGGTATTCAGTGAGCTTCCCTGGTTCTTTGGCGAACGCCTCGCGCTCTTCAGGACTAAAAATGTGCTGTTCCAAACCCTGCACTGGTGATACCCAAGTTGGCTCGCGGATGAAGGTTGTGACGTGTTTGACGTGAGGTTGGATCGCTGGCAAGACCTGAATGCCGCTTGAGCCATTCCCGATCAAGCCAACGTTTTTGCCTGTGAGATCGACGGACTCATCCCAGTTCGCCGTGTGCAGCAATGTGCCCTTGAAGTCGAAAAGACCTGGTATCGCTGGCCATCTCCAATTATTGAGGATGCCAGAAGCGTTGATGAGAATGTCACACGAGTCATTGAATTCCGCGTTAGTCGCGAGGTCTTTCACGCTGATGTCCCATCCAGCTTGCTCGGAATTCCAGATCGCGCCAGTGACTTGATGCTTCGTCTTTACATATGAATGCAAGTGATACTTGGCTGCAAAGTCGTTGAAATACTTGTAGATTTCGGCTGAGCTAGCATAGACCGCACTCCAGTCCAGCTTTGGCTCAAAGGACCAAGTGTAGTTGTGTGATGGCACGTCGCAACTACACCCAGGATACTTGTTCTCCCACCATGTCCCGCTGACTTGTTCGTTCTTCTCATAGACGACCAAATCCACATTCTGAAAATGCCGTTGGATTTTGTACGCGAAGAGGAGACCACTAGCTCCAGCGCCAACGCAGATGACCTTTACGTTCCGCTCCTGGTGGATTGGGCCATTCATTCTCCTCCGCACATCATCTTCCGCTCGATTCTTTCGTTTGCCCAGTGAAGGCAGATGCGTTGCCTCACGGATGGGAAAGTCGGCCATGGGAGCAAGACTCTGGATTCGAACTTGGGCAAATGCTGAAGTTCGTGTTTCTCGATGCCACTAAGTTGTTACGTGTCGTGTTTGAAAGATTAAGAGCCTAGAGCGGGATGCTGCGCAGGTCAATGTAAGGTAGGAGAGGAAGAATTGGCAAGCTTCTTTCGGAGGTGAAGGACTTCTCTCGCGCTATGGAAGAAGAAGTCGAGCATAGGCCCGTTTGCTATGTATGGCGATCCGTCGCACAAAGCGTCAGGTAGGCGCTCACACCGAATAATCATCGGCTTGTCTGCATGGTTGGCTGCACATATCCTTGTGAACCTCGGAGAGTGGCGAGCGACTGTCACGCTGCCGAATCGGATACGTACATAGCATGGTGAGGAAGCAGCAGACATATGCAATGCGATTCAGTAAGATGCTCGTGGCATTCGGCAGCGAGTCGTCTAGCGGGACATGTCTGCGGCTATCGGCTTGCTGTATATTCACGGCTCCGCCTTTCGAGGAGAAGCCAAGAAGAGGCGTGGAGAAGGTGGAGGACGGAGAAGGACAGGCATATTGAAGGCGGATGGAGGTCACGGAGCACCCGACGATGCGGTCGACCGTCGACGATGGTGCAGACAGACGAAGAATGTGTGCCGAAGACTCAACGGCCGGGTGGGTGGTGGGTGGCATGTAAGTGAAAGAAAGTGAAGAGAGCATGAGTAAGCGGTTGTCTGTGACAACCAGATGGCGCACGGATGTTGTGCCAACTTTCACGCGCGGCCAAACTCCCGCCGTCGAATTAGATTAATCAGACAACATCACATTCCAGAGACGCATTGAGCATATTCTAAGAAGCCCAAAATGGACTCGCCATCTGCGCAGCTGATGCACGGCGCCGAGGAGAGCATGATCCACTTCGACCATCACGAAGCCAGCTCACCGTTTGTGACGGAGGCGGAGAGCAGGCTGGTCAGTCAACAATGGGACGCGTCGGTAGAAAGTAAAGAGGAAGAGACTATGGACATCTTTGCCACGCCTGCTGTAAGTCCGCAGAAGGCGTTAGTAGAGCAAACGGTGGAGGATAAGGAGAACATCGCACAGTCAGAGGGCACAACACACAAGAGAAGACCGACAACTCCAGAGCCGCGCAAGTCTTCGCAGCCAGAGTTGAACGCCCTGCCCGAGTCCCGGAGAGGCAGCGAAGACTCTGACCTGATGCCACCGCCGCCTTCGACTCGAAAGGTCCAGGCAACACCCAAGGCCAAGACACCGCTCAGACAATCGCGGAATTCTGGCAACGCACAAACTCCACGACTAAGCGCCAGCAGACACGAATCATATGAGCATTCAGAGTTGATGCGGACGACAACGAGGACATCGATGGAGAGCTTCCAAGTGCGCACGCAAGCCATTACCGAGGAGAATTCGAACATCGATGACTCTTGCTTCAGCGCATTCTCAGAAGTGCCTGAACTCACAACTTGGGCAAAATTGTCCAACAGCCCGACAAAAACCCTGCGCACTCCACGCAACCAGGTCGGAGCCAGCCCACGCACGACTCGCAAACGACCATCTCCATCTCGATCACCGTCACCTACCCCGCGCAGAATGAGAACGCCAGGCCACGGCCACGGCCATACTCAGAGTCACGATGGTACTACCTTCTTGATCGACTTTACTGAGCAACTGGGCAATGTCAATCGCATGTCGCCTAGCAAGACTCAGCCGGATTTGCTCAAGTACATGCAAGACCAGCGATCGCCGCACAAGTCTACTCGCCAAAATTATGCCACGCCCGCCAAACAGAACAACATCCTCAATCTCCTCGACTTTGAGCTCCCGCCAGCGCCGACACCGCGCTCCGTGCCGACCATCACTGTTCGCGAGCTTGAGTCGTTAAAGTCCAGCTATCTGTCGCAGATCTCGTCTCTGAAGGCCACGCTAAGTGGTCGCGAGGCAGAAGTGGAGAGCTTGAAGCGCGCAGTAGGAGACGCTGAGCGGCGGGTTGGTGAAGCGCAAGAGGCGCTACGAGATGAGAAGAACAAGCGGGATTATGCGGAGCAGGAGAAGGCGGGCTGGGAGCGGCGAGGACAAGAGGTCGAGAATGTGCTGAAGAATGTCAAAGAAGAGGTGTTGAAGAGCGAGGCAGAGAAAGAGGAGCTGGCACGGAAGGTGGAAGAGGCGGAACGTCGTGCTGAAGAAGCAGAGGCTAGGTCAGCGAAAGCAGAAGAACAATTCGCAGACGCGCTGGCTGCACGCGCAGACTCGGGCGACGGCGATGCAAAAGCCGTGGAAGAGCAGGTACAAAGACTCGTGGCTGTGCAGATCGACTGCAAGATTGAAGCAGTCAGCCGCGAGCTGCATTCAGTATACAAGGAGAAGCACGAGAGGAAGGTGGCGACTCTGAAGAAGAGCTACGAAGCAAGAGGCGAGAAGAAGCTGGCGGAAATGCAGAGCAGAATCAACGAGCTGGAGAAGCAGAATGTCGATCTCATGGCAGCCAAGGATGCGACATTCTCGGGACCAGTCACAGATAGCACGGCTTTCATTGAGGCGGAAGCAGACGTCAAAGCGCAACTCGAAGAGCAACGCGCTCACCTTGCTCGCATTGAATGTGAGATGCAGACGTCGCGTGAGTACCAGCAGGAACTTGAGCGACAGCTGGAGCAGGAACGTATTGAGAAGGGCGACCTGGTGGCGGCTGTTGATGAGATGTTGTTGCTGCAGTCAGAGCAAGGTCCTGCACAAGGCGCCATGGCGGTTGTTGAAGACTTCAGGAAGAGCGTAAGCAGGCGTCCGTCAGGTATGATGAGTTCTGGCATGAGAGCGCCCGGATCGGGTCTGCCTGCTCCTGGTGGTAGCAAGATTGGTGGTGTCGGCAGAGTTGGGTCGGGTGGTAAGGGTGGCATGATGAGTCGGATAGAGAAGATGGGTCGTGCTCATGGTGGTCATGAGTGAAGTTCTGCTTCTGTACTGCAATTGCTGCTTGGAGTATCTGATATGAGATCATGTATACGACGGAGGTAACCTTGAAGTGTAGGTGGGTGGGTAGTTCCGCGCGAGAGACATTAATGAAATTGCCTCCGGCATTTGACGAGCTCATCTGCCCGCTTCCGCTTACGTAAGGCTGGGAGAGCCCGTGAAAGTTCGGCGCAATACGTTAACTAAGTTAATAATGACGAGGAGGTCGAGGTCGAGGGCCGTGCTGAAGCTCTCTCCAGCCGCCTCTGCTGCTGGAAGCTGCATCAGCGCCTTCCCCGACCTGCGAAGAGCTGGCCTCCCTCGAGTCCCTTCGCCAGCCCGAAATCACACCTTCCACCCCCCTTTCACTGCGCTTCCCCTCCATCTTTTCCACATCACACACATTCATTCCTGTCGCCATGAGCACGCGAACATCCAAGCGTAAGGCCGAGGACGAAGAGGAGCTCGTTGAGCTGCCTGAGGACGGAAGCGACGACGAAGAGTGAGTGTCGCCTGCCTTTGCGTCGTCCGGGAGTCCAGCGATATCTTGTCGCAACCATGCGATTCCGGCCGCAGCGTTGTCGCGAGGCATCACTGAGTCGGATTGATCGATTGAGCGGCTCATATTCGCCCGTTCCGGCGTGTCGCTGACGTCCCTGCCCGTCGCGCGACCATCGATCGATGCTTTCCTTCGCCGTGCTGACCACCATCAGGGAGTACGAAAGCGAGGGAGACGACTATGAAGATGGCGACGACGATGACGAGGAAGACGAGGAAGGTGATGAGGATGCGGAGGAGGCTGCACCTGGTATAGTGCCCCCCATCGATCCATCCCCACCCACTGATCATCTCCGCAGCGCCAAAGCCAGCCAAGAGGCAGAAGACTGCTCCACAGACCGCCGATGATGACGATGACGAGGCTGAGAACGAGCTCGATGACGATGATGCCGAGCCAGAGGAGGATGCTCCAGAGCATGACGAGGACGCAGACGATACCCCCATCAAAGGCGCACCAGCGGCAGCACCAAAGAAGAACAAGGCCAATGATGTCTCGAAGGAGGACGACTTGGAGGAGGTCGACGATGCTGAGGATGAGGATTAGAAGCGAAGTGGGCCAGGCAGCGATCCGTTGACTGGTTGCTGCTTATCAATGATAACTGGTGTGAGCACGGCTGGAAAACATGAAGTCGTGCAAAAGATCTACATGTACTTGGACATCTATCGCGCTGAATCTATGAGGTTTGATGTCTTAGTCGCCCTCCGACTGCCGCTGTGGCGAGCTTTGAACTTACAGTGCCGCTCGCGAACTTCATTTAGCACTCAACAACTTGCACGGTCATACTTTGTCATTGCAAAGACCCTCATGGGATGGCAGAGCAACTCCTGGCCCAATCGTAAACATTATCTCTACTGAGCATTGACATTGGCCAGAACAGACCTCTCAAACCCCGTTCCTGCATTAGCCGCTGCTAGCCATGAGCTATCATGATCAGTTGACCATCAACGGCGGAGCCGCCTCCTGGGTCATACACAGCACGCGGATTGGATGCAACGATGAATCCTTGCCGCTTGGTATCAACCAGAAGGTCCAGACAGTATTCAGTTATGCGGAGACGTCGGCACATCCGAAGACATGTGGTCGTCATCACCACATCGACCCGCGGGCCTCACCTGCGATACGAATTCAATGATCATGGGCCATTACAACTAATGAAGGCGTCTCTAAGATACCCAGGATGGCTATGATGGCAAGAGCATATGGAGAAATGGATCGAGCGCAAAATTCAGCTTGCAAAAGCACATGGCAAAACAGCTTGAAAAGGAAAAAGAGAAATCATGCCGATCGCCGGACTCCCACCACGCATCCCAGGTTACTGCAGATTGACGATGCTGAATTGCCTGTGTCTTGCCATTGGACCAGATCAGCCAGCCACTGTGACTTCCTGGCTATATGTATACCTCTGGCAATGCTGCCTTGAGCCTGTAGTGACTCAGAGTCAGCAGTAGTGGCAGTGTTGAGTCATGTGCACAGGCGAAGCCTCGTCTCCACAGAGAGGAGACAAGTGGGTGCAGAGTCTTGGGATGCAATGGTATGCGCCCTCGAGTGAGGACAGTGTGATGCCATTCAATGAATTGATGCTTGAAAGTGAGGCATGTATCGGGCTCCTCTGAACATTCTTGTGTTGACCTTTTTCGTTCTGATTCCGTCCTGACTGTCGTCCTGAGTGTCATACTCATGACACTATACCAAATTATTCACGTATCCAATTCCCATGTTCTGCATCATAAAGCGCGCCCACCGATTCATAAACATCATCTTGCTTGCCATTTAGGCCAGCGCATGACATCCGACAGCAGTCTTTTCACTCCCCCATGCGCTTGAGTAGGTGGTCACAGCTGAGTTGGGTCCACAGGTACTCGTCGCCGTCCAAGAGCGCCAAGAAGTTGTGGCCGCTGGTGCTGCGCAAGAGTACTTTGTCGTGACGATGCCGAGCATGCCTGCAGCAGGAGCAGCAACACAGCCCGAAGGGCATTCGTCTTCTGATGAGACATATCCGGAGCGTGACGAGGCGGCCGTTGGATATGCAACAGGTAAGGTTGTGTAGGCCACGTACTTGTAGACGTCTGTTGCTGCGGCCCTGGCCTCGAGGGCCGGCGCTGGTATAGGCTGCGCAGGCGAGGCTGCGACCATGGAGGCCATCAGAGCGAAGAGGGGGATTGGAAGTTGCATGTTGATTGTTGTTGGGAGTGTGGAGGACTATTGGGAGGCGAGAGACAGGTCAGTCGATGCATCGATATCGATCAATTGCATGAAACTCACACAAGATAGCGAATTGTCAAGATGTTGGTCCAAAGTCTTGGAGGAATGCCTGTGTGAAGTCCCGGTCTGCCATCATGTCTGCAGGTCGCGTTGGCATTACTGATATACTGCCTACTTCTCGACGTGACATCAATGCTCGTTGCTGCTCCTCCCAGCCCGTTGTGCGCAAGGATGTCCAAAGTCGGTGGTCGGGACATGGAATCCTTCCTAGAATAATGTGCGGCGGCTCCCCAAAGCACCCAGGATCAGCTTCCCGTACGCAGCACTTTCAGCTTCAAAATGACAGTGAGATACGCGCGATGATAATGCAAGAGGTGGTGGCGGAGCCTCAGGAACGTCGACGCGCTGTTGAACGGAAGCATTCGACTGTTTCCGCGATAATATGGATGTATCAGCCTCTCCGAAAATTTGGGCAATGAAGGCACAAAACTCGTGCGCGAAGACTGATAATCTTTGGAAGTCTCAAATGCATCGATACGGAGGCTAAATCCTTTGGAGAAGCGAGGTACGCTGCAGCAACACGAAATTCGGTGTCGTCTGCGTGCTTGCTAACGGTGGCCGCACTGCCTTGATCGGAATGCCGCATCCTACATGTCCGTACGGATCGAGGATGCGTGGAGGCATGGCTACGAGGCTGCTGTAGCCTGTAGGTCAGCAACAAGCAGTCGAAGCAGGACCAAGCTCCGCCAAGCCTAGCCTGTCACTCGGGTCGTCATCTTCCTTGTGTGGCGTGCATGATCGTGCAGGTACCGAAGTGAGGATCGTTCCTGGTAAGATCAAAATAGTTCAAGGCGTCTCTGTGCTTCTCTAGCCATATCGGTGTCAGCTGAATGTGGACCCAAGCATCAAATGAAATCAAGGCCGTGGCACATCTCTTGGTGAAGCTTTTCGTACGAGCTGCAGTTGTCTGGTAACAGGTTGGAGTATGCAATCGGAAACATTTCTCCACGAGCTGGAGATGCTCTCTTTCCTTCAACAGTTTCCGTGTTGACGAGGGCATTTGCTCGACCACTTCCCAAGTAAAATCATTGCAACGTTCAAAGCATTTATGACCAGCAATTGATTTCGAGAGAAGTGACGTTGTGCCGCATCCTTGGAGATTGCTCAGCAAAGGATGAAGAAATCGCTTTTCAATCCCTCGAAGTTCAAATGCTCCTTGATCAATTGTTGACTGATGGCCGCGCGGCTTGACTTACGGCCTGGCGTCTTCATCTCCGGGCAGTGTAATAATAGTGCATGTACTCGGTGGCATCTGCGCAAGGCGAGTTGAATGCTATGCAGCCCGCAGATCTGCATCATGAGCAGCCGAATCTGATGGGCGACGCGACGCGATACGTTCTTGTCTCTCTCTCAGGCCCCTCCATTGTGAGCAACGGCCTGGAATATGGTCAGCTAAACTCTAGTTCGCAATGGCTGAAGCTGCATGCAAAGGCGCGAGCGTCCTCATCAGTAGGAATCATTATCATTCAATGGCAAAGCCTCCGCCCCGTCTTGAAACATATTTTTGGATTGGTGTATCATCATAATGCTCGAGAGATGTTAAAAGATGAAGGATATGAACCATACATACCTGGTATGCCTGAGATGTCGTTGCTTCAAGTCTGATGCATGGCCAGAATGGCTTTAGTCCTTGTCTGATCTGTCGCTGAAGCCAAACCACCGCTTGGCAGGCTGTTGATGCTCTTCCTCCAGCTGTTCGGACTGCACTTGTAATGTGGAGGTTTTCTGGATAGGAGAGGGTTTTGGCCTGAGTTCAAACAGCCAAGTGGTACCAAAGTGGCGTCTTTTCTCGCGGACCACCTCCAGACCCGTCTTGGCTGCGGCGTCTGCAACAAGAGCGCCAATATCGCGATTGAACCAACAGCCATGGATTTCAGCGTGCTTCTCTGCGGAATTGTCCAGTATGCGGTTCAGCCACTCTTGGTAGCTGCGACCGTGTTCCAGCAGGAGGATCTTCGACTCAGGATTGCTGGTGTCCAGATACTTGACCATATTCTCGAGCAGCTCTACAGGCGAAGTTGTTGAACATAAACCCATAGTCTGGATAATTGTATCGTACTTCCTAGGAGGCTCAGTCGGCGCCAATGGCATCGGGCCCAGAGCGGAAGCAGGCAAGAAGCGAATTGACATGCCATGCTTGACGCCGCCGCCGCCAAAGCGTGAGGATGATGCGTGTGTCCTTTGGAAAAGCGCGATCCACTTCTTCTTGCAGACTTCAATCATTTGCGGGCTGATATCCACAAATGTCAGACTGTCGACGCAGCCGCCTTCGCTGTAGTCGTAGTAACCCAAGTTCCTGCCCGTGCCACAGCTGACTTCCAAGACATGGCCGTGACACATGTGGGCAAGCTGTTTGCGGGTCTTGTTGATGCCCATCAGCCACTCCGAGAAGCCGACCTCGCTGTCGAAGCTGTCTGCCGTGTCATCGTACCGCGCCACCACATCTTTCTGCTGCGAGATATCTGCGATGCTCGCGTTCTGACAAGGCTGGATGGCGGCCACGTAAAGATTCGCGCCGTAGAAGGCAATGATGCCGCCCATGATGGAAGCAAGCACCCATGGCAGCTTCCGCGGCTTCTGCTTCAGCGCATTCTCTGCTGGTGCGGACTTGAAGTCATAATCTCGCGCATGTGATTTCTGATCTTCTGGCTTCGGCGGAGGGGACGGGGCTGCGGATGCGGATGCGGATGCGGATGCGGATGCGGATGCGGGTGCTGGTGTGGATAGTGATGGGGATGTCGGCACGGATGGTTTCTGCTCTGCTCTGCCTCTGCGCGACGCGTACCGAAGCTGGTGATGGTGATGGTGATGGTGATGGTGATGGTGATGGCGATGGCGATGGCGATGGAAAATTGCTGGGCCCAGAGCGCTGGTGCTGGTGCTGGCGCTGGCTACATAGCGTAGACGTAGACCACTGCACTGCATCGATCGCAATGCTGGCTAGGAGTCGTCGAGTCGGCGGATGTTGTATCCAATGTCAACAGCAAGGCCTTCACGCACGGTATTCTATCTTCGGCCTCGGCCTCCATTGCCGACCCGGAAAAATTTCCAGCACGTTAGAACTACATGTACCCGAGCCACACCACAATGCTCTCTAGACGTGCTAGTGTTGATCCTCTGCTGTAGGTGTAGGTGCACCTTTCACATACCGTGTCTGTGCTCATGCTCACCCTACATCCATGTGCACCCGTCACGCAACCATGCAGCGTCTACATCACATTCTGTCCCACTTCTCCTCCGACCCTCCTGCACAGCAGTCTATGCTGCCCAAGCGTGTTCTGATCGTGGGATCTGGAGTCTTCGGACTAGGCACAGCTTATGCCTTGGCCCAAAGGCAGGAATTCAAAGATACCAGCATCACCGTGCTGGAGCGAGTGGACTTCCCAGCGCAAGATGCTTCATCAGTCGACACTTCAAGGATTATTCGAGCCGATTACGCAGATGTCGCATACGCTCAGCTCATGGCAGAGGCCATGCTGTACTGGAACGCTGATTTTGGCAAACAAGGCCGTTTTACACAGTCGGGGCTGGCCATAATCCGCGACGCCGACCGTCCTGGCGCCGACGATTTCCTCAATGAAGCCTTGCACAATGTGACCGAGAATCTTGGCCTGAAACTCGGATCTGATGTGACCGTGATCACGAACGAGGAAGAAGCTCGCAAAGTCATGGGTACGGCCAAGGGGTATATTGGAAACAAAGGCTACGTGAACTGGACATCAGGCTGGGCGCACGCCGAAGATGGCATCAAGTATCTGCGCAAGAAAGTCGACGAGTTGAATCGCGTCGAGTTCATGACGGCAGAAGTCCAACGTCTTGTCTTCGCCAACGACTCCACCGTCTCAGGTGTCGAGCTCGCCTCCGGCCAGACCTTGACAGCAGACCTCACAGTCCTCGCCACAGGAGCCTGGACACCAAAACTCATCGACCTTCGTGGCATCGCTTCCGCAACGGGCCAGTGTCTGGCCTACATCGACATCACCGAGGAGGAAGAGAGACGGCTTTCTCAGCCTGGTCAACCTGTGTTTCTCTGCGAAAACGACGGCCTCTTCATCATCCCACCACGAGACCGCAAGCTGAAAGTGGCACGGCATGGATATGGCTATGCGAACCCGGTCACCGTTCCTCATCCCGAGAAAGCTGGAGAACAAATCACAGTCTCGCTACCCAAAACCAAACTCGACGACTCAGACATGGATATTCCCCCGGAAGCCAAGCAAGTCTGCAGAAACTTTCTCCGCCGCTGTATCCCAGAACTTGCCGATCGTCCTTTCACACACACGAGAATATGCTGGTACACTGACACTCCTACGGGCGACTGGTTGATCGACTATCATCCAAGATACCAGGGTCTCTTCGTCGCCACCGGTGGGAGCGGGCATGCGTATAAGTTCTTACCCATTATTGGCGAGAGGATTGTAGACGTCATCCAAAATGTCGAGAAAGACGACTTGGGAAGGAAGCTGAGGGCGAAATGGCGGTGGCCTACGCAGAAATTCCATCAGGATCATGTTTGGACTAATGATTGGAGGGGCGAGGGCGTGAAGGGCATGATTCTGGAGGAGGAGATGAGGAAGAAGGTACATCTTGATCCGATTGATGCTCACGAAAAAGATGATTGAGTCTGTCCTCATGGGTCTGCGAGCAAGGACATTCGACGCTTGAAATGTGATGAGCTTCGGAATATTAATTCGATCGCCTATAGATGACCATAACAGCATAATCCCCACACGCAACAAGCTAATCAAAGACATCAAGCGCATACCTCTCCCCCCGCCACTTCTCCCACCTGAGCCTCGCATCCTCTTCCGACAACTTCTCGCCCTTGTCCTCCGCTTCTTCGACGAGCAGTCTGACAGCCACATCGGAGACGCTCCTCCCCATAGCTCCACTTCCACATATATATATCCTCGCGCCGAGATCGAAAAGGCGAGCGATTTCAGCAGCCTCTTTGTACACACGATCCTGAACATACCGACATCCGTCCGACTGCTCTGAAGCCCGACTGTAAGCATAACGTACCTTCACAACACCGAGATTCTCCCATTGAGCCAGCTCCTCAGCGAAAATTTTGTCCTGATTTGGATCTCGACATCCGACAAAGAGAAGAGCTTCTCCCAGCTGTCTTCCAGCTTCGGCTTTGACTGCTCGTTCCTGGAGGAAACCTCGGAAAGGCGCCAGACCCGTGCCCGCAGCTACCATTATGACTGGAATCGATTCGTCGAGGGGCAGATGGAATGCAGCTGAGCTCTTTTTGACTGCGACTTGCAGGGTCGAGCCCGGCTCGAGACTCTTCAGATAACTGGTTGCTGTCCCAATGTGCTCATCGCTCTCGATCACGCTGAATGTGATGGTCGCAAGAGAGGGGTCTGCGAGAGGCGAGGAGGAAATGCTATATTGTCTGAGTCGAAGTGGCATGTGCAGTTCGAGGAATGTGCCAAATGGGATGCTGATATCTGGATGACGCTCCAGGATGTCGATTATTGAGCCACGTTCATCTGCAAGTGAGAGTTTGGAGTGCTCCGACAATACATCTCGACTTTTGCGGGATGCGCGAGCACCGAGTTCGATGTAACCGGAGAGAATTAAGGCGACTGGAAGCTCTCGGTTCTCCGGAATGGTTGCATGAGAGCCGCTAGTGATAGTCATGGCCGTGTCCCAGGGCAGGGAGAAGCGACGTAGGACTCGAGAGACAAGTTGCTGGTTGTTCAAAGGCAGCACTGCTAGGTAGTCGCCGGCGTCGTACTGCATATCCCTCGGCAGACTGATGGTCACATGGCGCTTTTCTGGTGCTTCTAGAGATGTAATACGCCGATTGCTCACGACCTTTGCGTCCCAGACTTTGTGATGCAAATGCGATGCTCTCGAATTCGTGGAAAGGCGAAGCTCAAGAGAGCTGGCAGAACTATATTCTTTCCCATCGGCAGAGATCGAAGGCCAAAGCCTACTCGTCCAAGCATCGAAGTCGTCCAGAATGGTGCCTTGGGAAGTGTCTGTCTCACCACGCGGAGCTAGCAGTGCTGCTCCTTTCGCTGTTAGCTCTCCCTCGATTGTTCTCGGCATCTTTTGATATGTCGAAACCCAATCTCGATGACCGCAGCCAAAGATCGTGACTTGTGCACCTTCGAACTTGCTCCTATCCGCAGTCTTGAGCCACTCGACGAAGATTTTAGCGTTATCTGGTGGTTGGCCTTCGTATGTGCAAGTAATGATTATGACCGGATGATCTTTGGGAAACCTGTCTACCGCCGCATCGAGTGACTTAACGACTGTGTCGAAGCCACGAACTCGTGCAGAGGCAGCTAGAGACTGCGCAAGCCCTTCGCATGTACCAGCAGAAGAGCCAAAGAAGATTGTCAACTGACCAGAGTCTCCGGAACTTTTGCTTGAAGCCAAGTGTTTAGCAGGTTCTTCCCTAGCAGCAGTTCGAATCTCGCCATGAAGCTTCTTTGACAGCTGAATGGGATCGATTCCGTCTCTCAATTGAGCCTTGATGAGGAGGTTGTCGGGTTTGATTGTCAATGTCTCGGCGATCTTCAATTCGTAGCTTGGATCTGCAAAGCGAAGATTGAAGTTTTGTAGGATGATGCCCAGAGCCAGAATGGCTTCTTGCCACGCAAAGGGCCGGCCTATGCATCCTCGCATACCTGAAAAGCAAGTCAGCTGGAATTTGAAGTACGTGAACGACGGCACACACCATTGCCGAAAGGCTTCCACGCCCCTGGAGGGAGCTTGTTGAAATGTTCATCATGCATCCGCTCTGGCTTGAACTCGGCGGCGTCCTCGCCGAAAACCTTTGGATCACGACCACTTCTGGTCCCCAGAATCATAATGACTGCATCAGGAGGGAGCACGTATTTCCCAGCTAGCGTTACTGGTCCCTTAGTACCAGGGACGGGCCCTACAGAAAAGCCAACAGTCGTTGGGCAGAGGCGAAGAGCCTCCCGAAGCGCTGCTTCGATGTACTTCAGCTCTTTGATATGCTTGAATTCGATGGGACCTGATCCCACCACAGAGTCGACCTCTTGCTGTGCTCTCTGTAGTGTTTCGGGATTCTTGAGTAGGTAGAAGAGAGTGAATGATAGCATTCCAGATGTTGTCTCGTGACCTGCCACGAGGAACGTGATCATATTGTTGATGATGCTCTCGTCCGAAAGCTTCTCTCCTGTTTTTGGATCCTTGCCATTGAGCATGGCATCCAGAAGATCCTTCTTTCCCGGGCCGGCTCTTCGTCGATCAATGCACTGCTGGGCGACCTTCTTCAACGTAGCAATGTCCGCGAAGAACTTCTTCTCAGCGGAAGGGTTAAGCCAAGCTTCAATCTTGCTTCGCATCGCTCGCTTCCCCGATTCGAGCAACACATCACCCATAGCTCGGATGAACTCGTGTACCTCTTCATGGTAGAACGAATTGAAGCGGTAGTCCATCGCGCAGAGCGCAATCGAGTCCAGAGTAAGTCTAGTCATATCATCCGTGACGTTGATTTCGTGATCCGCGCCATCGCGTGCCCATTTCGAGACCAGCTGGCTTGCGATGTCGTACATTTCATCGTACATGGCTTGTATAGGTAGTGGACCAAAAGCGGGCATGAGGGCCCGATGTGCAACACCCCAATTGTGTTCATGATTGTGCGCTGTGAAGAGGCCATCGCCAACAGCGAGTCGCAGCTGGTTCAGAAATGTGTCGATCTTCTTGCAGAATCGCTTTTCGTCGCAGACCTCGGCGACCAAGGCAACGCTCGATATCACGTAGGTTGGCTTGCCCAACAAGTCGAGCTTGTAGATCTCGCCTGTGAGGTGTTAGTTATGCTGATGCTGATGTGCGCCCCCAACTGGACCTACCATATTTGTCTGCCAGCCTTTCGAAGCTCTGGGTCATGTTGACCGTATCCACGTCCAACACATTTCCAATAATCGGCCATGCTTTAGGTTGAGGTACATTCGATGCCATAGTTGCTAGCAATCAATCAAAGGTATTCGAGTGTTGTTATATGGGAAAGTGGAATGTCAGTCGGCGCGCGCAACTCGTATATATTCTGCATAGCTGCGTCAAGTATGGCTTTCATCATTACTGACTGCTCTATGGGAGCCCTGTTGCTTCGCGCAGATGCCGTGAAACTCGGCACTGCCACGGCTTCACAGCTCTGGCCATGCTTCTTTTTTTACATGTATCGGTGCCATCATTGTGTGAGCATATCGTGATGGCGAGTTCGTGATTGGTGCAGAAATCTACCATCTTGGCATGTCAACAAGGAGACCCGGTTGTCGTTGTTGGAGTGCACCGCGGAGTGCGCGGGCTCCGTAACCACGCCGCCAGGATGTGCCGTGCTCTACGTACGACGTGTATCCTGTACGTAGATCCGAGGCTTCCGCTTAACATTTTAGACCGGCATTCCGCTGCGACCGGCATTCCGCTATCCTGCCTAAGGTACGACCTTAGCGACTTACTAAGATATAAATTAGGTGTAGCGCTATTAAAATTCGCTTAACTCTATATAGCTATACTATTATATACTCGTAGTCTACGCGTTCTATATTCGCTAATTACGACTCTACTACTTCGTATTTTACGCTTTAGTTATAAGCTACCCTCCCGATTACTTCTATTATATTCGTAACTTTAAATTAGCTAGTAAAGTAACGTACTATATATATAAGTTTACTATCTTTCGTATTATTAGAAGCTTTAGAAAGGTCGTAGTTTGCTTTATATACTTTACTTACTTTCCTATTTATAAGATAAACGGATATGAGTTACGTACGTACGTAGATATTAATACGCGGAGCGCTATAAAAGAACGTCGTATTTCGTAGTTTAACCTAAACTTTTTCTTTTAAACGATACTATACTACCGCGATATACTATACCCGTATATTATAATATACTATACCTATATATTGCGATATACTATACCTATATATTGCGATATATTCGAATTCTATATACTACTCCGAAAGTCGCTATTAGAAGCTATATATAATTAGTATATAACTAGCTCGAGTAAAGCTAGGGTCTTAGTACCTTAGGTAGGGCTTAGCGCTTAGCGTTAGGCTAACTAGCCTGCCTTCCTCCTTCTCTTCCTAGATCTCTATCGAATACTATACTAACCTACTACTACCCTATCTACCTACTAATATAATCCCTATTATATAGTATTCGATCTACCCTTTAAGAGTAGTAGCTAGATAGTCCTTATTTTAAGCTTTTAGCGGTATAGCTGCGAAAACTATCGATTTAACTATATTACGCCCGAAGAACGGGACCTATACGCACTATTTACTAAAACAACCGTGCTAATTATTTGGCAAGGCCTTCTATGCGGCCTGTTGTACTAAGTTAATCGTACTAGGCCGATACCTACTAATTCCGCTATATCCGTACTATAAGGGGCTATAATGTATTGTTAGTGCTGCCCCTTATTGTAGTGGCCGGCTTATTACGAAATACTAACAATAACCGCGGCGCCGCTAGTAGCGCTAGTAATAATAACACTAGTAGTATAGAGCCTATTAATAAGGAGCCTATAGTTCTAGGTAATAAATTACTATAATCTAGAATTGCCTATTAACGATATTCTTAATAATATTATTAATTAACGATATAGCTAACTAGCCTTTAGCCCCTAACTAGTAGGGAGACTTTAAGAAGCTACTTAAAACAGGCTTACTACCCTACGTTAAGAGTAGTAGCTAAAGGATAACCTCCTCGAGCTTCGCCGCCTTTAGGAAGCCCCGATAACTACTACTAAACTAATAGTAGGACCTTCCTTACTATCTATTTAGAAGAAGAAGGATACTAAGCTTAAGGACTATACTGTATTTAACGGCTCTAGTCGCAAGCAGTATAATAATTATATATGTAATTATAAGCTAAATTAGCGAAATGCACTAAGGGTTCTTCTAGATAATTACTTATTAGTCGTCTACGCTATGCAATATATTAATAGCGACCTAAAACGCACCTAGGACGACTATTTCGACTCCCTTAACGATTAGACTGCTATTTAGTAGCAAACCTATAAAACTATTATACTAGACACCCTTAGAAACCCTATACTAAGGCAATAATATACTTAGGACTAGTACTTTAGAGCTAAATAAAAGACTAATTAATCGGCTCGCTCGTTTAAGGCCTATTTAAAGACCCTCGAAGACGACCTTCCGGCTAAGACTAATTCTATATAGATCTCGGAAATACGCCTAAAGCTTAGATAGGAGCTTATCCTTAAATCAGACCGTCGCCGTATATTTAAATAGGCTAACCTAATACGTATTTAATTTATAGTCGAAGTAGAAATAGCTAAACGAGCTATTTAGCTCTAGTAACGACTAGAATCGAGGATCCGACTAGCTAGTACTAACCGCGGCAATCGTAGTGCCCGTAGAGGCAATAGCTAAGGGTCCTACTAGAACAATAATACTAATAATAGGAATAGTAACAACGACCGTAGAAATATAATACATACCTCGTTTAATAGCGAGGGTACTATTAAATAACCTTATAAATAGGGATAGTTAATCGTTTATAGATAAGCTATTACGGGCTTAGTAGAGGGACGCCTTTACTATCGAACGTATTAATAAGCCTATAAGTAGGCGAACGACTCGATTTAGTAAGAGTAACTAGTCGATCGACGATAAGGGTTACTTAAAGTTTAAGGGCAGGTACTATATCCTCGCTAAACAATCGATTAGATAAGAGCTTTTAAAGCGATACTATAATAGTAAGCTTGCTAGTTACTATAGCACAGAGAGGTCGCACGAGCTACTATCGCGTATATACTACTAGCTAAATAGTAAGCGGTATATAAAGGAGTATATACAGACCTATATAGTATACTAGCGAGTTAAAGCACTAAAGCACTTACTATTCGGCGAGTTGTCTTTACTCCCTATTCTAAAGAAACTATTTATAGAGCTTACAATAGACTTTATTATAAGCCTTCTACCTACTAAGTATAGGGGTAGTAAGGACATCTTCGATACTATCCTTATTATAGTAGATCGATTTACTAAGGGGGCTCGTTATATCCCTACTCGGAAGGATTAGACTACTATTAATATAGCTAAAGCACTATAGAATAACATCTTCTATAGCTACTAGGGGACCCCTAAGGGGATAGTCTCCGACCGAGGCTTAACGTTTATATCTTACTATTAGAGCAAGATATATCTATAACTTAGACTTAAGCATCGCCTGTCTGTAGTATTCTGTCTGTAAACAGGTAGCTAGACCGAGAGGCAGAACGCTACCTTATAGTAGTACCTACGTAGCTATATTAATAAGAACCCTAACGACTAGGTTAACCTCCTATAACTACCTAAATTCGTATATAATAACAGTGTCTACTTATTAACTAAAATCTTACTATATATAGCTATAATAGGCTAGAACGCTGCTATACTATAAGACCCCCTATCGCTCGAGGCCGAGCGTAAGGAAAGGGAAGCGCGTTAAGCCCCTAAAACACTAGCGGCTATTAAGAGGGTTTAAAAGATGCGAGAAATCTATACTAAGTGTAATAGGGGTTATGTTAGTAGGTAGATAGGGTAGTAGTAGGTACAAGTAGTATTCGATAAGGAGCTAGAAGGAGAGGGAGGAAGGTAGGCAAGTTAGCCTACTACTAAGCGCTAAGCCCTACCTAAGGTATCGAGACCCTAGCTTCACTCGAGCCCGGTTATATACTAATTACGTACAACCTCTTTAGTCCTAATATACGCTTCCCTTCTAAAGGCCGCGCCCTCGTAGCCGGTCTTTATTCTAGTCTCAACCTCTATTGCTACTAACTTAGTAGGTTTAATAAGCCGCTTAGTCCGCGCTAAATTAAACGTATAACTACCGATTATATAACTATGTTAAACCTTACCTTCTAATACAATGTCTAACTCCGACTACGCTATCCTTATATATAATAAAGTAATATATATCTACAAGAATTAAGGACTATCGACTAATTATAATACGAGCGCGTCTTCCCTACTATAATAGGTAGACGTACGAGGTATTGCAGCCCTACCTCCGTTCTAAGTAATGTCGTACCGAGTTCTTTGCGTCTACTCTTAAAAGACCTAGCAATGTCCGCTTCCGAGTCCGAGGGTTTATCCGCTTCTAAGGGTTATTGTTCTTATTATTACGAGGACTATTATTTACTATCGTAGTTTTACTAGCCCTAATTAGTTAGGTTTAGTAGCCTTTAATTGTTAATCTTATCTTATCTTTTTAGAAAAAACACAGTTCGTCTAGTTTCTGTAGGTAAAGGCTATTATAAGTATAATAGTTAAGGTTCGCCTCGCTTAAAGGGTCGGAAAGATCGAGGAGTAACCTATTGTCCGTAAGATCGACCCTAGCTAACTTAGCTCTATAGTTTTGCCCTTAGTTAGTCTATTAGTCGCTTAACCTTTTTAGTCTCTAAGTCCCTCGAACGGCTCAACCCTTTTAACCTAGTTAGTATAAGTAAGGTTGTTTTTGCAGGTACGGTAGCGACAATAAGTAAGGTTAGTAATAGTAGCGAGCAGGTAATATTAACAATAGCGGCGCTAGTCGTCTTAGCACTAACTTTACCTTACTCCTAATTTCCTTCTTTAGCTACTAACGCTTCAACTAGTAACACACTCCGCAATACCGTTACTAATATAGCCGCGCCGGCCGTACTGCCCTTTAGTATAGGCGCGACGCCGTTATTATTATTATTATTACTATTCGCGCGCGCGCGCGTCGTCCTCGCCGACCGTAGAGGGCCTAAGGCCTCGATTTAGTATTAAAAGAAGGGTCTTATAGGTTGCGCTAGTAAAGAGGTAGGTTCCTTAAAAGAGTAGGCGATTAGTTAACAGTTATAGCGCGTTTGTTAACACTCGGTGCGCGTTCGCTATAGTAGTATAGTCTTATTGTCCTTATTGCTAACAATTGCTTGCCTCTAATTAGTTAGCTAATAGCACCCTAGGGGTAGTATTAGCCCTAGGTCTCTCTAGTGGTTCTAGCGGTATTATAAGCCCTTAGCCTTCTTCTTGTTCTTTATACTAGTCTAATACTCGTCTAACAATTTAGTTATATCCTTAAAAGAGTCTTTAGCCTCCTATAAGTCCTATTTAGGTAAATAGCCTTACTATCTTAGGAGGTACTCCTTCTTGCCTTGTCTAGTCCGATGCTTTAGTATGCGCTCTATAGACTCTAGCTCTTTACTATCGGCTAAGACTTCTTCTAACTTAGCAGGCGCTTTATCGCCTTCGCGCTAATAGTATAGTTTAAGAAGGGATACGTAGAAGGTATTATAGATAGTATAATAAGGTAGAAGCTATAACTAATAGGCCTATACGGAAGAGCCCTTAACTTCTCGAATACGGAATAGGCTAATGTATCTTAGTACGAGCTTAGGCCTTGTTTTGCTATTAGGTAATAGGTGTTTGCGGATACGGAGGTTCTTAGTGCTTAGTATAACTATATCGCCTTGCTTAAAGGTTATTAGCGTATAGTGTTTGTTATAGTAGGCCTTCTAATAGGCCTAGGCCTTTGCTAGGTTATTAGCTATTTTGGCGTAAATCTCTCGCATCTTTTAAACCCTATTAATAGCCGCTAGTGTCTTCGGTTAACCCGCTTCCCTTTCCTTACGCTCGGCCTCGAGCGATAGGGGGTCTTATAGCATAGCGGCGTTCTAGCCTATTATAGCTATATATAGTAACATCTTAGTTAATAAGTAGACACTATTATTATACACGAATTTAGCTAGTTATAGGAGGTTAACCTAGTCGTTAGGATTCTCGTTAATATAGCTACGTAGGTACTGCTATAGGGTAGTATTCTGCCTCTCTGTTTAACTGTTAGTCTATAGATAGAAGGCTATTAATAGCCGATGCTTTAGTCTTAGCTATAGGCATATTTCGCTCTAATAATAAGATATAAATATTAAGCCTCGGTTAGAGACTATCCTATTAGGGGTTCCCTAATAGCTATAGAAGATATTATTCTGTATTGACTTAGCTAGGTTAACAGCCGTCTAATCCTTCTGAGCGGGGATATAGCGAGCGCCCTTAGTAAACCGGTCTATAACGACTAGGATAGCGTTAAAGATATCTTTGCTCCCTCTTCGCTTAGTAGGGGGAAGACCTATAATAAAGTCTGTTATAAGCTCTGCAAATGGCTTGTAGGGGATTGGCAATAAGGACAACTCGCTAAAAGGCTAATGCTTTAGTGCCTTAATACGTTAATATACGGTATACGTGTTTACGTAGTCCTTTGTATCCCGCTTACTGTTTAGCTAGTAGTATATACGCGATAGTAGCTCGTACGACCTCTCTATACTATAGTAACCGGTAAGCTTACTATTGTAGTGTCGCTTAAGAAGCTCTTGTCTAATCGATTATTTAGCGGGGACATAGTATCTGCCCTTAAACTTTAAGTAACCTTTGTCGTCGATCGACTAATTACTCTTACTAGATCGAGTCTTTCGTCTACTTATAAGCTTATCGATACGTTTAGTAGCAAAGGCGTCCCTTTGCTAAGCCCGTAACAGCTTATCTATAAACGATTGACTATCCCTATTTATAAGGTTATTTAATAGCACCCTCGCTATCGAAAGAGGTACGCATTATATATATCTAACAGTACTAGTAGCCGGATTAACTATAGTAGTGCTATCGCTATTACTGTATATAGCGATGTTAACTAGGGAGTTATTATAACTTCTCCTATCTGTGTTATTAGCCCTTGCCTTAATACGTACTATTAATATAGTAAGAGCATTAATATACTTCGAGCCGTCGCGGAGTCCGGTAAGCCGCTTATTCTACGCTTGCTTATTAACAATACGGGCTATAGCAATCTTATACTATAGGGTTAGAAACAAAGAATTAATATATTAGGTCTCGCTATCGTAATTAGGTCGCCTCGATAGGCTATTAGTAGGATTACTTACGCCTAGCCGATATAATACATTAAAATCAAACCCGGCGAGGTAGACGGCCTATCTAGCCTGTCGACCTATAACCCTTATAACCTTCGTAATTCCTCGGGGGTTGTTATAGTCCGTATAGACCTAAATAGTGTGCTATATACTATCGAGATAGTAGCGCTAGTGCTTAAAGGCTTCTACGATTACTAAGAGCTCTTGCTCGTAGGTCTCGTAACGACGCTCTATATCGATTATCTTTCGTAAGAAGAAGGCAATTAGGTACTAGTAGGTATTATTAGCCTGCTATAATATAATAGCGGATATAGCGAACTGTAAAGCGTTAGTCTCAATACGGATCTGCCTACTTAGTACGAAATAGTGTAATAAGGGGACTTTAGTAAAGCGTTCCTTCAAACCGTTAAAAGCGGCTTAAGCCTTATTAGTCTATCTAAACTCTCTAGTTAGGTTAGCCTTGGTTTTAGTAAGCTTAGTTAGTAGCATTACGTACCGTAAATAGCTCTTAATAAAGCGGCGGTAGAAATTAGCGAAGCTAAGGAACGACTATAGCTCCTTAATTAACGTAGGAACAGGCTATTTAGTAATGGTTTTAATCCGATTAGGATTAGCCTTAATACTATTAGTTAATACGAGGAAGCTAAGGAAGGCTACCTCCTTAGTAGCAAAGGTGTATTTAGAAGGCTTGTAATATAGTCTATAGGTCCTTAGACGATCGAGTACCTTATATACTATAGCCTAGTGCTCTGCTATATTAGGTAAATAGGTGTAAACTAGGATGTTATCTAGGTAAACTATATAGAGGTAGTCTAGTAGGCCTAATAGGGCCCGATTAATATAGGACTAGAATGTAGTAGGGGTATTAGCTAGCCTAAATAGTATAACTAAGTACTCGAAATAGCTATAACGGGTACGGAAGGCTGTTTTCTATTTATCGCCCTTACGAATGCGGATACGATAGTACGCATCCTTAATGTCTAATATAGTATAGAAATAGGCGCTAGAAAGGCGGTCGAGGGTCTTATTAATAAGCGGAAGTAGACAGCGGTCTTTAATAGTAATAGCATTAAGCCTACGATAATCGATATATAGGCGTAGGCTACTATCCTTCTTTAGTACGAAGAGGATAGGTATACTAGTAGGGCTGTTGCTATACTAAATTTGACTATTAGCTAGGTTCTTATCTAGGTACTTACGTAGTATAGCAAGCTCGCGTTGAATAAGGTTATAGAGGGGCCTAAAGGGGACCTCTTTGCCCTATATAATATCGATCTTATAGTCCGTCTCTTTAAATATAGGCAATATCGATACTAGGTAGTGTTTAAACATATTAATATAGGTCTCGCGAATAGGCTATAGGATGCGAGTAAGTTAGTTAGGGTCTATGCTATTAGGGGGCATAGGTTTATCGTTATTACCGCCGAGAAGGTTAGCTATCGGATTAGCTAAGGCAGGTATTAGGTTGCTAATAAACAGGACCCTAATATCGTTAGGACACTCGCTAATATTAATGTGTTTAATATCCTCTCTCCTAGCGATTCTAAATCGCTACTATTAACTGCCTAAGTCTATAACTATAGTATAGTGCTTAAGGACAGGGTTGCCGATAATAATATTAGATAGAAGGCTGTCTATATCTACTATATAGGTAGTAAAGTCTAATAAACGCTTATTGCCGAGGTCGTCCTTTAGAACTATAGGAATATAGTAGGCTCTATAGGTTAAGTGCCGAGCGTTATTAAACTAAGCAAGAGTTAGTAGGTTAGCCCTGTTTAATTGTCGAAGGTCTAATTGCTTAGCTAGGCGATGGCTAATAAGGGCACTAACTAAATTTCCTAGATCTAGCGTAACCTTAGTCTTATAGTTAGCTCTATACGTGTCCTATATAAGATAGGTGCGTATAATAGCTAGTATAATGTCGATAGTTTTACGCCGCACAAGGCTAACAGTTAGTACGGCGCTTATTCTTTTTTCGAAGGTTAGCCTATAGGGGTAGCGTTAGCTGCTAAGAGGTGCTTTCGGTGTTTAGCGGTAGTACGGTCGATTCGGGCCTAGTTCTTAGGTTTGTCGCATTAGCCTAGTAGATAGCCGGTACTGTTACAATTAAAGCACTTTAATCCGGTTAGGGGATTGCTATAGCCGCTATTGCTACTATTGTTAGTTAAGCGATTAGTATTATAGGGATACGAGCCCCTTCTACGGCCCCTATTACGGCCTCCTCTATATAGCCGTCGGCTACGGCCCCTTCTACGGCCCCTATTACGGCCTCCTCTATATAGCCGTCGGCTACGGCCCCTTCTATAGTCGTTATTACTGTTCCTATTGTTAGCATTGTTATTATAGTAGGAACCTTAGTTTCCTCCGCGGCTACGATAGGTAGCTAGGCGTATCTTAGATTCTAACCGTTGTTAGAGCTAAACAGCTCGTTTAGCTGTTTCTACTTCGACTATGAATTGAATGCGTATTAGATTGGCCTGTTTGAATATACGGCGGCGGTCTAATTTAAGGACTAGTTCCTATCTTAGTTTAGGTCGTATCTTAGATATCTAGATAGAGTCGGTCTTAGGTAGCAAGTCGTCCTTAAGGGTCTTTAAGTAGGCCTCGAAGGATCGAGAGGTTTAGTCGGCCTTTTATTTAGTACGTAGGTATTAGTCTTAGGCGTGCTACTAGCGCAATATAGGGTTGCTAAGGGTGTTTAGTATAATAGTCTTGTAGTCCTGCTATTAAACAGCGGTCTAGTCGTAAAGGGAATCAAAATAGTTATCCTATATACGCTTAGGGTTACCGTTAATATACTATATAGCATAGACAACTAAGGAATAGTTATCTAGCAGCGCTCTCGGTACATTGCGCTAGTTAAGCTTATAGTTACGAATATAGTTATTGTATTACTTTCGACTAGAGCTATTAAACACGGTATAGTCCTTAAGTTTAGCATCCTTCTTCTAGACTAGGACTAATAGCGAGGAAGGCCCTACTATCGGCTTAGTATTAGTTATTAGGGCCTCCTAAAGGCGGCGAAGCTCGAGGAGGTTATCCTTTAGCTACTATTCTTAACGTAGGGCAGTAAGCCTATTTTAAGTAGCTTCTTAAAGTCTCCCTACTAGTTAGGGCCTAAAGGCTAGTTAGCTATATTAACAGTTAACAATATTGCTAAGAATGTCGTTAATAGGTAACGAGGGGTTATCCCCTTCGATTATAGGTTCTTTAGCAGGTCCTCCAGTAGGCTCTTTAGTAGGAGGCACTTTAGCAGGTGCTTTAGTAGGCACTGTGCTACTAGCGTTGTCGTTGCTAGCGCTACTAGCGGCGCCGCGATTGTTGTTGCTTCGTAATAAGCCGGCTATTATAATAAGGGGTAATACTAATAATATATTGTAGCCCCTTATAGTGCGGATATAGCGGAATTAGTAGGTATCGGCTTAGTGCGATTAACTTAGTGTAATAGGCCGTATAGAAGGCCTTGCTTAATAATTGGTACGGTTGTTTTAGTAGGATAGTACGTACAGGTCTCGTTCTTCGGGCGCAATATAGCTAAATCGATAGTTTTCGTAGCTATACCGCTAAAAGCTTAAAATAAGGACTATCTAGCTACTGCCCTTAAAGGGTAGATCGAATACCATATAATAGGGGTTATATTAGCAGGTAGATAGGGTAGTAGTAGGTACAAGTAGTATTCGATAAGAAGCTAGAAGGAGAGGGAGGAAGGCAGGTAAGTTAGCCTACTGCTAAGCGCTAAGCCCTACCTAAGGTACTAAGACCCTAGCTTTACTCGAGCTAGTTATATACTAATTACGTATAGCCTCTAATATACGCTTCCTTTCTAAAGGCCGCGCCCTCGTAGCCTATCTGTGTTCTAATCTTAACCTCTATTATCGCTAACTTAGTAGATTAACTAAGCTATCTAGCCGCGCTAAATTAAACGCTTAACTACCTAATTATATAACTATACTAAACCTTACCTTCTAATACAATGTCTAACTCTAACTACGCTATCCTTATATATAATAAAGTAATATATATCTACGAGAATTGAGGGCTATCAACTAATTATAATACGAGCGCGTCTTCCCTACTATAATAGGTAGGCGTACGAGGTATTATAGTACTACCTCCGTTCTAAGTAATGTTATCCGAGTTCTTTGCGTCTACTCTAAAAGACCTAGCAATGTTCGCTTCCGAGGGATTATTCTTATTATTACGAGGGCTATTTATCTACTATCGTAGTTTCGCTAGCCCTAATTAGTTAGGTTTAGTAG